TGCTAAACAAAACTGAAGCAACAGTTGATTGTGGCTGCGAAACGCTGCAGATGTTCGGGAGGCTTGATTCCTTAGTTCAGAAAGTGGCATGGCTCTATGCTAATACAGTCAGAAAATTCTTCCCGGCCCAGCTTGAATTATATAACATTGAGGAGCGATTTCTTTTTCGTAGTCGTGTGCCATCGACTATCGAGAGCGACTAGGTTATCAGTCTTCGTTTTCCTCTCTTTTTGTGATAATTAAACTTTTGATCTCTATACTTTAACCAAATTTTGGAATTGGTCCATATACTTTAAGTATTTTAAAACAGCTCCTTAACGTTATATCCGTTAAAGTTATTCGTCCTCTGAGTTTCAAAAATCTATGGCTGTCGACGGCGAGAACTCTCTTCTGCATATTGCTCTCTGGGGTAACCTAGAGTGATTGGCTACTGTGTGCGAGAGAGAGAGGGGGGGGGGTGAGTTTGGTGGCCCATGAAAGCGTACAATGCGGCAAGGAAGCAGTACTTTTCCCTGCAAGGCTGTTTTGGACTCCTCTGTTCTTTGCAAGATCGTAGTGAAGGCATCTGTTACACGGGGTTGCATTTTCTTTTCAATGCTTTGGACTGCTCTATTCTATTGTTGCTGTGGAGCAATTTTTTTCCGATAGTTCTGGTTCTTAATTTTTCAACAGTACTGTGAAAGGAAAACCACAACCAATTGATGCTTCAAAAGATTATTAGAGTTCTCTATGAGTGTTGACGAACTATAAGTGCTATTTGAACTCTGGCCTTAGCGAAATGAGGAATTTTATGTTATGCTCAAATTTAACATGCACACTTGTAATTTAAGGAAAACTTAATTAAGACGTTGAAGACAATTGGTTCGCTCTGGTTTTAAGAATCTAAATTGATGATAATGGGCTTGTAGGCCCTATGTAAGTGTTGTGGATTCTAAATCATGCATGTGCTCCCCGGGGTTTATGTGTAGGATGATTTGGACCTATAGACCTCTTGGGGCTCTCTAAGCTTAATAGCGTGGGCTTTCCCAATTCTTGTGTAGTCAAAGAGTCGAGATAATTGTAGTTCATTTTTACATGCAAGTTAGTAAGTATATGTTTGATATGATGAGGGCTGTTCGTAAAAACCCAGAACCCGATCAACCTGGTGTGGCCCGAAGCTACCCGAACCAACACAGTCCAAAACAAAAATATAAGCCCCAAAAAAAAAAGCAACCATGCTATACCTGAGTAAACTATCGGTTAGTTGGATTGGGTTTCAGACTTGCCCTTCAAACCAAATGGTCTAACCCAATCTAGTGTTCTTAAAAATAAAAAAAAATTTATCATACAACTTCATTTTAGTATCCCACATTGGCTTTAGTCAGTCACGTGTTACTTCACTGTTCTTTACCCATATCATTCACATGGCTCGTGCTCGGTGACTCCTGTCATCGCCTCTTCAATGGTCATCTCTTTTTTCTTTTCATCTCATGCCACTATCCCGTCCGTTAAGATGAAGGTAGTGTGGGCCTTTTGTTTGATCTAATTGACGAGTTGCTAAGCGCTCAAGAAATGAAACCAAAGATAAAGATTGAAGGGCCAAATTGCATTTGATTGTTATCAGATCTTAGATCTGATTCTAAATATAGTGCACTATTGAGGCATTGAGCACAAGAAGCTTATGGCCACAACGTCAGCACTCAGCGTCTTGGATCTTGGATCCACATTTTCCTCAGCACTTATCAGTCAAATCTACGTTTTCTTTTTTGCTCTTACCACTTATTTTCCTTACTCACTTCTTGGATCTCAGATCTGTGTCTTTATAAGTTTTGCTTTATATTTTGCTACTTTCTGACGTTGGTTACTTGAAATATTTGATTCTTATTCTCATAATCGTGGTACAGAAGTTGGAGGTATGTCCATGGGTGAAAGATTACTTCTTGACGGTTCAGTTTCCTAGTGTCTTCGATCACTTTTTTAATATAAATTTTTGGTTCAGCTTTTAACTACAATAATAATCCTCCAACCTAGTTCAACCCATCCTAATTTGGTTTGACCCGATTTTTATCCTGAGTTACCTTCGAGTCAAACCAGACCATGAGCTCAAAATATAAACCCATGCTCTGATCGGGCTGGACTTTGGGTTGATAGCCAGCCCAATCTTTATGCACCCTAATAGTGCTCCCAGGCTATTACTATGGTCACATTTGTCTGAGCAGGAGAGATAGTTCTCACATACAAATGAAGAGATTATCATTAAAATATAATTTGTAGCCAAACATAACTTGAGACGAAAAGAAAATGCTTTTCTTTTTACAACAAGGCAACTTTTACCATATCAAACTGGCTTGTATTGGTCTCAAGGACCTATTCATAATAATTGGAGATTGCAAGTTTGCATCTCCCGATACATGTTATGTGTTTATATAACACTACTTCCGATTTTTAATATGCATGTGTTTATATAATATTATTTTTAATTTTTAATATAAGACTTAGTTGATTTATTTGAAAGGATTAAGAAAGTTATTAAATTATTTTAAAATATTTATATTTATTATTTTTATTCAAACTAATTTTTTTTACTTATAAATTAATATATAATCTAATGATTTACATTTCAAAATTAGTCAATGGAGTTTTATACGGGAAAAAAAAATCTTATCGTAGCTTGGAGGCCAACGAAGGCATGGAAGGGCCTTGTGGTCCGCACACTTGTCATCCCTCATGCGGGACGAGTCTATTCATTTCCCGTCACCCTCCATTCTCTCCCATTGCTTGTCAAACCAGCCCTTCTCACTTGGACACTTCCCTTTCCCGGGCCCCAGGGATGACGCTAGGGTGTTGAGAATATTTTAACAACATCAATTTTTTCTTGTTCCGGGGCCCAACAACAATGTCAATATCAAACGAGCCAATCAACAATGTCAATATCAAACCTAAGTTGCGTGTGCGTGTGTATTCCTATTTTTATATGACGAGTCTGGCCCGGCTCGTAAATAAATACAGGCATAACGTTAACGGGCAATCGCTTCTTTATTAATTGTCTATTATACCCTGGGAAAATAAAACTATCACCACTTGACAGAACCGTGCATAGGCACTGAACAGGGAGCCGCCGAATACACTAACTACGTCTAACATGTAGATTTAGGGGGTGTTTGGGAATACTTAAAAGTGCTTTTAAAAAATATTTTTTCATAAAACGAAACAAACTCCTTTATATATTTACTTCGTAAATTGTAAAAACGCTTTTAAAATTATAATTTGATTTACATTTAAACATTCCTCATACAGGAACATGACATAAAAAAGCTTCTCGGAATGCCTAGCATCTTGATTTTTTTTTTTTTGTCTAAATTAGAAATTCGATCCGGTTCTTTATACGTAAATAGAAAAGTAATTTGGACAACTCTCTCCTTATATATACACACACATACACACAGTACATATATGTACGCGCATCTTTCATCCATACGCATGGTTGAGCTCCGCTCACAAAAGGCGCGGTTAGTCCCATACCAGCGAGGAATGTCCATATGTGACTTATAATTTTTTTTTTTTTGACCTTCCACGTGTGACTTGCAGTTCGTTTTGCTACCCAGGCATCACCTTTTGCTTTCGGTGTTAATCCAGACAATCACATGCATAATTCAATTTCGATGAGATATTTATATATTTACATGCAATCATATGTATAGTATAGGATTAAAAAACATTGTCCTTACTGAACAGTTTTATCAGAGTATTGAAGTATTCTAAACTACTGGTCCTAATTATAAGACCCATTGACTTATTTGAGGAGATTAAGTAGTTAGTTGGTTATTTATAATAAATAAGTGTTGTCTTAAAATATCCTTGCTAATTAAAATATTGGCTAAAACTATCATTATTAGAAAGATTATCTTGGAAAAAATGCATAAATATAAAAGAAAAAATGGATTGGGTCTTATAATTAGGACCAAATAAAAAGTCAAATTGGGTCTTATAATAAGGACCGGAAGAGTATTAAGTTGTAGAGAGTTATTCTTAAATTATTCAAAACATTGTAATGTTGCCTCCTAGTTTTAAAAAGAGATTAACTTTACCGTTAACAAAATTCATTTGGCCGAAAATATTGATCTGGCACTCAATAGGTCCAAGTCATTTGCTGCCACATGAATGTGGCAATATACCAGGGGTCATCAATCGAAGGATAAATTTTCACATAAAACATGCGAGACCCAGGGATGCGAGTTTTGGAGTTTCCAACGTTGTATTTAGGGCAGTTCCGTGACACAGCTCTCTTTACTGTCCATGATTTTAAAGAGAATTTTCTATTTGCAACTCAATTTTTAAATTTTTTGTGTGGATATACTACCTCCACCCTAAATGTTAGTTGGAGTTTTAATCCAACTTTAAATATACAGTTTCAATCCATCTTGTTTTTCATATTCATTTATTATTTTTCAAAGTGTCCTCATAATGATTAAACATGTTAAATATTTTTATTTTAATACATATAATTAATAGAAATATTTTAGAAAATACATCACCTATCTATAATAAATAATTAATTTTTTAATATTTATGAATCAATTATCTAAGTTTTAAGTTAAGAATCAAATTCATTTTGTGGGCAATGCAATGCTATGATGCATGCCACATGCGCACATACACAAAATAAAATGCGGAAGCAGGCTAAAATGCGGAGGAGGCTCTGCTTTTTCACGAAAGCCGGCTAACTCAATCACAAGCTTACAGCAGCTTCGTTTCGGCTGATGACTAAGGTGTGTTTGGAATCACATCTGAACCTTTAAACTGATTTCTCTATCAGTAAAAGGAGCTTTTTTGATTTGGGATGTGTTTGGAATCACATTTTTACAATCTGATTTCTGTCACTGAAACGGATTTATACAATAAATTTAAAGAAGTTGTTTTTATCTAATCTGATTTTTGTAAAAGTCAGATTGAAAAAAACCCGATAAAACGTGTAGGGAGAATAATCTACGTCTCTGTGAGGCCCAAAATCATGCGACGTCGAGGACGAGGAGAATTTGGTCATTTCGTGCTCGAGAGATAACCAATCCGGCAATCACTATTTCTCAGCAGCGGTGCTGATCCAATACGAATACGAAGGAAACCTGACTGGATTTGTAGCCCTCCATAACAGTGGGAGTAGCGATTAGCGAAGCGAAGGCGATAGAGAGATGGCCCGGTTGTCATTGCTCTCCGTCTTACTCCTGCTGCTCGCCTGCGCCGCAGCTGGATCAACCTTCGAGGACTCCAATCCCATCCGTTTGGTTTCGGACGGCCTCCACGACATCGAGGCCCAGGTCCTCCGGATCATCGGCCAAACCCGCCATACCCTCTCCTTTGCCCGCTTCGCTCACAGGTTCGTCCATGTCCATTTTTTTCATCACTTCTTCTTCTTTCTTTTTTTCTTTTTTTTAGCTACTTCTTTTGGGTCTTCAACATCTGAACTGGGATGTGTGGTTCTACGGATGATCAGGTATGGGAAGCGGTATGAGACTGTCGACGAGATGAAGTTCCGGTTCCAGATCTTCGTCGATAATCTGAAGCTCATTCGATCGACCAACAGGAAGGGCTTGTCCTACACTCTTGGTGTTAATCGTATGTGCGAATTTTCACCATTGTTTTGTTTGTTTCCCGCTTTTATACATGGTCAAGCACTTTAGGATGAATATAGTCTATGACTGGCGGCCTTAGCAGATGTTAACCTGGTCAAACCCGTTGTGAATGTCGTCTTTTATCTCAAACAGATTTTGCGGATTGGACTTGGGAGGAATTCAAAAACCACAGATTAGGCGCTGCTCAAAATTGCTCTGCTACCCTTGAGGGCAACCACAAGTTTACTGATGACATTCTTCCTGAGACAGTATGTAACGTTGACTCACTAATTGCGTTGTGATTATTGTTTCCTATCGCAGCGAAACTATGTATTTGCGTTGATGCTCGCAAGTTGCAACAAATCAATCAATCATAGCTATCTTCCTAATATTCGACAGCCGGTGGGTACTTGGCAGAGTTCATTTTTGGCGCACCTTACGTGTTCAGTATTGTAGTATATACTGCTAACTCTAATATAGCGTCACTTAACGTAGTTTTCCGTTATATTAAAGCTAATTGAGTTTCCAATTATTATAAAGGTCTTAAATTTTAGATGTAAAAATTGCCTGTAAAAATGAATGACGGTCATTAATTTTTAGTACGATGGGAGTATAATAATTGTTTCAATTCCCTTAGTCGCTAGCAGCTACCCGCTTTTCGTTGAAATTGCCTGCTGAACGCAGCTACAGCAGTGCGATCGGTTTCAAATAATTGGTTTATGGTGCTTTATGGTTTAATGGATGGGGACTAGTTCTGAGGGACTTTAGGAAATTGAGAAACGGCTAATTAGGATCTGAACAGGTCCTTGTCATTGTTTGCATTTTCTCTTCCTTCTCCTTGTTTGTGGTTATTTGCAATTGCTAGTTTGTTGGGTATCGTCTGTGTCTTCCATCCTCTCGACATTGTAAATCTTGATACCCATAGGGTCTTCACAACGTTTCTTTGCCTTTGGCTGGCTTTACTTGCAGAAAGACTGGAGAAAAGAAGGTATAGTCAGCCCAGTCAAAGATCAAGGCCACTGTGGATCCTGCTGGACGTTCAGGTTATTTTTGCCCTTATAAAATGTCTAGAACGAATAAGGCATTACTCTATATCTCTTATCATGCTTGTAACCGTGATATCCTAATATCTACCTTCTGCAGCACCACTGGGGCTTTGGAGGCAGCTTATGCTCAGGCATTTGGAAAGAACATCTCTCTTTCTGAGCAGCAGCTAGTGGATTGCGCTGGAGCTTTCAACAACTTTGGTTGTAATGGCGGGCTGCCATCCCAAGCCTTTGAATACATCAAATATAATGGTGGGCTTGAGACCGAGAAAGCATATCCTTACACAGGAAAAGACGAAGTCTGCAAATTCTCTGCGGAAAATATTGCTATCCGAGTCCTTGACTCTGTCAACATCACCTTGGTAATTGAACTGCTAGGTTTTCTGTTACTTTTTTTTTTTCACGTGATCCGAGGTGTTTTCTAACTTATATGTGATTCGAGACAGATGTTACAGTATCAGATTTAGTTTGGCCTGGCAACTGTTCAGGATTTTCTTATTCATCCATCATATCTTGGGTGCAGGATGCTGAGGATGAATTAAAGCATGCCGTTGCCTTTGTTCGGCCGGTTAGTGTGGCATTTGAGGTGGTTAGTGGTTTCCGATTCTACAAGAAAGGTGTTTATACTAGCGACACTTGTGGCAACACTCCCATGGTGAGTTCTATTTAAGAAGCGATAGACTATCTGACTCTATTAGGTGGAGCGTCTTTAATGCTATTGCAGATCAAACTGCATTGCTAGAAGTCTAATGCATTGATATGAAGCTATGGTCTTACAGAATGTGGTTTATTCTGTTCAAACATCCTAACGATTGTGAACACCGTAATTTTAATTATACTGACAGGAGCCGTTTGTCATCAAAATAGATGAATTGCATGCATATGCTTGTTTTCCATGTTAATTTCCGGGATGACACTGATCGGATATTCTTTGACTAAATCTGAATTTACCTGGCAGGATGTGAACCATGCTGTCCTTGCAGTTGGGTATGGAGTGGAAGATGGTGTCCCATATTGGATCATCAAAAACTCCTGGGGAGATAGCTGGGGTGATCATGGCTACTTCAAGATGGAACTGGGGAAGAACCTTTGTGGTACGTATCTGAAAGACCTCAGCCTTAGAAAAAGAGCCCATAATTGTGTGTATAAAATATACAAAGAGGGAGAGGGAGACTTTTACTGGTTTGAGTATTAGGTTTCCAGGCGAAATTTGGTTTTGCTAATCCTTGGTATTAAACTTCAAATTTTAGGAATTGCAACCTGTGCATCTTATCCCATCGTCGCTTAGCAGTTGTATTGAGATACCTGGAGGTTGCCATGGTTAATGCCGCGTCGCTTACCTTGGAAGTCGTTGTGCGCCGTTAAAGATGAAGTGTTATTTTTCGCTTTTATTGCCTCCTAGTTTATGTACAAAATATTCTTATAAAGTTGAAATGGCCTTTGTTATCGGTGCTGTGTGATGCTTAGTAAATGCTTGTAAATCGTGTATCAAACGTGGACATAAACAGAACATGCTCTCTACATTTCGAGCACGGACAAGAGATTTTACAATGGTTTTATTGGTTATCCTCTTTCGTGTTCCTTTGTTTTTTCCCCCCTTACAACTTCGTAATATCTGATCTATCCTTGTTATTGGTACTTTCAAAAACTTTTTTTTTTTTTGGGTGCAATTTTCTCTTATGCCACCCAATTCTTTTACATATTAAAGGAGGTAAAAGTATAATTTTGTTCATGGTCTTATTTCTTAAGTTGTAAAGGTAAAAATCGTAACCCGTCAGCGATGGACAATGCCAGAGACAAGTCTATTTTGAATTTTCAGCTATTTGTCACGGTTTGTAAGTCGGATTAAGTCATTAAGAGTTTTTTTAATATTTTTTTTATGAAAGTCATTTAAAGTTAAGGCTTTTGGTTTTTCACGTTAATTTTTTTAATCGTTGTTCAAACATTACTTTAACCCATTGGAACAATTTTTTTTTTCTAAATTTTTCACTCAGAAAATAATTTCTCGCAGTTTTAAAAGGCAATAAAAAATGCATCCTACTTACAAATAGAGGTGAGAAACCAAAAATTATGGCAAGAAAAAACAAGAAAAACCAAAATTGAGATCGATGGAGGAGAAATGGTTAAAGAAAAAAGGTTAATGAAAAATACTTCTCTATAAAAACTAAAGTAGTACTATCTCCAGTCCTAATTATAAGGTTAGTTAACTAATTTGAAACGATTAAGGAAGTAAGTTGAGTTAGTTATTTATTCTAAATATGTGTTTTTTTTCCTAAAATATCCTTGCTAATCAAGTATATTAACTAGAATTATAATTATTAAAGGACTATCTTGAAAAAATTGAGTAAATATGAGACAAAGTGGATTGCGTTCTTATATTTAGGACCAAAATAAAAATTAAACAGAGTCTTATATTAAGAATAGAAAGTAGTATTTAGTTGGGGGTTTTTTGAAAGGAAAAGAGAAAAGGAGGAAAAGAGATGGAGGAAGTGCGTTTGGTTGGGAGGAGGGAAGGGGAGGTAAAAAATTTTCTCTTTTTCATCACCCTTCCCCTTCTCCGCTGTCCCTCCCAGATTGAGGGTTTTGGATCATGTATATTAATATACACATGTCATAATGTGTGTATTATAATTATATATCATGTGTGTATTATAATTTTAGATGGGCTGTAAACATGCATATATATCAATTTCAAAAAAGTTGCACACATGCATATACATATATATATTAACATATACATATCATAATGTGTGTGTATTATAATTATAAAATTAATGAGATAGAATATTAAACTTTTTATTATATTTTTTAATTTATTTTAGTTTTATCATAATTTTTTATCACATGTAATTGAGGTAATTAGTTTTTTTGAAATTAATAAATTAAGAAATAATAATTTTGATATGAATATTGCAATTAAAAAATAAAATAATCTAAATATAGAAATAAAAATATATTTATCAATTTATAATTACCCCTCGTTCCTCTTCTTATAACTAAATAAGAAATCTCTCTCTCTTTTTCCTTCCTTCTGAAGAAACAAAACCCATAACTTTTTTTTCCTCTACTCCTTTTCTTTTAATTAACCTCCCCTCCTTTCCTCTCGCCGAACCAAACAAAGCCTAAAGCAGCGCGCGCATTAGGCATTCTTTCGAGTCTTGATCGCAGAGCGTAGAGTCGGAGGACATTCGAGTTTTGTGGAAGAAAACATATGGCTACCATGGATACCGACATCCCGATGGTGCAAGCCGGTGATTCCTCCAGTAGTGCTGGCCCTTCTTCCAAGAAGCCTAAGCGTTTCGAAATCAAGAAGTGGAATGCTGTTGCTCTTTGGGCTTGGGGTACCCCTTTCCTTTATCCTAACCCTAATTTTTTTTCTCTTCCCTTGCTCCGTTCTTCCTTCCGAATTGTTCATTCCTTGCTATTCCCATTACAGATATCGTCGTTGATAACTGTGCGATATGCCGGAACCATATTATGGATCTTTGTAAGTATAGATTAGCTGCGTTTTTGAACTCATTAACTGCTCATCCTCTTTAACCCCTCAACTTTCGTGATCCTGGACGTTGGACGCATGCAAACACTCTTACTCTTTTTTGTTTTTTTTCGATGTGACGTGCAGGCATCGAGTGCCAGGCTAACCAGGCTAGCGCCACTAGCGAGGAATGCACTGTGGCTTGGGGTATTTCCTGAAATCCTACGACAGCTTAATCCCATTATGAATCAAAGAATAAAAGCGCACAACATTGAATTTTTTGCCTTGCTTAACAATTTTTCTTTTCTAAATACTCGTCACCACTTCAGTGCGGGCTGCAGAGTGTGGCCTTTAAGTTTTAACCGCCTTATTTTCTAAATAGCTATATGATTTAGGTCTTGCGTTTTTGTTTGACTATAGTTGATGGATGGTATGGTGATTTCCTGGTCTTGTTTGTCCTTGCTGCACTATGATACTTGGCCAGTTGTTTGAGAGTGTTGTAATTTTTCCTGCTATGATACGTTTGTAAATTTTTTTGAAAGTGAATTGTGATGTGACCTCTGTTGTCTCTGTATTTAAGCATCATATAAACTGTCTGTAATGCCTATATGTTAGATTGTAAATGTAAATTTGTCAAGATATTGGTAACTTATGTCCCCATTGGCAGGCCAGGCATAGCATTTAAACACCCATTAACACACTCTCTGTGAAGATTTAAATACGAATAGATGAGTCACAAAATATTTTCACTTTTTTGCTTTGCTTCATCCGTTAATTTTGATGCGTATGGGAATAACCTACATGGTCGTCCATCACGAAGTGAAACTTGCGGAGACATGAAGACAACTTTCGAGATCATAGAACTTTATAAGTGTGGTTTATTCATTCTCTTACTTCTCATTCAATAATACTTTTGGTTCTAGTTGCAATGACTTTTGCAGTTTGAATGTAGTCTACTCCTACCTTATATCCAGGGAAAAAAGTTTTCACCTGACATAGATTCCATTTTGCCTCGTTGGGATTGGGGAATAACTCTCGGACCTGTATTTTCAGACCTCTTGTTGTTCAAAATGAATTCGAACTAATTGTGATTGTGATATCAAGTCATTTGCCTCTGTTTGCTGGCATATGCCCCCTAAACAAAAAAGTTTGAGGGTGAGGTGGTAAGTTAATTTTTGTGGTATATGCGTTCATTTGCAATAAAGTTATTGACAATACGAAAACCACTTGTGCCTTTCTCATTATTATGTCGGATGTAAATGCATGTATATTTATAATGTTTAGGATAATTGTTTCCTGTTGGTGTCATTATCAATTTATAATTAGAACAATGTTACACTGGGTTAGAAAATCAAAAATAAAAAATACATAATTTATGGATCAATTGTAACTGTTTAGTGTTTGTTGATTCAGGGGTGTTTGGCAACCCTCAAAAGTGCTTCTCAAAAACATTTTTCCGTAAAACGAGGCAAACTCCTCCACATATTTACTTCGTAAATCGTAAAAGCACTTTTAAAACTATGGTTTAGCTTCCATCCAAACGCCTCTTGAGTTTTTATAAAACATAATGATTATATCTGTTGATGTTGATAAATTTTGTGATGAGGTGAAATCATAGGTATCTTTCTTGCTATGATGTTGGATGTAATTGTTTTTATGATGATTAAGATGACCGTCTCCTATGATGTTGTTATCAATTCGCAATTCCTCTCACTGTTTTATCTAATACATATATTGCTATCATATTATAACTTTGGGTATTCTTAGTTTTTAGCTTTATGGATTGTTTATGATTTATTTTCTGCTTTTGTTAGGTCAGATAATTAAGTTTATCTTGCTGCATTATTAGACTTGTATCTTAATTATAGAACATCAATATATCAACATAAAGGGTTACCGACTGCACTATTCACAGGCTGTGGATAGCACGAATCATCTCTTGAATTCTGTGTGATGCGTTAAGTCCATGTCTCAATTTGCTTAATGCGAGGTTATAGCCCTAGTTATTATCAGTTAATTATAAAAACACCGTCAGTTTTCTATTCCAAATAAAGGAAGGCCCTTTCTTTGAACAATGAATTGTAGTTTAAATTATCAGACTGGGAGTATCTATTAAGAGCACCTTAAATTTAATGTTATCTCTATTGTCCTATTGCCTTGATCATTTTCCACCTGGTTGATTCCTGATTTGCTATATGTAAATGTACTTTTTGGATCCGCTTGTTTATGTAGTTTATCTCAACTTAGCAAATGCAGGAGTACTTAAACCGTTGCTCTGGGTTTTTATCTTACGCAGGGGTTTGTAACCATGCCTTTCACTTTCATTGCATTAGTAGATGGCTCAAGACCCGTCAAGTATGCCCTCTAGGTATGTGCTTAATCCTTTCCATCTCTTCTCTACTAGGATGCTATGAATTCCAAGTGCTTTTCTGATCTGCTTGTTTTTTCTCTGCTGCGACAGATAACAGTGAGTGGGAATTTCAGAAGTATGGTCACTAGAAATTTCATTTGGTTGAGCTCCTTGGATATTTGGACCATGTATCTTATTTATGTATCTTTAGTAAGGTAGTGTTGACAAAAGCTGGAACATTTACTTATCTGCGGGAACTATCCCCTTATTATCTGCTGGGTTATTCAAGGCAAGACTTTCGGTTTTATGACTTTGTAGAGAGAGGGTATCGAGTGAAATATCATTTGGAAGTTTAAAAATGTATCTTATCCCTAACAGAAGTCATAACAAGAATGGTGGGGTAATAGAAATTATCAAGATTTTAAGTTGTTTTATCCTTCCAGTTTTCTTCTGCAGTTACCAGATCTACATCCGTACACACTTCTGACTTCCAATTTTCTTCTGCAGTCTACTTGCTCGATTTTTTCTTCTGCTTTCTTTCGGCGTATCCTCTTCTTTTCTCTTTTGCTCTTTCCTCTGCTCCTGCTAATTCACCCTTGGATTTCTTCCGACAATCGAAGCCCTACATTCTCTCCCTCACCATCCCGGTCCCTGGTTCCTTCTTTGGCGTCGGAGTAGGCTGATGGTGGTGTGTTTAGCCACTGAAGAAGGTATGGCAGGCAGTTTATTGGAAGGATGATTGCTGGCAAGGGTCGGGCAGCACTAGGAGTTATGCGGCCGTCGATGTGGTTGTCTTGGCAGCTTTCTTTCATAGGAAGCGCCATCAGAATATTCGATGATCTCAGAATGGATGTATTTGTAAAATATCCCTATTTGTTATCGTTTAATGACAATGTAAGATAGAGATTGAGTAATGCTTTGTAGTTTGCAGCCTCAGAATAAGGAATCAAGAAATACCTGCAAGGTGGACTTTTGAACAAGTCCAAAGGTGATGAATTTTTGAACTTGACTCTTTCTCGAGTTCTATCCCACTCGATGTAGCTCTGTTTCCTTGTCATCATCGTCCAATCTACGCTTGGTCGAGCTCCCGCTCGCTACTCAATGTTTTTAGCATTAATTAGCTAGCCTCATTGGTCCTGGGTCTTCTGGTCGAAAAAAGAAAAACTGGCCCTCGGTCTTTATTTATAAACTCTAAACTCTTCAGCGAGCAACGACGATGATTGGGAAAAAAAAATTTAGTAAGGAGTTTATTACTAAAAACAAAAATTGTGAGTGTCTAATTAAAAACTCCATGAAGTATAAGAACGAAGGAATTAATTTTTTTCTTTACTAATTTGAAATTGGACCTTTCTTCAACAAAAATATTACCTCATCCTCAACAATATAATTTAAGAAAATAAATATTTTAAATTTAAAAATAAATTAAATAATTAGGAGGTGTAATATTTATCTATGTTAATTATTTTAATTTTTACAGTTTTATAATGTATATACGTATTATGTTGGACATTTTCTTGCTTATCTTTTTTTTTTAATATTTACAATAATCATACACGCATGAATTATAGTTTGATTATATGGTTCAAATATAGTTTAGAAACTTAAATGTAATTAGCAAATTAATCTACCTCTCAACAACTTTTTATTAATGTCAGTGAATTAGTATAAACTGAGTCACTGACTTAAATTTAAAAACGGAAGTAAGATCAATAGTTAATGCATTTAATAAAAAGGAAAAATGATATTTAACGACTTGTTTTCTCCTAATAAAGTTTATGACAGATCATTTGGTTAATAAAGTATAGTGAATATGACTCGTATTTTAAGATGCCTGATAATATTTGAAAGAAACTATATATCTGATTGAGATGCGCAGTTAAACTTAAAAAGAGTTACAAAATTTACCAGAAAGCACAGGTGGTCAATTCCGAGGGAACACATTCCTTTGAATTTGCGAATACCAGCAACACAGGGCCTGAATGGCTTATACTGCATGTAGTGTACTGAATGGAAGGACATTGTTCTGACTTCTGCGTGGTGAGCGCAGTTTTGCAGGAAGAAAAGGAGTGGATAGCAGTCGCACATGTTCCTGCCACTTCTATTTTAATCAAGCATCACCTTTCACGAAGCCCTCATCATCAATTCAAATTTGAAAACGAAAACGGTACCTCCCCAACCCCACCCAAGTAAAGGTCTATTGGCAGGGAAGCTGGGCAGGGCTGACAAAATAATATGTACATGTTAAGCAGAGCCCAGCACAACAGGCTTCAGCAGCAAGGTTTACATTTAGAAGAAGAGCATATGAAGGAGCTCAGAAACGCAGAAACATGAAAGATCCGGATTCCTTGGGCCGTTGGAAGTTGGAATTTCATTTGGGATGAAGGTTGAAGGTGAGGCATCATCATGATGTGCGAAAGAATTGGAAACTAGCAACAGAAACAGCAAGGATTCCAGCAGGAGTTTGTACAAGAGCAACGGGGGCGAAGCTTTGGGCAGGTGGGACAGGAGCAAGAGCAAGAACACTTGCAAGTGCAGCAAGAAGGGCAGGAATCGCATTGAAAACTGCAACAACTTTGAGGGATACAGCAATGCCTGCGTTCGCAGCAACTTGATTTTGGACAAGACCAACATGTATTACAACAACCTGTACTGCTACATCTACATTGTTTTGGCCAGCAGCAACAGCGGCTCATGCATGCAGTCCAACCGCTTCTGCCCCCTTTGCTCTCACAGCAGCCTCGTCTCCATTTTAGTTCACCACAGCAGCACCCTTCACAACACCAACACCACATCCATGATAGCTTCCAACACGCCATCCCACTGCGCATAATTCACCCATATGTTCAGTCTCCTATTTAAGCCAAATCAAGTTTTATCTGTTTATTCAGCATAACTACTGTATCAGCCTACACAGTTCCTAAACTTTCATTCCCATCGCTATGGGCTTATACAAGTATAGTAATCCATATCGTACCGAAAGCCCACAAGATGTTACCTGAGCCACTTCCATATTCCACAACTACTCAGTAATTGAGTGAACAGGGGAATCATATACTAACAGTCCCCATTGGCCATCGATCCCAACCTTTTCACACACAAGCTGCGTCGTCTGATATGATGAAAATTTATACATCATGCGCAGCATTATAGAAGGCTTAGTCAGCCCTAATTAATAAGGTGAATGGATATGAGAACAATAGAGGACATATTACACAACCCGAGCGATTAAGGGATAAGGCAAACATGTCCTCCCGTGCCATAGTTTCAAATGGGACAGCAAGTCCCATAATCAGCAACCGCAGTTCAGAGACTCTGCAAGCGAAGAGGTTGTTTTAAGGCTAACAAAGTTAATCGAGTGCGGCTAATCCTCGCCCATAAATTGAAGCACGCTCCCAGTTCATGCAGTTAATATAAGTTCGTCGAACGAATGATCTTGTCTCATAAGTCATGGCAGAGATTACCGGCGAACAACATTTTCACAACTCTGTTCTCGTTACTGAGGTATGTTATGTGAGAACTGTCAAGGAATAAGCATTCCAAGTCGCTATATCGGATGGTTCAATAACCAAGATCTGGAAATGACACTGATGTACGACGCGCATATCTGCCCTATATTAGAAAGTCGAAACGTTGAAAGTAGTTGCTTTCAAACAATCAGCACAAGGGCATGCTAAGACAAGAAGAATTTAAGAAAGCTGAAACCCACCTCAAGAAAACTGATCTCTCTCTCGAGCATCTGGACCCTGGCGGTCTCGCGGCGCTTTCCGTACAAATCAGGTAGTCCGGCGGCGACTTGGGGGACGGAGGGGGCAAGGAAGGAACGGAGGGGGAGCGGGCGAGTTGAGCACCCAGGGCGAGAAAATGAAACAGACAGAACAAGAAATGGGGGCAGGAAGAGGAGCAGGGAGGTAGTAAAAGCGGCAGTACTTGTTGATGCAGAAGTGACAAGGGGGGTACAAGTAACAGTAATGGCATTGGCAAGTGACAAAGAAGAAGCGCGCAAATCAGGTTAGGTGCGAATACCATACGAAAAGAGTGTGGCAGAGGGCAGTAAATAGGGTGGCTGACAGAGGATAGTTAAGACCCAGAAGGCGAAGCGGAAATTGAAAAGAAAAGAGGGAAAGAGAAGAAAAAGAGAGAGAGAAAGAAACTTTTGCAGAAGGAACAGGAACTCAAATAAGAATAAGATAATGGAAAGGCAGCGAAAAGGGGGTGATAATGAGAGTAGAAAGGGGAATCAGTCATAATTTACGGGGTAAGTAGAATAAATGACGAAGGATATATCAAAGTTAAAAAAATGAATCATAATTGGATAGAACAATTGATATCGATGATGGAGAAGGGGGGTAGTAATTATAAATAGTAAAGACGGCCGGGTGAAAGGCTGCAACTGCAAGTGTCTGTGTACGAACCTATTTAAAGCAAGGTTGAGGGATTTTGATTGAGATTTACCGTAATGACTGGGGTGACTTGAGGAGAAGGGATTCTTCCCCCCCCTCTCTCTCTCTCTCTCTCTCTCACACTGGCATGGCTCGGTGTTGTTTATTGCTCTGAGGGAGAGCAGAGTAGCAGAGACAGAGTCGAAGCGAAAAGCACGATGGCAAGACCTCTCAGGGCCGCACGTGACGGCTGAATAGGAAAGAGAAATAATCTCTCTCTGTGTGTTTTGGGCCCCTTCCACGAATTAGCCCTCATTTTCATGCCCTGCTGTCTTTATACTCTCCTTTTCAAAACTGACCTGGCCGCTTATTATAGTTTGCAGTATCAATTTCTGAAAAAAAAAAATATTGTTTGCGGATTTTTTTTTAATTTTTAATTTAGTATTTATAAACTTATTTGATTGACACCAGGAAATTTTACAACTTTATTTGATTTGTTAGTATCATTAGTCTCTGTACGAAAAGCTAACGGTGCAAATTACCTTTTTATAACGTAAAGTAGTCATTTAGTTTCTAAACTTAAAATTTTGAATAAAAACCATGATGTAATGGTCTCCTTAAACACGTATGACGTTGATATGTTAAATGCTAATTTGAATATCAATCTAACAAGTAAACTTTGACATCGAAGAACTAATCTAAGACTGCATCCATACGAACAACCCATGTTCGATTTTGCCAATCTCAATTTCACCTGTTGTTCCGGGACATGCTGTCGTGACCACCACCGCAACTAAATCTCTCCTTGCGTATGTGGGTTGTGATTGTAACCGTAAATTCAGAACCATTTTAGTCCGTTATTGCTCTCTTGATAATAAAATTCAATCGGTGAAGAAGTGTGATGGGAAGATGTCTGATGGCGTGGAACAAAATAGAAACGGCAATGACTGAGTTGGTACGGGAGGCGAGGCTGTAAACGAGGCAAGCATTTCGTTATTTGGGACTAACCAAACTACGCGCGCGTTGCGGGACCCATCTGAGATTTTTGTTTGTGACATAGATACTTATATAGACATATGTTCCGGGTCGAAGTTCGTTGCTTTAGCACGTGCATTTGAAACCCAACGTTCTGGCCTGCCCCGCATGATGTCTTGCAGAACATTCACTCCCTCTCCCGACAATTTATGGATGCAAACCACGAAATGCATATCGAATGCAATTTGCTCGCCGACATGAACGACCACTTTTATCTTGATCACACGCGCACATCTTTTCTGCGTCCAACCCTCTCGCAGGCATGCTATTGTTTGGTACATGCAATCAACTGTCATACTGCTATTGAGGTGCAAGAGGGAAAGTTGGTAACCAACCAGCTTCCTTTGTCCAGGACCATGTTGCAGGCTTTCATCATGTATATCCGTTGCTCAGTCACTGTTCTTGTCTATTTAATTTCATTGTTTGAAGTCGAAGTGGCTCAGTTTAGTTTCTTGGCCAGAGGCTGTCTATTAAAGATGCTAAAAGAAAAATTAGAGAAATGCATCTAGTCCTGCAAGATGGTCCAAGAGTCGTGGGAGTACCAGGCTCTTTTACTGAATTACAAATGCATAAAAAGAAAAATCTTTGATCAACAAATTAGATGTAGTAATAACCACACTGTGTGTAATTGTGCATAATATTGCGGAACGTAAAGATGGTAGATTAAAAGGAATAGAAAAAAAATGAGGATTGCATTTGCCCTCACTCACAGCTAGCATCGCCAAGGGCTAAACATTCATGAGAATGAACCGTGTTTAAAAGCATGTCATGGGTTTCTCAGCGACCGAGAAATGAATGCTTGGCGCAAGCACCATAATTTATCCCTTAAAAACTTTCCTAACAAACCCTTGCAAAGAGCTCCCCATCCCAGCACCCACAGCTTCTGCCAAATATTGTGCCTGCAATGATTATCCCAGTTGAGGAACTCGGAAATATGCCAACCACTTTATTTCCAGATAATGAACTTGTATACTCAAGGAACCAATCACAGTAAGCAATGGAGCATGACCTCTTGAATGCTTTTCTTAAGATCAAAGGCGTCATTCACGCGAGCATCCAGGAAAGCCCATGTGTCACGAAAATCTGCCAGAAAAGAAGTCACGTCAGTATGGCTACTCCAACACAAACAATTAATAGTAGGGTCTGCACTGGTTTGGATGTATAAAAGCTAAAACGAATCAGAACCAGGTCGTCGAAGAAGAAGTGTCAGTGCCCTTTTCGCTTGATGTCTACTTAGACAATTATCAAATTTATTGCCATACGAAGAGCAAATAAAACAGTCTCAACTCACGTTTGTGAAACGTTTCAGAAGAAAAGGTAATATTGAACCTAGTTAATGAATCAATTTCCAAAAAGTGTCCCAGAACAAAAAGCCAAACCACCAGGATGGAAAGTGGATAAAGAAAAATTGCCAGCAAATCCAGGTCCTGAAAGATGAAGAGCAAGAAAATAAACCTGGAGATTTATCTGTCAGCCAATAAATCTCAGTGGTTGAATATATTCCTCCGAGGACAGTGCGCTTGACATACCAATCAATGTCTGACGCAGTATCACCAGCTGCATGCCAGATCTCATCAATAAGCATAGCCCTCTGCTTAAAACTTGTTGGAAAGTTGACTGGTTGTGCCTGTGCAGGATTCATTTATCACAAATTCTAGACTCTTTCATCTCTACAAATGGAAGTTCCAAGTCTGTAACTAGGAGAAAGGAGTCAAAAGAATTAGACAGATAGACCTGAATGCTAAGAGCTTGAGGCCACGATGATATATAGGGAGCTTGCATTTCTAGACGAATTCTGACAAGTTTAAAGATGCAATCACTGGGCGTCAAGTTTTTTAACCCCTCATCCGAGTCAATTCTATCGACAAGCCTTTGTAAGCAGTCATCCATAAAAAACTGAATAGTTCAAAATATACACAGAATAGTGTCAAAACAGAACAACTCATGAAAAGAAAAAACTCTTATACCAGCAGCATGACAATCTGTCATAATCATTAAGGCTTAACAAAGTAAATGGAAAGATAATTTATGCATTAAATCCCATAATTGAAAAACCACAAGTACTGCTAAGCATCATTGTTGACTCTTGAAATGGTGAATCATTCAAGGTTAAAACTCATAAAATATGATGTCAGTCAGAATACAGAGTGAGAGATCCCAACAATATTTTCCCTTCCTTCTACCATTTTAGCACTCATCCTACCTCTGGAGATATAGTCTTACCAATAAGGGAAGAGAGGATTGATTGCTGCAGAACTACGGCACAGATCAAATCCACGCCATTATACATTCATAGTTAATCCAATATCGTAAAACTAAATTGGAATCACGGTATGGGCTGTTGAAATTACATTATTAGATATGTTTACAGCTGACAACAGTAACAGCCAACATTCTACCTTAACTTGGCATTAAATGAGCCGCTTTAGTTCTTCTAAACTGGAGTTATTAAGTAATGTGAGATCAATCTTATTGTTGGATTGTATTGATGGCGACACCCTGTTAAGATATAAGACCAATGGGCCTTAGTCCAGCTGTCACTAGCTGTTATCTTGTTAAGTTATAACTAAACCAATTAGAGAAATAGAGTTTAGTAAGGGCAGTCTCGAGCTCTATAAAAGCAAAGCTTGTACTAAATATTCAGTTGAGTTAATGAATAATACAGAGCATTATTCAATTCTCTCCTCTTTATCCTCTTAAGCTGATATTTGTATACACCCAACATCACTAAACACGTTCTCACCAAAGGTGAGGTGATCGAAATACTACTATCCAGTCCAATCCGTAAGACGAGGTGGCAATCACTTGTAAATTGCAAGCAGCAACAAGCGTTAGGACAACGAGACTGACAGAAGGAAGTATATCTAGCTTTCCTTCTCTGTCATCTACATTCAAGAGATTTAATTACATACACTTGCAAGAGGCATTGAGGTTAACGACCAAAGCAGTGCTTAGAATAGCAAAGAATAAAGACAGAAGACAGAAAATACCTCAACCAACGCTGCCTCCTTCCTCGGGAATGATCCAATGATCGAAGGTGACAGGCCAACGTCCCTTGCTCCAGCAATCAACGCTGCTTCGGTCCATCCCAGTTTTATCTGCAAGACGTCCAACGAGAGCCATAATTTATTATTAGAGCTAAAGTTACAAATCTGAGTCATCCTTGGATTTCTCAGCCGTGGTATAACAATAATCGCATAAAAATAAGAAATGCAGAATTTTAGTAAGCGCAATGAAGTGTCACCAGGGTAAAAAGAATTTTGAAAAGACGTGTGCGACGGCATACAAACCCACGTTTGGATTTTTCTCAGCGCTTTTCAGTTCACAAAAATATTTTGGAATCCTAACTAATTCACAGATCCACAAATCGACTCTCTTATATTTCCCCCCGGAACCTATTGCCAACAGACAGCATAATAATAGGAGAGTCCAGAGTGTACGAACGACGTGAGGAACGGAGGCTTGAAGCACGCGAACATGCTCGTCTTGATACGTAGCTGTCGGTGTAGGGGTCTCATGGCGTTGTGCGTGGTCGGAGGAGGACGATGAAGACGAACTTGAGGACGAAAAATTAAGGCTTTGGGGGCGGGGCTGATAGTTGGAGCGGTGATCAGAAGATGGTTCACTTTGAAAAGTGGAGAAGAGATGAGAGCGTAGGAACGAAGTAGGAGAGCAGAAGTAGAATCCGTCGGAGGCGTAATTAAGAGACGTTGTACGGGAGAAGAGCCTTTTGGCCGCCGTTCGATACATGTCGTGGCGGTGGCGGGGATCGGAGGAAGCGGAAAGAGTGACGGGGCGGTGGGATTTTGTTTAGGTTTGTTATTGTTTGGGAGAAGATCCGCAGGCGCAGTTCCACGTAGTCGCCACGCGTGCTGCCATGTTACTAACTTCCCTACCACCCATGAACCTTTCCCCAGGCCCTCCTTCCCATGACGATTTAACTTTTACTCCTACCCCCAGAAAAATTTTTACTCTCCCAGTTACTATTATGGGAACTAATTATAAAATTAATTTTAATCTTAAATATAAGATATATTTTTTATATTTATTAATTTTTTAAAATTATTCTTATTAATACTCTCTCAATCATAATTAAATATGAGAGGGAGCGAGAATATAATAAAAATGATTAAGATATTTTAGAAAAAACATGTTATATTTGTTATAATTAATTAACTTAACTAACTTCCTTAATTTAGTCAAATTAGTTAAATAAGTCTTATATTAGAATCGGAAGAGTATCTTGTATCGTCCACTGCATGGATCTTCAGATTTGAGTCATTATCCACAAATGCTTATAAATTAGCTATGTATATTTAAATTTTTGTTAATTTTATTTATATTTATAAATTAGTTACTTAGCTTATACTCCTCTGGTTTTTAATATAAGACTTATTTAACTAATTTGATTAGATTAAGAAAGTTATATAAGTTAGTTAATTATAAAAAAATATGACATGTTTTTTTCTAAAACATCATAATCATCTTTCTTAATATCTTCCTTCCCTCTTCTACTTGATTATAGTTGAGAGAGTATCCATAGAGGTAATTTAAGAAAATTTGATAAATATGAGAAGTACGTTTTATATTTAGGACTAAAATCAACTCAATAATTATGTCCTATATTAAGAATCGTATGAGTATATTTTTAACCAAAAGAAATGATTAAATTCAAACCAGTTATCATTGCTCTAAATGCTCTCCTTTGCTTTTGGTTGGTATGTAACTTTCTCAACTAGCTTAGCCAAACACATACATTACACGGTAATGCTTGCTTTGTCAAGTTGATAAATTTACCAAATGAAATTCTTTATGATGAAGATAAATTCAATTGGAATCGGTTTTGAGATAATGCATTACATTGATGTTTAGAAAATCCGACTTCTGGGGTTGTCAATGGAGCGTGATTCTTAATATGATGTGGCAGTAGACTGTTGTTAATTATGTGGTCTGATTAAAAGCATTGAAACAAGAATGCCGTTGATTAATTACAAAGAAAATATAATATAAACTTATTTTTAATTCTAAGATCTAATTTTATAGTAGAACTTGAGGTAATATAAAGTACTACAAACTAGAATTCATATTGAAGACCGAAGGCGCGTGTCTTAAAATTTGATAAATATGAGAAGTACGTTTTATATTTAGGACTAAAATCAACTCAATAATTATGTCCTATATTAAGAATCGTAATGAGTATATTTTTAACCAAAAGAAATGATTAAATTCAAACCAGTTATCATTGCTCTAAATGCTCTCCTTTGTTTTGGTGGTATGTAACTTTCTCAAATAGCTTAGCCAAACACATACATGACACGGTAATGCTTGCTTTGTCAAGTTGATAAATTTACCAAAGAAATTCTTTATGATGAAGATAAATTCAATTGGAATCGGTTTTGAGATAATGCATTACATTGATGTTTAGAAAAGAAAATTTCCGACTTCTGGGGTTGTCAAGGAGCGTGATCTTAATATGATGATGTGGCAGTAGACTGTTGTTAATTATGTGGTCTGATTAAAAGCATTGAAACAAGAATGCCGTTGATTAATTACAAGAAAATATAATATAAACTTATTTTTAATTCTAAGATCTAATTTATAGTAGAACTTGAGGTAATATAAAGTACTACAAACTAGAATTCATATTGAAGACCGAAGGCACGTGTCTTGTCCTGTGTTTGTCCTTCCAATTGTCCGAATCTCAGTTCCACACATTCATCTGTAAAATCCTATCTCTATGTTATCGTTTTCATTGTTGAAACTGGAGCCTGGATCCATAAAACACCCAAAAGGAAGACGTGCTTATGTTAAATAACATGACCCTAAAATTGCAATTCATTGAAAGATTAATCCATCCATACGCTCAAGTCACCGTATAGAATACTGTTAGTTCAATGATGATGATCAAGTCGTCTTTTTTTTTGGGGGGGGGGGGGTTCAAAAGGATGATGATCATGTCTAAACTCATCGCAACACGGGTTAATTAGTAAATTGGATCGGACCTAGCATTATTCGGCCAAGATTTATATATCTATATCTATGCATTTTATTACGCGTTAAAAATCAAAGCAACAGATTGTATTAATTATGGCTGCATTATTTGGGATTTGGGTTGAACTCTCTCCCTTTATCTAAAAAGACTTGGAAAGTTCAGACCTGTATTGACATGCACAAGAATAAGAATTTTACAAAGAATGAGGGAGAGAGACGGAAGCAATTCCTCAATGTGAGAATGTATGGATGAGGAGGGGAAAACTGCTAGTTCCATTGTGCGCGTGTGTCTATATATGATGACTCCTAGCTTCTAAAAATGGTCTAAACGGGGCTTCAAAGGATCAGAAATGGAGTATAATTACAAGAAAGGATGGTGTTAGCAGATAAGCGACTGTACTTATCATCAGCATCATTCCGGAGAAGATCCATGAATTTATATATAAACCTACAAAGCATGCGACCGGCCGGTTGCTAGACTTGAACCTCCTCTACCCTTCTAATGGCCTCCCCTAAGTTAAGTCGTTGATGAGGATTGGATTCAGCGCAACTGGCGCCGAGCTGGAGAAGTTGCAGCATGTGATTTAGGTAGTGGGTGTTGTTAGTTTGAATATCAGGATCTATCAATTCGGCTTCCCTTCCCTCCGCGATGGCCGTCAGCACCCACTGCACCACATCGGTGCCGCCCTTGCCATTGCTATGATACTGAGAAGGGAACTTGCCGGTCATGATTTCCAGGATGATGATCCCCAGGCAGTACACATCCGTCCTGCGGGACACTTGCTGGTACTGTATGTAGTCTGGAGTTTTATAGGCAAACAGCGCCTGGGGAGCATTGTTTGGGTTGATGAGCGGATGAAAGGCGAAGTCAGTGAGGAGCGGCTCGTACGTATCTCAACAGAACATTGCTGGACTTGAGGTTTCCGTGGGGCAGATCATGTGATCCGAATTCAGAATGCAGGAAACTCAACCCCCTCGCGATTCCCTTCACAATCTTCAACCTGGTGGGCCAGTTCAGGTCGCCGTGGCATGTTCCTCTGTCCCCGTGCAGTACATACAGCAGACTGCCTTTGGGCATGTATTGCGACACAATGAGCTTCTCCTCCTTGCGATAATGGTAGGACAGAGGGGTGAGTATGTTGGGGTGTCTGATTCTGCCGAATTGTCTCATCTCGGCATCGAATGAATCTCTGCTGATCTTGTTGATCTCCCTCATCCTCTTCACCACCACCGACAGCCCATTGCTCATGGTGGCCTTGTAAGCTGAACCAATGCCGCCGTTCCCCAACACCTCGGCTGCCGCCTTCATCAAATCCGGCAGCCCAAACACGCCCTTCTCCTCGTTCACCATCACCAAGTCCCCTATCGCGTTCCTTTTCGAAACCGAATTCGACCCTTTCTTACTTGATCCTGATGTCCTGCTGTGGTTGGAGCTGGGCACATGCACTTGCACCACCTCTTCCCCTCCCCCGTCTTTTATTCCTCCCATATTCCTGCCGCCCTCTCGTCTCCTCGCCGTCTTTACCAATACCACTATCAACATCGCCACCATCACAACCATTATAACCATTATCACCACCCTCACCCAATTACTACTTTGTTTCTCCCCGCTCCCTGCTTCTTGCTGCTCCTCCGCCTCCTCGCACTCCTTCTCCACTACTTTCCCGCACAATCCTGGGTTTCCAGAGAAGGATTTCGCGCCGAACTTTGCCAGTTCATCGGGGATGGGTCCTTCCAATCGGTTGTTGGAAACGTTGAAGGACCGAAAGTGTTGGCTGAGAGACGGAATGGCTCCCGAGAATCCATTGTCCTCAAGGCGCAACTCCACCAGCAAAGGGAGCCTGGCCAAAGAGTTGGGTATGTCGCCGGAGAAGTTATTGCCGGAGAGGCCGATTTTCTTGATGGCGGCCAGGCCAGCGAAGAAATCGGAAGGATGGGGCCGGAGAAATGGTTGGTGGTCAAGAAGAGAGCCTTGAGGGTGGTGAGTTTATTGAATTGGGGGATGGGACCAGAGAAGGAGTTGTTAACAAAGCCAACGCTGCGGAGGCCAGGGAGGCGGAGGAGGGCATCGACGTCAATGTTGCCAGAGAGAGCCATGTTAGAGAGGTGCAAACCGACGACGAGGTTGTTGGTGCAATAGACGCCGAGCCACTTGGTAGAGCAGGCAGAGGAATTGGGCACCCAGGAAGAAAGAGAGGAGGAGGGGGAGAAGGATCGTTTGAGTTGGAGGAGGGCGTCGTCCTCGGAATTGGAGAGGCAGGTGGGGGAAAGAGAGAGTGAGGAGGAAGAGAGGCAAGAGAAGGATAGAGCGACCAGCGGCCATTGGCGGGAAATGGACCGCTGTTTCTCTGAGGAGGGCTTATGCCGGAAAATGGCTTTTTTCCTTTACACACAATTACATTCCCTCCTTCCCAATAATAGAATCCCCAATTCCTTCCTTCCGATCTCTCTGCTCGCTCCTTCCACTTGTCTCTTCAATTATTTCTCTTCTTCTTGCCTATTATTTGCGCCATTTCTCCTTTCACCCCCTCCCACTACCACTCCCACTCCCCCTGCTCTTTTATTTTTCACTTGTCCAACTAGTTCGCCCATCGCTCCATGCTCGCGCGCGCGCATATGGCCGCAAGCCTTGTAGCATTCTTTGATAAACCTTTGTAAAGCATTTTGCCTATTGCCCACTATCATATCCATCGACCTCATCATCTACCTTGTTTATAATGATTTTGTAGTTCTGTTTTGATCTGTATTATGCCTTAATACTTATACCGGGAACCAATTAGAGTATTGCTGGCAAAAGGGAAAAAAAATTATTAATATTAATAAAAATATTATCTATCTATCTATATATATCACCACCTTGTTATTGGGAATCAACCCCTCATTGATCTCTTTCCAAAATATTTAAGGGAGAATTACAATGAGGTGCAAACAAAAAAATAATTAAAAGACAAGTCTCGGAAGTTATTATTCTCAGACTTGTTATTATAGGTTGTTGAGATTATTATTGAGACTTTTTAATAATTATTTCTTTTCTGCGAAACTTGATTGTAATTCCTTCAATATTTAATTTAATGAAGGAGTGATCCGGAATCTCATGCTTCTGGTCTTATGCCTTTGCAAAATATTGTACAAAAAAAATAGATATATTATGCAAATTTCAAGTAACATAAAAGTATTTTCTTAATATAGGAAGAAAATGGGTAGTTTTTAGTCATGGAAGTAGGCTTCATGATTGTCTGGGTCATTCATCCCACCGGCACCACTTACTTCCTCTGAAACGAAAGCAAAGATATGAAACCCCAAAAGTCAAAACTGATTACTACGGCCCAACTAAACCTCCTCATCCTCATGACATATAACCTCAGGAATTCGCCGTGAAGGAATCCGGGTCAGAAATGTAGCTTTTCAGGTTATGCCAATTGGGTATTTGACGAGCCATCATAATCACGTTGAAAAATTTCACGGCCTCCTTTCCAGACGGATGCCTGCATTACGTCATTTTTATGGACTGAAGCAGTAAACATTTTTTGCCCAAATTTTACATCCTTGCTTCAATTTTTTCATAGCTTTCTTAATTATATGACAGAATTGTAACAGAGAGACACTTTGTTCTTGAATATTCCGCGCTTCACAAATGAAAAACATTTGTTATTAAGTTCCACCCCGCTATATAGGATTTACGAGATCATATAGAAATATTTTGCACTCTAATATTCCGTGCTTCACAGGATGTACCTTTGACCAGTAGAAAAGATAAATGAAGTGAAAACGACAAATTTGTGTCATAAATTCAAAAGATTTGATATAAAGTTCCAGCCCGCCCATGTTTTCTTATCAGAAGGGCTGGCAAAGTTCAGTTCGAACATGTCCTTGCTAAGATCTTCACCAGATCCACAAAAATCAATGAGCTTTGCTACAACTTCCGCACTTTCTTGTACATGTTGCATGTTATATGGATCACTCCACAATTTATTCACCAGCTGCAGCCTCCTTTGTTTCCCTACTGCTGGAACTTCCCATTTAGCAAAAAGCAGTTCTCTTTCCTCGGCCGTAAGTTTAGAGTTCACTCGCTTAGCTAGATACTCCCTTTCTTGCTTAAGAGCTTTGATGCTGCATTTGATTCAACAAACCAGCGGCAAATGGTTAAAATCATTTTATATTCATGTTCCCTAATCTATATCATTAACTAAAGTAGATATATGAAAGTACTTTTTAAAAATGTTTTTTTTACATACACCAAACACTTCCTCAGAACAAACTAAAAGAAAGAAAGATTTTCTCTTTTTTTTTTTTTAAATAGAAAAACTTATACCTCGCAGAAACCGAGCCTGCAGGCTCGTCCCCTAAAAGTGCAGGACTAGCATTCCCTAGCTCTGCCAGGTGTTGCTCCAGCCATGTCAACCTTCTCAGTTCAACCTCCAAATATATCTGATCAGAAGGGTCTCCCCTTAACAAAAGATAAAACTGAGTGCGATGTACAAGCGAAATGTGGCATAAATGCCATAACATGACTATTTGTTTTCTATTCTCTTCAAACAGAATATGCCACGGTATGGGGGATCGTGCGCTTGCATCTACTCCTTCATTCACAAATTTGTTTGCTTCAAGCTCCAAAACCTACAAGGGGAAGATCAAAATAAGTACAATCTATCGGACATGCATCATCCGCAACATTTGGTATTTTATGTTAGTGGCTAACCCTTTGCTGCTGCTTTTGAGTAATACGGCTGGACATTTCATCAGATCTTTCTTATTTTTAATCTCAACTAATCTATTTTTTTATTTTTTATTTGGAAAAATGAATCTACTTTTTACATTTTAATATTTGTTTTATTAAATGAAACGTAATATCAAAATACTTCAAAAAAATTATCCTGTGTGCTGTGTGTGTCTGTGTTTGCGTTGTATGCAGAGCTCCAAATGACTCTCAAATGGCAGACCTCTTGCTAGGTGAAAAAAGAATTATTGCTATAATCTAATTATCCATGAGTCAGCATAAAAAGGGAATCTGACCATCGGAGCACCACAAGGATAATATGCTCTAGCTGTGCGTCCTGACACACCCTGATGGAGATGATTACTTTATATTACAGGCCAACCCAGAGATTGGCATCCCATAAGGAAGTTTGAAACCCATAAGAGTTTCGACGTAAGCAAAGGTTGAAAGCACGAAGTATTTCCAATGATATGAGAGAGAAAATGGCGCCACGTCGTATTGATATTAATAAAATAATTATGGTGGGTATCTCTAGAATTATTTGATGGAAAATAAATTTTACCTGGCAAACCAGAAGCTGCTTTTGGTAATTCAGTTTCGCCACCAGTTCTTTTAACTCAGTAACATAAATTCTGAAGCTTCGTATATTCTCCTCAACGGCATTCTTAAACATCTTCTGAATCTTTTTAACATTCATTGACTTCGATTGCTGCATAGTTGGACTTCCTTCCGTTGAAAGAAACACGTCTCTATGTGACCTTAGACATTTATCGCTATTTGTAAGAGAAATGTCATTTTCAGGTGCCTTGTTCTCTGTTTCATGTTCCGTGGCTCTAGAAGAAGATGATAAAGGTGAGCACGGGGCTCGTATTATATGTTGCACGTTCGGGCTGTTGCTTAAACTGAAAGGAACAATTTTCTTCTTTTTCGCTTGGGTCTTGTTCTCTGGAGTCCCTTCCGTACTCGGAAAAGATAAGACTAGCTTGTCAAAGGATTTTTGAACATTCTCTAACTTCCTTTCTAGAGATGCAATAGTATTTCCTTGAGACTTCAATCGAGAGATCTCTTCCATCAAGTTGGCTTTGTCCGCAACCACAATATTTTCTGGGGTGGAGCTGGCCACTAGCATGTCTTTTATTTCAGACAGAACTTTCGACATAGCTTCAGCAGTTTCTTGATTTCCAAATTTGTGGGCCGCAAAATCTTTATGCAGATTTTCAAGTGCCCGATTAGCATCCTCACAGAGCTGTAGCTGCCGATTCTCAAGCTTCCGGATTTCAGTAACCAGTGCGGATGGATCAGGAGAAGCCAGTAGTTTCTTCAGTACTGCATGCCTGCCTACTGCTTCTCTTCGTTCTTGAGTATGTTCACCCGGAGTCGATTCATTCTCTACAGGAAAAGAAAGGCATCTGACCACTTGACTAGAAGGCTCGTTTTGATCTAATCCCTGCAACAACTTAAACAAGTTTAGTTGAGAGTAAACAAAAATCCTTGACCACTCTTGCTACAAGGTAATGAAAAGCTAAATGCTCCAAGATACAAGAACACAATAATCCGTTTAGAAGATTAGGGGAGGTCATTCCAAAATTTAGTTCAGCCCGCATGAAAATTACCACAAGCATACCTGTTGAATTTTCAAATCTTTTTCGCTAACAAGACCTTAAACATGAAGATGAAGTTAGTTCTGGGCTTCGCAACTCTTCTTCAAGCCTTGCCACTTCCTTTTGCAGGTGTTTAACCAGTGTTTTATCCGAAACAATCTGCGCAAAAAAACACCCTCAGCTTAAACTGGCTATTTTAATATGATGAAAATATCTCTTAAAATACAATATGAAGTGCACTAGGTATTAGGATTTCATGCAAATGTGAATGCATCAAAGTTAAAAAAAATGAATCTCTACCTCACCATCAATTTAAGGCATTAGACCCTACCATGTTTACTTGAGCATTATTAATGACATCCTTTGCACTGGTTGCAAATTTTAAAGTATTTCTTGTCTGATCCACGTGACTTAAGGCTGGACTTATAGCACATATAATTGCTGTCCGAGCATTACCCCCAGCGAAGACTGCAAAATTCTTGTAAGCTTTGAACCTCTATATGGTATGTGACCACGTTCTCCACCACTGTATACAAGGGACTCAAAAGCTCAAAGGTTTTAGATTTAAACAATCAGAAAAGGCGCCCGTGTTTGCAGAAAGTAGGCAGTTAATATAGCTAGCTTTTCACTCAACAGAAAGCAACTCAACAAGACCGTTATTAAAATTGGGGTTCTTTTTTACACTCAAGTTTTCATCAACACCTCGGGATTTTTAGTTCAAAAAAACAATCATCAATAAATTTATGAGTAATCATTTTGTCCCAAAAGAAATATAATAACAAGTAGTTCCATATGCATTGGGACATTTTACAGATATCTAGAGCTGCTAACCTTAATTTCCTGATGACTGTTGTGAGGGTCAATAACTTCGGTTTCTCTACCTCAATTTAAGGCATTAGACCCTACCATGTTTACTTGAGCATTATTAATGACATCCTTTGCACTGGTTGCAAATTTTAAAGTATTCTTGTCTGATCCACGTGACTTAGGCTGGACTTATAGCACATATAATTGCTGTCCGAGCATTACCCCCAAGCGAAGACTGCAAAATTCTTGTAAGCTTTGAACCTCTATATGGTATGTGACCACGTTCTCCACCACTGTATACAAGGGACTCAAAAGCTCAAAGGTTTTAGATTTAAACAATCAGAAAAGGCGCCGTGTTTGCAGAAAGTAGGCAGTTAATATAGCTTTTCACTCAACAGAAAGCAACTCAACAAGACCGTTATTAAAATAGTTGGGGTTCTTTTTTACACTCAAGTTTTCATCAACACCTCGGGATTTTTAGTTCAAAAAAACAATCATCAATAAATTTATGAGTAATCATTTTGTCCCAAAAGAAATATAATAACAAGTAGTTCCATATGCATTGGGACATTTTACAGATATCTAGAGCTGCTAACCTTAATTTCCTGATGACTGTTGTGAGGGTCAATAAACTTCGGTTAATGTGGCTGCCGCCTTCCTTCAATCTCACACCACTTGTCTTTGTTTGAGAGATACGTTCACTTCCAGCAAGATCCACCAGGTTCTATATACACTAGGAATTCCAATAAGTATGACTTATTGCTACGAAAAATTTCAGGTCAGAATAAAGTAGATATAGCATACCAAACCAGACTGGCTAAATAAGACTTCACACGGCCTGAACTTTCCCTTAGGCTGCTCTCTATGGTCTGATATACATATGTACATAAAAATAAAAATTTGTCTAATGCAGGTAGAAATATGAGAATAAAAAGTAAATAACGATTACACATCAATAAATACGGAGAGCCATCTTTAACCTCTGGCTTAATTAGAAAAAGAGAAATGAGAATATTGACCGAGTCTAAGATTTATTTTATTGACCGAGCCATCTTTAGCCCCCCAAGATTTATTTTATTAAAAGCTACCTTTATTTCAAATAAAACTTATGCAGTGCCCGGAAGACTGCAAGGATGGAAAAATATAGTAAGCTTTTGGGCTGAGAGTAGCTAAATGATTACTCAGACACTAATTTGCAGGCTATATTTCTATGAAGTTGTGATAAGTGAATACAATTTGAGCATACCAGCCTGATTATTTGATGCGATCTTGAGCTTTTATCATTTAGAGCAGTTTCTCCAACTTGCCTTTGAGCTGCGGATTCAATGTTTGTGAGAATAATGGTAACATGAAAATAATCCAAAATGGCAAAGCCATTAATGTTTTCCACATCGAGTGCAAAGTGAATGTTATTTTCTGCAACGGCTTCGCTTGATGTTATACAAAGGAAATCGACTTCAAGCATCCGCCGTAGTCAAATATATAAATATTACTATTTGCATTGCATGATGACAGAGACCGCTCAAGAGAGAACTAGGAAGCCTCTGATTCACACAAGACAATCTACGTTACCTTCACAGATGCCGATCAAGTGCCTTAGATGTTGACCATCCTTGGCTACTTCTTCAGTTAGTCTTTCCACAACAGTCCCTTTCTGTATACCAAAGAAAAATCAACAAAAGAAAAGAAAAAAAGAACCGTCTATAAAGGATATGCATACAATTTACTAGCAAATCTCATATAAAACTTCTTGTTAACTATACCTCAGGATCATCCAAGAGGCGGAGAGGGCCGGATTCACGATTCAAAAGGTCTATGACCATCTCATTATAAATTTCCATCCCGGAGACTCTTAAAATAAAATTCCTTCCTGGTGTCTGTGAGATTGATATAAAAAGAGAACGTTCTTAAACACAGAACTTTTTCGCCGTTAGACAACGCAATCATATTTTGTTTATGGGATTCATTTTAGAACAGCTCCACGCTCACTGACCTCTCATCCAACAAGAATATTCTATTTAACTTGGGTATCAATCGTAACTTACATTCTCGATAAACATGTAAACGTCCCGAATAACATTTTCGGTTATGCCTCTCATCGTGAATGTCTTACACCACTGCTAGTCTGTCCATATGCAAAAATTGTCGCTGCAGTGTCAAATGAATGGACAGAAATTAAGAAGGACCAAGGGGAAGTTTTTAATATGCCCCATAAACAACTAAACATTAAAATTTCAAGCTTCGAAGAAGTCACCATTAATTCCCGAAACCCACTGATAGAGCAACGTCCCTAGCTCCATCTTCATAAACCCTTTGAGATGAACTTGTAGGAGCAAAAACTTTATCTAAGTAAAAACAAACTATTTTATATAAGCTTACTACAAAAAATGGGGAGAAAATGCAATAGTGATCTACAATAACTTACAGTTGCCAACCAGGTTTTAAAAATTATACATCCTTCCTGTTAACAACCAGAAAGATGGCAATTAAAAAAACGAGACGTTTTCATGAAAGACATACCGAAGGTGTATGACGTCCCAGGCCTCTCTTGATTTGGATTCTTGAAAACAATGGTTTGCTCATCCGAGCAATCCCAAGCAATTAGGTCGTACCTGGCTTGTTCCTTCCGGTTCAGTGGCCTCATCCGAACGGTCACTAGTTTTTCTCCTCCCGAACTTTGGGACCACCAGGAGTAGATGAGAAATTCCGTTGTATCTTAGACAACGGCGTTGCTGGTGTTCCAGCCATTGTGTTACGCCTTTGGCTCAGGTGCAGTTGTCTGCGGATTGGAAAGCTACGGAAGAAAAACCAGGATTGAATACCTAAAAAGTGAAGAGGAGGATCAGGTGTCTAAATCTCGACGCAGTCTGGAACTGCTTGGCGCGTTTCAAGATTTCAAGAAAGAAATGCCCTGAAGTGCACATATATTAGCAGGGAGAACTGAGAAATGACATTAACTGCGCGCTCACTGCGCAGCGGGAGGAAGGGAAAGGGGAGAGAGGAAAGTAGTAACGGTTACCGAGGACGCTCTTTCCGTTCAATGCGCGCATCAGGAAACGATAAACGGACATTTTGAATTCCTGGGACCCACTGCGGACTGGCTCCGGATGGACCGGTCACGGGCCGCGGCACGCAGAGCGCCAGACTGTTGGGTCCGCTATCGGGCTATAAAGCCTGCTTGGTTGCTGCCAGCTTTTTTAGAAGAAAAGGGAATGGGATGGAACTAGAAATTAAAACAAAATAGGACTTGGATCCGTTTGATAAGAAACATTACATATGGGTGATAGGGATTATGATTAAGAAAATCTATTAAAAAAATATTTAGTATGAAAGATTACTGTTACATGAAATTAGAGAAACCTATATACTCCTCCGGTCCTTATTATAAGACCCAATTTGACTTTTTATTTGGTCCTTATAAGACCCAATCCATTTTCTCTCTTATATTATGCATTTTTTCCAAGATAATCCTTCTAATAATGATAGTTTTAGCCAATATACTTAATTAGCAAGGATATTTTAGGAATAACAACACTTATTTATTATAAATAACTAACTTAACTTACTTCCTTAATCTCCTCAAATAAGTCAATTGGGTCTTATAATTAGGACCGGAGGAGTATGTGAGATTAGTCCAATCTCACATATATGGGTTTATCTAATCTCATGTAGTAAATAATTTTTCATGCTACATATTTTCTTAATGATTTTTTTCAGTGACAATTACGGTTCCTATTTCTCATTTTTAATGTTTCGTATCAAATATAACCTCAAGATAAATGGGTAGTAAAAATGGCATCTTATATATTTTTATGTACTTTAATAATTCAATTAATTTAATAATAGGATAGAAGTTTGGAAAAATAACCAAAAAAAAGACCCAAAAATTAAAAAATTAAATATAAGAACCATTTACAAAATTGTTGTCATTTACTAATTAATTATCATTAAAACCAATACTAATATTGTAACAATCTATATTTACAATTTTTCTATTTTCAAGTTTTTTTGTGATTTAGAAATTAAAAGATTAAAATATTCCTAACTATTAAAAACATTTTACATCAAATGATTTTTTTCATGAACAAAAATTCAAAACCAACCGGTCACAATATCAGTAATACTCCTCCGGTCCTAATTATAAGACCCAATTGACTTATTTGAAGAGATTAAAGAAGTAAGTTAAATTGGTTATTTATAATAAATAAGTGTTGTCATTCCTAAAATATCCTTGCTAATTAAATATATTGGTTAAAACTATCATTATTAGAAGGATTATCTTGAAAAAAATGCATAAATATAAGAGACAAAATGGATTGGGGTCTTATAATTAGGACCAAATAAAAAGTCAAATGGAGTCTTATAATAAGGACCGGAGGAGTATCAAACATCGTGAGCGGTTGACTTTCATATATAAAATAAATAACACTTTCATTTAATATAAAAACTAATTTAACATTTAATTTCATAAATTTAAAACTCCCATCTATTTTGATATTTTTTCAAGATAATTTACACATTAAAAATTTTATTTATAATTCCAGTCGACACATATGACTAACAAGAATTTTTTTTTTAAAAAAAAAAACTACCCTACTTATTACAAATAACCAACTTTACTAATTTTTTTAATACACTCAAATTAATCAACTTAAGAAGAATTTTGTTTACCAGCCAACTACCAATTGGGGAATGCACTGCTAGAGAAAACATCCTAAACCACAATTATAATCCCTTGCGGGAATTAAGGATGACGGACTCTATCCATCAATCGCAAGATCTGGATTTGCCACCATTGAAATGAAATTGGTGGGATGAGCTGAACTAAGATGCAGTTTTGTATTTGCCACGCATGACTGGGGCATGACATGACACATAATGTAGACAAAAAAAAAACGTAAAAAAAAGAAGAAGAAGAAAGAAGAAAACACTTGGTTTTAGATTTCCGCTTCGCCAATGTAGAACCAACCAGACTGATCCTATATACATTCCGCAACCCACAATCGTATGCCTAAACAGATGACGATAATAAGCAGATCGTAGACAAAACTGCTGCTCCAAATTCGGCCTTTTTCCCCCTACCAAACCTAGTAAAAGCACAATAACAAAAGTTGCTTTACAACCAGAGCTCCTAAATCCAATACTCGAATAATGTAAAGCACAAAATAATGATCTATCTCGCCGCCAACCGAATTGACGTTCCTTATATTTTCTATTTCTTGCTGCCTTTCTTGGTCCTTTTTAGTTTCAAGCTCTTCGGGGACAGCACGCTAGATGCACTCTTGCCTTCAAACTTCTTCGCCATCTTCACAACACTTGCCATACCTTTCCTTGCAACAGCTCGGTGTTGTGGCCTACGACTCATCATCTTCCGATCAAGTGGCCAATATGCATAAGGCTCAAGCTTGTCCTTCCTCTTCACATCCCCACTTGCTTTCTTGCTGGCATATTCACTCCCCGTGTACGCCCACCCAGAGTCCAATGTTTTTCTGCGCTTCTTCACCTGAGTTCCTGACTTCCCAGACAAGTGACTATCAGCTTCACTCACAGTATCAAGATCAGGCTCATCAGATTTTGCCATCATCTGATCCCCTTCCTCACGTATAATCAGGCGTCCTTCAGAATCTACTTCAACCTGATCATCAAACCTTGACTTCCTTTTGAGATGCTCAGATGATTTAAGAGCTGAAATCGTTTTCTGCCTATCAAGTAAATCAAGCGGCTCATCATCCGATTGGTCAGACAAGTGCTCAAGCAAATTCTTCTTGCGTCTCATCTTCGACCTAGGTAGAATATGCAATAACACTGTTAAAATCCATTTTGACAGTGAACCAATCAAAGAGCAGTCTCATTTGGCTAGGCCAAGCTCTATATTACTCGTGGTTAGAGTATAGTCAGGTTAAATTTTCAAAATGCTTAACATCACATAGTTTATCCACAAGGAATAAAGCCACAGATTGCAATTATCTCTCATTGGAACAAACTCCAAGCAGTCAATAGCAGACCGGACAGATTTAATGCTACAGCTCACCGGTATGAAGATGCTGCTGATTTACTGTGTGAGTAAGACCTGCCCCCTTTGGAGATGGTCTTCGTGTTCAAGTATTCCTCGTCAGTTCCTCCACTATCTTCATCATCAAAATCGGAAAAAAATTTTGTATGGTTCCACATGCTTTGCCTGAAATTAAAGTCATATCAAGAAGCAATAAAGAATTACATTGATCAACAGTAGTAGAAGTACTAGTAGTAATAAGGGATTACATTGATCAGGTGCAAATTAAAACGGGTTAATTATTTTAATTTGCAATTCGACACAACAAATACCGAAAAAAATGATGGCATTTCAAAGGTAGTACGGTATTAAAGTACAAAACCAATCACAAAGCTGCAACACTTCATTAGAAATAAAGTTTACTCATCAATCAAGAAGCTTCCTAGTTAATCACATTAGGTATCACCGTATCATATCCTAGGGCCATTTCTCAAATTTACCGCTCAAGATAAATTTAATTTCATGTCAAGTTGCGGAAATTAAGAGAACTGCGTATCAACTTATTTGAGTGGATGAGTAATTAGACTGAATGTCAAGATTTGGAAATAAATGTCTTCACCAGTTAAACCAAGTACAAATGCAAAATAATCACAATATTAACCTGGATGTAGGTGCTTTTGAAAGACAAGATCTAGTTTCCTCAGTTTTAGCACCCCGTTTCCTTTCCTTACGCTCTTTGATCTGCATTTAAAACAGGATTACACATCTGAAAGAGTGCTGATGAAAAAATTTATCATACGATGCTGTTCAGCAGACCTTGCGTATGTTGGTAAGAAGTCTCATGTGGCCTTCAGGCATGACAGCTTTAACTGCCTCCAGTCCACACTTCCTAACAAGCATTTCCAAAAGCAGCTTAACCTGGGAAAAAATTCAATCAAATTGCAACATCATAATATGTACGAGAAGCAAATGAAACAGCAAGACAACAGTCATCAGCAACAAGTCAATAAAACTGCATTAAATAAAATATTGCCACCGGCTAGCCAAACAACAACCTTTGCTTTAAAATGACTTTTGGTGTTATCTTGCCACTTCATCAAACCATCTACCATGCTCTTTAGGTGCAGTTGCAACCATTCTGCTTGTGATTTAGCTACTAGCACCTTTAATAAACCTAAATTGGCCTGCAGCAAGACTCAACGCTAGTTTACTTGATTTTGGAGCTTAAGCCAATAACATTGCTTCATTCAGCAAAACATGTCACCATAAAACAGAAGAAAAGGAAGCAAACCTTTACAATCTCTCTGTTTTGTCTTTGAAGTAGGAGAAAAGTCGATGGAAGCAAATTAAAAGCAGTTGAAATAAGATCAGAGAACTCATAGGCCAAACGAGCTAAGCCTTTGGTTGCAGCACTAATCATATGTGGAGTTTCACTAACCAAGCCTCCAGCAATCTGAGCCCAAGAAAAAGAAACAGAATCAAATATAGTATATGCTCAACCTAACAATACACAGCTCATGTACAATGAGTTCAGAATTAGATTAGATTATATTACATCACATCCAATCAAGGAAGAGACTGATGTCAGTTAGCATACAGTAATTTATCAATAATTTAGTGAATAATTCAAAATTTATATTTACCACATTGAAAATTTCACATAAATTGTCTCTATTGCCACCTCTCTCTTCATCTCCAAGTACATGGCCAATTTCAACAAGAATATCATAAGCCCTGTTCCTAGTTTTTTTATTAGCCTGCAAAAGAAAAAGCAAATGAAAATGAAAATGCTATAGTACGGATCCAGTGCCGGTAAAACCCCAGGCTGACCAAGGGAAAGTGAAATGACACTGCATACTGAACCATATACAATGTTTTCACAATTGTCAACTTGAAAAGTGCACTAAATAGAGGTACCAGAAGAAAGAGTTCTTCCGCAGATAAACTGAATTACCTCCTTAAGAGCAAGTACAATTTCTGTAAGGAAAGAAGAAATAATTTCACGCCACCTTTGCTCCAGATTATCCTGTTGCAAAGCATATTTTCAGAAACGTTACACTTGCAATATAAATATAGCAATATTCTACGGATGAGATGCATCATGACCATAACAAGGTAGTTTAAAACAGCGAAGCAAAACCCATAACCTTAGGTACCTTGGAAACATGGATTATTAGGAAGTAAAGGCAATTTAGTCTATGGTGTTTGGAGGAAATATGACATGAAGGCAGAACTTCAACCATAAGAGCAAGCAGCTCCTCCAACTTTGACGGAATGAACTCATTTGAATCCTGTTGAGAAATCCACAAACAAATAAGTAAACGGCTTGACACTAGCTAAGCAGCAAAAACACCAAGTATTAATTTGGCATTTTGGTTCACCAGGAAACACAATGTACACTAATGATTGATGCAGGGAACTTGCCCGGTGAACACAAGAGAGATTGATGACTACATGATAGTAGAATATAATTCAAACTATCATATGAACCAGATAAACAACCAAATGAAAAAAAGGAAATACCCTGAGAATGACTGAAAGCACTTTGTATCCCTTCTTCTGTACAACGCCTTCAACATCCTACAAATAATGATTCCGCATAATCAACATAACTTTTCATCATGTAAAGGATGTTCAAAGGATCTGTGCAAAGATCAAAGGATTATGCATATATGTCTCCTTCAAACCTGTAATGTTGGCTTTATAGCACCATACAGCGTATCAATATCTGTAGGGTCTAAACCAGGCAACAGGGAAACTGCCAAGTCAAGAAGCTTTGCCCTGGGATTTAGAAAAGAAAAAAAAAAGGAAGAAAGAAAATGATTACCATCAATTATATGCAGACACCCACCATAACCATCAGACGCCTTATTAAAACTCATGACCCGAGAATCTAAATCACAAGTTTGGAAGCCAAAAAAACATTTCAAGAGCGAGATGTCAATGGACACCTGACAATTGATGGTGACACATTATTTGATGACTCATCAACGTGCATTGAACTGGCATTGTCCGCTTTCCTGGCCTCTTCCGTGACTTTAAAAAGCTTAAGCATTGCCCTTTTGAAGAGCATGGATATCACTTCTCGATCTGATATGGAAGCAATCTCACCGATTGTGAGCTGTAAACAGAACAAAAGCAGCTCTAGGAACATCACAGTAGCTAAAGACAACCAGGTGCAAAGTCAAATCTAATGGAAAGAAAATAAAAATTACAAACAAGAGGATCTAGCATAGTTGTGTAATTGTGAACCATTAAAAAGTCCAAGAACTGTGCCAATATATGATAGCCTTTCAATTTTGAAAAAGCCAAATTGAGAAAGAAAAATTCCCAGATAATATATTAGCAGTAAAAGACCATGTATTATAACTCAGCATAGACTTTCAATTTTGAAAGGCCTAAACTTGGAAAGAGACTACATGAGAGCTGAAGTTGTCCTGAGCATTAAAGATCGCAGTTCTAGAATTATGGTCACAATGCAGCAATTTAGAGATTAGTACTGATTTCATAGTAGTTAGAGTCATGAAAAACAAAAAGCCAATACAACAACAAAAGCTACATATTCACATTGGTCAACTCAATGCAGGCCTTACTTGACCACCTAGGCACATGAAAATAAACCTAGATAATGGTGTGAATATAAAATCTCACAAACATCAAATGATATGACAATCACTGCTTCAGCATTGACTTGCATCTCATTGTTACTCCCACAACCGGAATAGGCACTAGGAATCAAGTGCCACAAGCAATATGCCTAAAATATGCACTTTATGGGCACTGGATGGCAAAATCTGTATCAGAATTCAAACCTAGCACCAGAATGTAAAATGTAACATGCCATAGAGAGTAATGAAAGCGTGAATGCCACAGATGCGGGTAACAAATGCATACAACTATTCCAAGGCAAAGACGTGCAATTATAAAATCCCATGTTTATGTCACTAATCTTAAAATATCCTTAAATCAGGTCAGCCAAAAGGATTGTTCAGCAGTAAAGCATTAAAAGGACTATTTCCAATTGATCTAAGTACCTGCAGACAACCTCCATCATCTTTTGTAGACTTCAAAAGAACATTTGACAGAGCAGTTAACAATTCCTGAGCAGAAGACCTCAGCACATTCAAATTGCTTGTTGCAACCTGCTTTGTATAACGGACTAAACCATGCTCACAGGCCATATCTCCGCCCACACATTGATTACCATCTTTTTCATCCAAAATTTTCTTGTTTTGCTGAATAAGAAGCTGCAAACTTGTGCATATAATTCCACGAATGTCAGGTTCATCTTTAAGTTTGATACATAAAGTTCTTCCCAGATCCATGAATCTTTCAGCAGTGTCCAAAGGATAGTTGCAAAATGAAGGCAGCAAAGACCACAAAGAGTGTGCGAGAGCATCTGCATTCCTTGATGACACCATCAGCCCTTGTAGCTCAAACTGCAAAACATAAAGAGTAAGAAACAGGTAGTTCCGAAAAATAATTTTTTTTTTTTTAAAAAAAAAGAATCATAAAGCAACTCATCAACAATATTTCATACCTGCCGAGACCTCCGCCTTAAATGTTTAATCATACTCAAAATTTCCTCTGTAAAAAAGCTTAGACGTGCCCCTACAGTATAATGCTTTAAAATTGGAAAGAGCCACACATTTGCATTGGATAAGTCATCTGCTTTCAAATTCAAAGGTAGAAGAGAAAGGAAAGTTTCTGGTCCCATTGCAACGAGAGCAGCACCAAGGCACTCATGCAGCTGCATGTTTACGATATTAAAGATTAGTCAGCCGCGATATGTTAAAAACTAAAAATCATTTCAGATTGGGCTTTCCCCCCAATCCTCCACTACCAATCAAATTGTAAAAGGTATCTATTCTAATGAGAAACACAACAAAATAAACGTGCTCCGAATGTCTTCAATAACTAGATTATAGAGCATAATAAACTGATAAGATCCAACCTCCTACCGCTACTAGAACACACAGAGGGACATTGGGCAGTGGCAAAAAGACAGAAGGAAGGAGAGAAAAGGGAGTGATATTGATGGTTCAGAGGATCATCCTATGGGACCTTGTTGTAAGGAAAAGCAATTGATGGCCTTGTGATGTGTTAGGGTCTGTCTAGAAGTATGTTTAATCCTTTGTAACTTTTGGGTTTTTAAATCTTCTCCTTCGTGAGTTCCGTCTTTTGGGTTTTGAAACTGAGAGTGGTGAGGAGAGTTCTGGTCTCTCAAGTGCCAGCTTGAGGGTGGAGGAAGATCATCTTCCTTCATCATTTTCTGTTTCTATTTTAGTGTATTTTAGTGTGTGAGCTTGAATGTGTTGCAAGCAATTGCCTTTTGTATCCTCTGGCTGAGTTTTCATATGTTGTAACTTTCTTTCCACTGAGAAGAAGAGTATTTTGATATTTAGTATATTATTTTGCTTGGGCTCTATCATAAACTTAGAACATCAGCACTGAAACCATAATTTTTTCATTGGCTAACTTTTAGAACACATAAGAATCTAACAATAGCACTCAATATCAATCCAAATAGGCCGTGCCAAAAACTAGATCTGCCACCTCATTAGGGTGTCTAAAAATTACCAAGACAAGTCACTTTCTTCCGAACTTCAAGATTAAAGCACAATTTAAAACATGTTTAACATTTTCAACTAGAAATTGGGATATTTGGGCTACATTCGATATGTAAATTAGAAATACACAATACAACATGCATTTTGGATATCAGCATAATATGCATGAGTATCGAGAATGTGTTTTATAAATGTAATAAGAGGAAGTTAGTTTCGTGGTCAGTAAAGGGGTTAATAGGCAGTTCGAAAGTTAGCAAGCCATATAGGGCGTGACAGTCATGACATGGTGTGGACTAGTGGACTAGTTTTCCTTTCTCGTCTCTTTCTGCTCTCTCTCTTCATATTTCTCTCTTTCTCTCACTCTTTTCTACCTCTATTCTATGTCAGAATACAACAGTTAAAATAGACAACTGATGTTTATCATAAGGATACCCCAGTAAAACATACCAACCAGTGAAAAATAAAACCCTTAAGAATAGTGACCATATAGTGAATGTGATAACAAAATGACCAAGTCTTCCGCAGACAAGATGCAACGAATGATGCATATTGTATGATCTCTAAGTTAACCAGACATGCTAGAAAAACAAAACAGATGCAACCATGTCATGTCAAATTTTCAATTCTGCATCAGTATTATTGAAACAAAATAAAATGTGTTCTTATAACGATAGAAATACCTGTTTCCTAAAAGGGAAATCTTCATCAGGTAGCTTCTGCAAATCTGCTAGGTTTTTAACTATTCCTCTCATAAAATAAGTGGACTGATCTCCTGTATTAACAAAATTAGTCGCAAACAAAGTCAACAACAACACATACATACTGTGCGATAATTTGAAGCTTGAGAGATGAGATTTTGAAGAAACAGAAACTATTTGATGAAAATACCCCAAACGAAGGGTTAGATAATTGATCACTTCAGTATAGGCAAGTAGCCAGTTTTTATGCACCATGCTATGAGAAATAATAATCCTACCCTTGCAGCCTAATGACAAGTAAAACAAATAGGAATGTATGATGTGAAGTGAGAAAAGACTAGATTGCAATCTAAGTACCTAATTTATGAAACATAGCAGAAACAACTTGAAAAACTCTGTCCCATACAGAGTCAAAATGATAATCAAGCAGGCTTTCAACAGTTGCACAAACTTTCTCGATGATGGTGGGACCAGACCTCCTTGATGAAGTGTGCGCATTCAAAGCCAAGGATATCTGATCAACTCCCTGTTTAATTAAACTTTCATCAATGCAAGAATGTATCAAGCTCTTGAATGAACCAGTGGCTGCATATATGGCCTCTTCATGTTCTGATGACAAAATATCTGCATATTTTAAAGAAACTTGCGTTCAGAATTTATTTGTGGAAGCAGATGCACATACAAAGATACACAAAAGAGTTCATAGAATTGAAATCTGCTGATATAAACGTTATCTTAACTCCACCATTCAAAGTGCGTGCAGAATCTTACCTTTGAGAGCATTAAAGACAATAGGCAGCTTGATCACACATATTTGCCTATTAAGAGTAAAAACTTTATTCATTCCAACATCTAGCAAGCGAGCTGTGAACGTCATTACATCTCCAGACATCTCATTTGTTGAGATAGAAAGAGCCAGTGAATTTAGTAATTCAAGTAATGCTTCAGGGGAAACCTCCGATGCTGGGTAAAGACAAAGAAAACTCAAACCATCGGTTATGCGCCTAGTGACAAGGGGTTGATGCAGATCCAAGAGAGTTTTGAAGTACTTAAGAATGCTATTCTTGCACTTCAGTGACATAAGCGGAAGGCATTCTTTCAAAGAATCAAGAATATACAGAACCTGCTGAGCTCCCTTTGGTCCTTCACCAGAACATGCATTTTCTCCACCAGCAAGTAGAAGAAACCTCTCAAACAAGCTTGTAATTCCTTCACTAGCAGATACCAGCAATGATGACTTTTGGAAGCTCAGTAACACATCACGAAGACACAAGTGTGATTGCCTTCTAACCTGTATAAAGATGCAATTAGCACGCAATATTCAAAATAACATGCGTTGTTTTCCCAGTGAGTGAACTTCGACCATAGTCAAAAAGTAAGGCAAATTAATTATAACTTAGAAAGGCAAGGAATCTTCTTAAAATAATTAGATCTGCACGAGCATCTGTTATTCTCCGTTGCTTAGCAATGCCATACGTTGTTTAGCAATGCCATACGTGCCACCTAGTTGTTGGATAAACGGGAAAGACAATGCACCAAGGGATCAAATTAAAGAGGGATGTGAGTCCCAAGTAAACATCAACCGTCTTCGGCTATAAACGTGAAAGTTATGCGCAGTTGACAATATAAAAAAACGTGACATTAACACTCAAAGTTTCTCAACTTTGGCTATATGATTATTGCTTTTTAACCTAACAAAAACACTGAACGCTAAGAAGGACTGAACGACACTGAATGTGAGTTTCTACTAGAATATCATCAAGTCAGTTTAAACGTGAAGTAGCAAGGAATTCTCCGCCTGATATCACTCCCACTGCTACAGAGAATTTAGATGATGAACAAGTTACAGAATTTATTCCGCAATAGTACCTTCGGTCGCGAATCTATGACGAATCCCAGCAAGACACTGAACAGCTGAGACACATCAGACCACATAAGACTATCCCTGTATATCAGCAGATGCGAAACGCATTTCAGTCCAGCAATAATAGAAGTCTCCGCCATCGAAGGAGACCGAAGAACTTGCACCAGAAGGCGCGACAAAAAATCCCTTTTCTTCTTCAATATTGCAACGGGAACACGGGAAATGACGATGGAAAGAATGGTGAGCAGTGCGTCCACGATGTGGTTAGGGGCGTCGGGTTCAGAAGAAAGGCGATCGAGGGAAGAACATGCGCCACCGAAGTAGGCGACATGTGTGGTAGGGAGGTTCTGTTCTTTGAGTTCCTGGGACATGGCGCCGATAACAGCGCAGAGATGCTGATGACTTTCGTCAGTGGAATTGCCGAAGCGAGAAAGAATGGAGCTGCAGAAATCCCCATTGTCTTCGTCTAAGGAGAAGTAAGGTTCTTCCAGTTCGATACCTTCCATGGCTCTTGTGCTAGTCGGCCACTGAGCGGTAAAACCCTAAATCCTTCCGGGCAAACACATGACCAAAAACAATATAAATGTTACGAGAATTATATTTTAGTTACGTCGCTCAAATGTCAAATACCGGTTTTAAAAACCGTTTTCCAGTGGCGCGGTGTATTTCCCCCTAATTTTCCCGGGAAAAAAATCTAACTATTTTCAGAAAAAATACGAGTATTTTTTCCCTCCTCTCCTTCCTTCCATCACCGCTTCTCTTTCCTCTTTACCTCCTCCTCTCCCTCTCTCCGTCTTTTTCTTTCCTCTTTCTCCCGACCTTCGTCTTCCTTTCCCTTCTCCCCCAACCCCGCTTCCTCGTCCCCACCCCATCATCTCATCATTAAAGCTCAATCTCAATCTGGATGGCCAATTACTGAGAACAACTATGTCTCCTCTGCTTCGAAACAGCGTCGTCCTGTCTACGATAACATTTGCGAGGACGCTCGCCACATCAATGTCGGCCACCAGCCACCATCGATTTTCTGCCAGGTACATCCCTTTTAAGGCAGATCCTTCGTCCACGGAGTCCTACTCCCTGGATGAGGTCCTGTATCGGTCCCAATCTGGTGGGCTGCTTGATGTTCAGCACGATATGGAAGTGTTGAAGAAATATGACAGCAAGTATTGGCGCAACCTTTTATCCATAATAATCCTATGGTTGTGAAGACTGCAGCTATTGAGATTTTGCATCAATTTGATTGGGAAGTCCCTGATTTGGTTATAGTGCCATGAGTAAATTTGGGGAATATATATATATGCGTTTTGCGAGGGGTTTCGAATGTGTAAGGATTTAGGACTTGTTGATAGGATTCCAAGGTTTGTTTATGCTCAAGCTGCAGATGTGAATCCCCTTTACTTATGCTTCAAGTCTGGGATTGAAGTTTACCTAGTCAAAATTGATTATCAGTCCAAAACTATAAAGGGCATGGCTTGCCGATTTGCTTGTCCACCAGTGCAAGTGAAGGCTGACTTTGGGCCAGTTATGAATGTTTTGCAGAAGTATTTTGCTGAGTAAGGCTCCAAAGCACTAATTAGACGTCCTATTTTTTGCTCTTGATTATCAGTCTACTTAGGTACTGTAGTGCCTTTATATAGTAGCTTCAAGATTTTGCATTCTAATAGCATTCTGTGCGCTTATCTATGTTGTATATTGCTTATTGGTGTAGACTATCTTTGTTGGGCGTTTTATGGCCCTAAGAGCGAACTTGATCAAATTTGAATTCCAGATCAATCTAATACTTTTCTCGCTGGTCATTAATCTGATGGGTGAACATTCTGGACCAGGCCTTGAGTTCTGAAAAATAACACAACTACGTCGATTGTTAATGAAAATCATGTATGTATTCTTGAAATGATATACAACTACGAATGAAGAAGACCCGGCAATGGTAGCAAAAAGCCACATTCATTAATCTCTGGATCACATGTTCTTAGTCAACAAGCGCGCTGTAGCGAGACGAGCACCAGAGCCTGTGAAGGGAGTATTAGCGAACACTGTGCGGAGTTAGGCGGGAAAGGAAGAAGGGGAGAGCCCGCGAGCGGGGTCCTGGGAGAAGTAAGGATGCGCCCATAAATTCACATCATGAAAATTTCCGCTAAAATTTAAATTAATATAAATAACTTTTTAATATTTATTATTTTTCATATTAGATTTTTTATTAGTAACTAAATTATAGGAAAAATATTAATTCCTGCTAAAATTTAAATTATTATGACTAGCTTTTTAAGATTTGTTATTTTTCATACTAGATTTGTTATTGACAACTAAAGTGTAAAAATAATAATAATTTCTGGTAGAATTTAAGTTATTGTGAATAACTTTTCAATACTTATTATTTTTCATATTATACTTGTCATTGACAATTAAATTATGAAAATAATAACAATTTCTATTTAAGTTATTGTGAATAACTTTTCAATACTTATTATTTTTCATATTATACTTGTCATTGACAATTAAATTATGAAAATAATAACAATTTCTATTAAAACTTAAGTTATTATGAGTTGCTTTTTAATACTTAATATTTTTCATACTAGACTTATCATTAACAACTAAATTATAAAAATAATGATAATTTTTGGTAAAATTTAAGTTAATGTGAATAGCTCATTTCAAAATATGATTTCGATGATGTACATTAAGTCGTCTAATATCCAATATGTTCATTTTTTATTTTCTTTTAAGGTTCTCATTTAGGGGATATTTTCATCTTTGCGAATTAAATTCTAATGTGCTGTTGTGCTTCCCTCGTTGTTGGTATCATTATTTGAAGGCACTGAAGATTGACTGGTCAAATATTGTAATCAAAATGCCCAGTCGTTTAACGTGTTGACGTTGTCTGTTGTCTTTCCCTTCCCATCTTTTTTTCTGCAACCTCGGTTCCCTCTCTCGCGAGTTTCACGTTGTTCAGTCTTGATTACCTCATAAATTGTTTTGTAATTTCCCCCCTCAATATAATGAACATATTTGTTGGATTTGTCTAAGCGTATCTAAGACCACTACACTTCCCATACAATGATATTATCATGAGATTATTTCTGCGTCCCTAATTCGTTTATAATACAGAGAGTCTGCCGTTTCTACTTTCTTCAAACATATACTAATAATGAACTTGCTCATTTTAAAAGTATGGTTTTCAAACTTTAAATAATCGTCTCCTTCCATCTATATTTATAAAACTGAGCTTGAGGGGGATTTAATAATATTCATATCTATACATGTGCATGTCACCATGCATTTTGATTAATTAGAACTAAGGAGAAAGAGCCTCCACTATAAATAACATTTATTATTTCTCTGGACTTGTTATTGGATATTAAATGACTTAATGCCCATCATCAAAGTGATATTTTGAAATGAGTTATTCACAATAAGTCAAGTTTTAACAAGAATTGACATTATTTTCACAATTTAATTGTAATGACAAGTCTAATATGAAAAATGATAAGTGTTGAAAAGTTATTGATATTAACTCAAGTTTTAGTTGAAATTGACATTATTTTCATTATTTAGTTGCCAATGACAAGTCTAATATATAAAACAATAAGTGTTGAAAAGCTATTGATATTAATTTAAGTTTAAGAAGAAATTGGCATTATTTTTGCAATTTAGTTGCCAATACAAGTTTAGTATGAGAAATAACAAATGTTAAAAAATTATTCACATTAATTTAAGTTTTAGTAGAAATTAACATTATTTTGACAGTTATATTACCAATGACAAGTCGAGTATAAGAAATAATAAGTGTTGAAAATCTATCTATATTAACTAAATTTTAGCAGAAATTAACGTTATTTTCACAATTTAGTTGTCAATTATAGATCTAGTAAGACAAATAATAAGTCTATTATTAACAAATTAAATACTAACTTGAACTATTCACTAAGTTATAAACTACCTTGTATGAGTGATGCCTACTCATGACTCAACCAACAAATCTTATCATGTAGGATAAATATTAGCTCCATTCCTCACCAGAGCAAGTACAGTTAGTCAACCATGGATTCTAGAAGCCATCAATGTCTCATGGATATTACACTCCCACAGCCCCAATTACCCACAATTATTAATTTCAGGGGACGTTTGGCATTCTCAAAACCGCAATTTCAGAAGCACTTTTCCGCAAAACGAGGTAACCTCCTTCACATATTTACTTCGTAATCCGTAAAAGCACTTCTAAAACCATGGTTTGGTTTCTATCCAAACACCCCCTTGTTCTCATTTCCCCCTTTGATTAAACTTCATTGCCAAAATCGTACCATGCCACGGGGTGCATTTTGGTGCAATCGCTTATCATACGATCCATGGGCATCTCATTTTTCCTGCTTTACAAACTTCACTATTTTATTCTGCCCCGTGTCTTGGGCCGCCGACCACGTCTTTGAAATTCTTCCCCCTTTTTTCCTAACAAGTGTCTTTTCCATCTTGCAATAGTTACCTTTTAAATTTACTATTTTTCGGCAGCAGAGACCTCCACAGATTTTCACATGCTTGCCACAAATTATCGAGACGAAAATGTCAAGGGGGCCCTTGTCTGTTCCCCACTGGATTCCCATGGTGCCTGGATTTGTTTCCTGGTCTAGGGATGAACAAAATTAAGACGAACAATTTCTATACACATCTTCAAAAAAAAAATTTTAAAACAAAATCTGCACATGCAGCTTGAGAGGGGGAAAAAAAGTAGTACACAGTCCAAACTCTCGCGAGAGCAGTTCCCTCCAGATTTGATATGCATGTATATAAGTGACAGAGTCCAGGATTTTAGCCCTCACAAGTTTTTATCCCAAAATGTAATTTACTTTTAACTAATTTATAAAGAGTGATTAAATTTTTTAAAATTAGTGGGATATTTTGAATTTCCGAAATCATGTTGGAGGGAGGAAGAAAAAGAAGAAGGAAGGAGGAGGTTGTAGTTGGCATGTGGGCTATGGTAGTGGAATAGGCGAAGAAGCAGCAGGGAGCATTAGGCGGAACCAGCACAAAATCTAGCGCTCGTCACTCTTGGTTTTAATTGATGTCTCTCTTTGACCGATACACATCCCTTGTTAAGCAAGCAGCAACAACCCATTACGTTAGGCCCATCTAGCAACTCCTTCCTCCATATAGCTGCGTGTTCTTTACAGAACTAATGCAAATCTGAAGCCAATATGCCACTGTTCCTTCCATTCGACCTTGGTGCTGTTGCAAATTTCCCCCCGCTCCTGCTATACAGACTGCAGTCCTCGTTTCTATTCTTATCATAAACTAATCTAACTATCTCATTGGATTTCAAGAGATGTAGTTGAGTCATTAATTTTATTTGAAAATTAAAAGCATACATCCAAATTCACCTATATTTAAAGTAATAAATTGTATAGAGAACCTTGGTAGAAAGTTGCATCCAAGTTTAAATATGGACGGTCTTGAAAAAACACAACTAACATCTCATTCGGTTTACTTGTAATAATAACCACGCATTCCTTTTGAAAAACTCCCTGTGATAGGGATTAGAGAGAGCACCTTCGAGTGCATCATTAGTCATTACTATAATATTCTTGCTCACAACCAATTAAATCCCTTTTTTTCTAATATTAAATTAAAAAAGATCAATTAAACTAATTTCATACCTTCAACATCATTCTCTTTTTGATCTAGTTGATTCATCAAAGTAAGTTTTTTTCTCATCTGATCCCAACGTTCAATCAAATTATCTTTTTTTTTTTTGTTAACTTATCAACATCTGATGCAATATAGTTGAGGATGGTTGATGTGATATAAATAAAAAGTTTACGCTGTCATTCATTAAAAATTTAATATCGTCCTGCTATATAATGCCGGCTTTGATAATTAAGAACAATGAGATCTATTTCTTTTCCAAAATTTTGTGAAGTAGTAGTACATGATAAAATTAAACGTAGAAAAACTCACACCATGCAAAAGAATACAACCTTTGAATGTGTCCAAAATTACGTTCACTGTCATTGATATCATGGCACTTGTTTTGAATGAAACTTTTTCCAGCATAAAAAATAGCTTCAAATGCCAAAAAAAAAAGAGGCACATAATAAAAAAGAAAGCTTATAATTCAATTAGAAGAGCGGATTAGCAATAAAGGAGGGTCTGGTGTGGGCTGGGCCCATATGGCCATGTTTTATGTTCAAGCAAACGGATATCAGAAAGAGTTAGTGTCACGCAACACGACGAATTAATATTTGAATTCCTATTAAGAGATATGCTTACATTTAGTGCTCGATAATATCTCGAATATGATTGTCTCGAATAAGAGAATACTTATATATAGCATAAAAACATGAAAAATAAACGAATGTAAATATAAGGATCACCAATCAAATAAAAAGATTAGTACTGTATTGTTAGGCTTTAGGGACAATCCGTTACATGGCACAGATAGCCTAAATAATTTTTTTTTTGCCAACTAAATAATTTTATTTTATATTTTTACCAATGGATTTTAGTTGAATGAGGGAAATGGGATCAAAATCTCTTCAACTAAAAGCAGCTTAAAACAACATGAAAACCTCCCCTACCAGACTTTGCATTATCAAGTATTTATTTTTATTAATAAAAATAATACAAACTAAAGTTAGAATGTAGTAATATTTTAATGCCAAACACTCTGATAAGATATTACCAGATCCTGCTCCATTATAAACCAATTTAAAAATGTTTTAATCTATAAGATAATTTTAGGCTGGAGGTGCGAGATGTTATGGGGTACAGTACAGCGGTGCCGGATCATGTAATGCAATAATCAACTATCGACTGCTACTATTTATATTTAAAGAAAAATAACTGTAGGCTTCTGCTTCTTACAGATCGATGCTTTGTTGGACCATAACAGAAAACACAGGGTCTCCGTAAGCGCTGGTTTAGGGTGGGGGGGCTCCGATTATTCATCGTCGCATATATGTGAAACTAAGTTTGTCTTTTGGTGAGTCCCTCTAGATAAACAAAATAATCCAGGAGAACATTTTTCCCACAGTTCTCTCTCCTCAGAGAGCTTGCTGCCTCTGCGTCTATTGCCGGGCGCTGCATGGCGGTTCCTCCTCCTGCTCAAACCTGAGGATCTATTCTCTTTCAGGTATCTATGTCTTTCCGCATTTTGACGTTGTCTCTCCATTGATATTTGCCTTTTTCCTTCCTTGCATGTCCCTATTAGAATGCCAGAATTGTTAGCCACCTTTATTATGTTTAATCATTATTACTGCTCATATTGCTCGTGCTGTTTGGGGGCATTTATGAAATGTACATGCTATTTATTGGTAGATTACTTCTTTGTGCTCTAGGTTCTTCCCCTGTTTAGGGATCTAAGGGGGCCATGGCTTACAATTTGCCAATTCCATCCCCCGTAGATGTAATCTAGAACAAAGATGGTGAGATGTTGGGTCCAGTTGTTTTGATTTCACCTTAATCATCATCATCATCATCATCATCATCATCATCATCATCATCTTCTTATGTTCTCGATTCAAATTCATGAAATATAAAATAGAGTACCAGATCTTACGTTTTGACATTAAAGGATAATTTCAAAATCCAAAGGTTTTAAAATTGCAACTTGTAAATTGTAATGCCATTTAGCTAATTGGAAATCCCAACAAATTCGGGTGGATGATTGGCAGCATGCTTAGTAAACACTAAACAGAGACGAGACAACAACAATATTGGAATATAAGCAGCTGAAAGAAGAAAATGCTCGTCGAATGTTAATATGAGCACACCTCATCCGTTCACTTCGTTCGATTTGTGGCCCTCAAGTTGAATGCAGAAATATTTAGACACTTTGCTATGATATAGAGAGAAATAGCTTCATAGGATGATCACCGAAGGGGAAATAATTGGGGAATATGACGATTGGCTATGATTCTTAGGCCCATGATAAGAGTTGCAGGATAGCTAGAGTATTTTCAAGCAGATGGCAACGATTGATTATCAAATAAGGCTGCAGATTGTGATGACTAAACTGTAATTTTACGAATAGATTTAAAGGCCATTACTGGGTGAGGGTTGCTTGACCTATTCAACAAATTGTAATGAGTATTTTAGGCCAAATGAGAACAAAAGGATTCAGCAAAATGAAATATATTTTCCTGGATAAATGGAGCCGTTCCTGGCCTCCCTTTTTACGCAATGACATCTTGCTTACCATCTCTTTTTGAGTTGAGATGATAACGAATAGTTTCCTTTTGGCTGTAGCCTGTTGGTCATGGTTGATTTTAGAAGCTCATTGCCATTTTAATTATGGATATTATTGTTTTGACATTTGAAATTCCTCTATGCAGCCATGCAATGAAGGTAAGCATGACCTGAAATTTTCTTCTAAGATTTTGAAAATACTTTAGAATGGCCAGGTATTTTGGAGGTATATTTACCTGTAGGGTGAGATCTGATGAGACATTTTACTCCAGTTGATGCTATGCGCGCCGAGTCTGATCCCATAACTAACTTCTGTAACGAAAGCTTAGCAATGGATGATAATGGAGGCTCCAAATTGACTGGAATTAGACAGATTGTGAGACTAAAGGAGATAATTCAGAAGTGGCAATCTGTCACGATGGGCTCAAAAGTTAACTATCAACCTTCTGACTTGAATCACAGGAGCATAGCACCAATAGTTAACAGAAGGCTGAGAAATGTCATGTACTGTGACTCGGATGAAGAAAGCTACCAGAGCCCTGAGCCACCACCTGATGTTCCCAAAGGATATTTGGCTGTCTATGTCGGGCCAGAGCTTCGGAGGTTTATCATTCCCACCAGCTACCTTAGTCACTCTCTATTCAAAGCACTGCTGGAAAAGGCTGCAGACGAATTCGGGTTTGAGCAAAGTGGTGGGCTCACTATCCCGTGTGAGATTGAGACTTTTAAATACCTCCTGAACTGCATGGAGAACAATCAGAAAGATCAACACGATGAAAGCTCCTGTAAGTTGATTCGATTATTTGCAATAAGTTTATCTCCAACACAAGTATTTTCAATGTCCATCCAACTCCTAGAGAAAGCTTTAAGAATAAATGCCACCATAGTGTCGTTTCACAATCCTGGAAAAGTCCGTGTTAATTTTGAGGTTAACTGAAAATGGACTAACATTTCCTCCCTAAAATGAAAGGCATATCATGCTGGATCGCGTTACATTCTGTGTACCTTTATTCATGTTCTTTTAATCTGAATAGACCTAATTTCCGTGTGGTTTGTCATCTTACTTTGATTATTGTGGTTTGTCATCTTACTTTGATTATTAAGTTATTATGGGATATAACTATTTAGAGAGTGATCTATAGTTGTTACTCCTTTCCTATTTCACTAACCTTTATGCTTCTGGTGAAATTGCAGCTGGAAATGTAGGAACTACTGAAAAGTGATTTCTCTGATCTTTGTAGGGGACCAGATCATAGGACTGGTATCAGGTGTAAAGAAATTCTCCTTGTTTTGATATTTTCTTTTAAATTTCTTACGGGAACAATTACGCAATATATTAGAAAATTTTCAAACCTGTTGGGGACAATCTAATGGTAGAGTCTTAAAAACTTGTTTGGATTCTCTCGTATGGCGTATGACCTGCTACCTGCGTATAAAGTCCTCAAAATTCGTGCGTTTTCCTAAGTAAAATCTGTTAGCTTATTCAAATGGCACATCCTTGTGTGTTTGTGTGTGTATATGTGTTTCTCTCTTTTTCTTTTCTTTTCCTTTTTTTTTTAATGGGTGGAAATTGTACTCCATTGTTCCTCCCAGATGACTTGGTTATCAGGGGCTAAGATAATCGTTTGGCATATACCCTAATGAGTTGTCTCTGTTCCATTCAGACCATGTGCGTTACCTATTCTATAATAAACTCGTATCTTATGAAATCACGTTTCCATTTCCCTGTATCTCAATTGGGCACATGATGGAGAGGTCATATCAAGATCTCCAAGAATTCTTTTTTTTTTTTTGGAACTTTGATACCTCATGTCCCATATTCATTCATTTTTAATCTGTAAGCTTTTTTTTTTTTAAATATAATAAAGCAACTATATACCATGGCTCCCCCGGTCTCTCTAATATGAATAAAACTAGTTTGGTGCCCGTGTGTTGCACGGGGTATATTTGAGACAAATAAAGTGAGGTATTCTTGGAACATTTTTATTCACTGTAAAACTATAATAAAAATTTTACGAATGATATTTCAATCAAGCAGAACAATACATTAAAAATAGACTGCGTGTATAAACCATAGAGGCTTAAAGCACTTTTAATAAATCCCCCAAAGCAAAGGAAAACCCAGTAAGAACAGCAAGAATAATGTGTTCTGTCTGAATCCAAAGGTCAGCATAAGCTTAGAAACCAATAAATATAAGATTCCTTCAATAACATATCATGCCCATTATTTAGAGTTTAAGTGCTACATGTCTTTTCTAAGGTTACCTCAATTACATACATATTCTAGTAGCTACAAGCATGATAGAGTTTCCATAAATCAACCAAAAAGGTGTGGTGCAGAAGTAGCTTATTATACAAAAGCTCAAGTAAAATAACAATTGACTAAATAAAATAAATAATGGTAGTATCATTACTCAAATAAAGTACATATATTTTCCACAAGCTCCAATGCTAGATCTTTGGCTGATTCACCATCAAGATAATATATTGAACCAATCAAATTGCTGAACTTATTAACACCTTTTAGGACAATCTGAACTTGCATATGACCACATAGAGAGCTATTATAATTATTCATATTGGCGGAGGAGCAACGGGCCGCATTTGCTCCATCCATATCTCACTTGATGATCCGGTCACCACAAGCTGGTTTATTAGAACAGTGTTCTATGTCTGCGTACTGTCTTTGATCACATTGACACACACACGAGTCAGGTCTAAGCAAGCTATGAAAAACTGATTAAATTTAGTTAATGTTTTAAAATTATTTCTTCTCTCCAACATCACCCTTAAGTGATTAATTATAATAAATTCTACCTCAATCTTACTTGTGTCTTATAATCTCTTCCCATCACAGTATGCTTATTCATACTAAGGGTCTTATTAAAAATTCTTAATCGATTCGAAATGACTTAAATAGAAGCATGAAAAGCGTAGGTTTTTCCGACAAATGGAGGTTAATCTATTAATATATAAAAGTAAAGTACAAAGCAGGAGTTGTTGACAGCACGACAAGTGGTATCACCTATGAGTAGATAAATGTTTTTCCTTTTTTTTAAAAAAAAAAAGCCACATTTTTTGCCCATCTTTCTACCCATGTTCTCAATAGCCCGATATATCCGCTTAAATTGGCGAAAAGCTGCCATATATATATTGGAACTTCAAGAAAGCATAACTTCATTACATGTGCGTTTCAGTCATTCAATCTTTTGCTTTTGTTCATTGCTCTTGTGCCTATTTTATTGTTTGTATTCTAAGATGTTGCCCACATAACTTTCATTTAAAGTGTATTGCAGCTTAAAACTTTCTAAAATTTCTCATCCACTAATTTGAGTTTCTCAATGTTTTTTATGAACATACAAAACATGATTTACACATAGGAAGATGACAAGGCTTTGCAGCCTGCTTTTTAATTAAGAAAGGTGAGTCTTTTCTCTTTGAGTTGATTAACTAGATGCTTCTTCTTCTTTCTTTCTTTTCTTTTTTTTTTCCTAGTACTGATGGGTTAAATTTGAAGGTCAGCTTCTTGATTACATAGACTTTTTATTGTTTATTGTATTGATATTTTCAGAATCCTCCTCAAATTATAAAATACTCTTCCAGGGCTATATATAACTGACGTAAAATAAAGAGTAAAATTTGACATATGAATGGTAAGATAGAGATGAAGGCAGCATTGTTGAAGTGGTAAGGAGTTGAAATATAAAACATAAATATTTGTTGATGTTGAGTATGCATTGATTTTAGGATGATTATATTCTTAAAAGAGGTCAAGTTGTTAAATACTGGGCTTTATTTAAATATGGGAGGTATAATACTGAACAATATAATGTTGATAACGGATCTACATATTTTGCATGCCTTGAAAACTTATAGATACTTTACATTTTATACATATTAAGCTGAAATGACGGCTTGAAGCAAAAATGTGATCGTCAACTAATTATTTTGTGATTATTCAACATTTTATAGTCTATGAAAGAACCTTAACTTGTACCCGTGCATCGCTCGGGTATTGTACTAGTTAACTAAATAGAATAAAATACTCCAATGATCTCCGTCCAGCACGACCCAGTGGCTCCATAACAGACAATGAAAGATGGACCGTTGAGTTAATCCCTTCCCGCGACCATAGCTTTACGTGGCGGGGAAACCTGTGTCTGAGAATTCCGAAGCCTTACCGCCTCTCCCGATGTTTCACGCACCTTCTGCAGTTCATCCCCATCCTTCCTCAATTCCCTTTTATGCTAAAACCTCGATGTTTTCTCCTACCTAATCCATCTCGCGGCCGCGACTTTCATCGTCACCATGAACCTCACTTCCATTTACGCTCCCGGTATCCATCTTCCTAAGCTTCCTTTCCTGCCCATTGAACCCTCTCAGCCTCGGAAATCTCGCATTTTCAGACGCCGAAGTCTTAAATACAACTGGAGACTCGCCGTCCGGAATCAATCGGGCACTTTGATACCGACGCCATTCCAGAATTTATTTCACAGCTTAATCACCCAGTATCCTTCTGTCCATACCTTGGATTTGTTCGCCCCAGCACTTGGTTTCGCTTCCGGGGTCGCTTTATTTTGGTCGCGATTCAAATCTCACAAGAATTCCGGGGTTTTGGATATCGGGGAGTGGATCTTGTTCGCTAGTCCGACGCCTTTTAACCGTTTTGTCTTGCTGCGATGTCCGTCGATATCGTTTCAAGGAAGTGAATTCTTGGAGGATCTGAACGAGAAGCTCGTGAAGGAGGAAAGGCATTATGTGACTGTCAACAGTGGCAAGATTCAGGTGAGGAGCCTTGATGGTGAGGAGACAATTCTGGAGGACGGTAACTTGACTTATCAAAGGGTATGCGTCACCACCGAAGATGGAGGTGTGATTTCGCTGGATTGGCCGGCAGATTTGGACTTGGAAGAGGAACGTGGCTTGGATTCTACTTTGTTGCTGGTTCCTGGCACGCCTGAAGGCAGCATGGGCAGAAACACCAAGTCATTAGTACTTGAAGCTCTCAAGAGGGGTTTTTTTCCTGTTGTCATGAACCCAAGAGGATGTGCTGGTTCGCCTCTCACCACTGCCCGGTAACTCCCTCGTTTTGATTTAGCCCAGAACAAATTTGAGATTGATGCTGTAATCGGTTGGTTACGATGTGATCAATTTTGGTGCCTGATGGCACGCATGTTGCTTTAACGTTATAATATATAAAGGATATGAGTGAGAAGATACTTGAGAATACAACGGAAAACATCAAAACGTGTTGAATGGAGGCGATCAGGGTAATTTACTAATTTTATTTATTTTGAGGCAAAGCAAAGGGGTCTTCGAATGAATGCTAGGAAAATGATGTTGTAGGGAAGGAATCACACTATATTAGTACTCTCTAGGAATGAAGATGATGACTTGAGCTCAGGGAATTACTGCTCTTCCTTCTGAATCTGACCTGTTACACTTGTCCAGCCTATGTGTTTCTCTTCCTTCTTCCCGTCATCTTTCTTACATCTTTCTTACATCTTTCTTACTTCATTCCCGAGAAGTTGGCAATTTAGACCTGGGGTACTCCTTTGCCCGAGAGTCTTATGGCTAGACAGAAGATTTTAGAGGCTTCCTAACTATGTATTTTGTAGGTTATTTACAGCTGCCGACAGTGATGATATCTGCACAGCTATCAAGTATATTAATGCGGCAAGACCATGGACGACACTGATGGGTGTTGGATGGGGATATGGTGCAAATATGTTGACGAAATACTTGGCAGAGGTTGGGGAGAGAACACCGCTGACAGCTGCAACATGCATTGATAATCCTTTTGATTTGGAGGAAGCTACAAGGTCCATACCTTATCACATTGCCACTGATCAGAAACTCACTGGAGGACTGATAGATATTCTGCAAACTAACAAGGTGATTTAATTGCTTCCTTCAACGTCTTTTCTCCGTTTTCTTTTTATCTGGCGTTTTCACGAGAGGCTCCATGCAATCTTATTTTCTGAAAGATGAATTTGATTTATCATGTATCAAATATTTTATGACTCAAAGGATTATAAATTACCCAAATACATATTGACCATGTAGGAATTGTTCCAAGGCAAAGCAAAAGGTTTTGACGTGGAGAAAGCTTTATTAGCAAAGACTGTTCGTGATTTTGAGCAAGCAATATCTATGGTATCTCATGGTTTTGGGACTATTGAAGATTTTTACTCAAAATCTAGCACAAGAAATGTGATTGGAAAAATCAAAATTCCTGTTCTATTTGTACAGGTAAGAATGAGTTCTTTTATGGGACCATCTCACTTAGTCTGTATGTGAGTATTGCACTGTGTGTACTGTGTAATATGAATCTGTTTTATTTAGTAGACTGTGACCTGCACTTGCATGTAAATTCATCATAGGTTACGTTCTGAAGGAATTTTAACCTTAACATTTTCATCTCAATCCAGGGAGGTGGAGAGGCTATGTAATTATGAGGAAATTGAATAAAAAAGAATGATCGTCGTTTGATCTAAATACACGTGAGAAGGGACAGAGAATGAGAGTTAAGGTGTTGAGATAATCTCATAACAGAGTTTTTTTTTTGTTTTTTTTAAATAAAACATTACTTCAAAGTGATGACCCCTTTAGGTTTATTTATTGATTAGCTCTCTTAGTTGGTCTTTCCTCATGAATTATTGGCGTTGTACTCTGGCATGCGAAAGAACAAAACAAATAATTTGAATTCATCATATGCCTTCCTCCCCCTTTCCAGTTCTGCCTAATATAAAATGGGAAAATGCTCTATATATGATTAGGTTGTTTTGATTAATGAGTGACCTAATGAATATCTGTTGTTATTTTTAAGATTTAAATCTTCCATGTGCGTAAATCCACCAGAGCCTTACCGGTTTCAACATTTTAACAGAGTGATGATGGCACAGTACCAGTTTTTTCAATTCCACGCCATAAGATTGCTGAAAATCCTTTCACTAGCCTGCTCCTTTGTTCTTGTTTACCATCTAGTGTTATTGGTACTGACAGGTCTGCTATATCTTGGTGCCAGCTTTTAACAATGGAGGTAAATTTCTTTCTGGACCTATTTGTGGATCATTTTTTATTCTATTTATGTGATCTTCCTCTCCCTTGTATCAAGTATAGAGCAAAAAGTAAGTTCTTGCCCTAACTTTGGTAGTCATATCTCCAAGGTAAACTAAACTGCCTAGTTGGAAGAATCGCGTTCACCATTTAGCTCATGGTATTTTGTTCAAATGAACTAAGGATCCTATTCCTTCAATCCTTGCTATATAATATTGCTCCCTTGGTTGAAGTCTAGGTACCTGATGTATCAGTCAGTGGAGATACCTGTGTAGGAAGCAGTTGTCAATCTTTTTTGATTTGGTCATCATATCATCAACGCTTCTGATGTGTGTGCTAATAGATTATAATTTCTTGCTTTTTCTGTTCCCTTTGTTCAGAGATTGTTGTGAAGTTTTTCACTCTGTTCTTGTAAGGAGTATTCTTATACATGGTATTTGCAGTGGCTTACTGCGGTGGAGCTTGGACTCTTAAAGGGCCGCCATCCTCTTGTGACAGATATAGATGTTACCATAAATCCATCAAAAGGATTATCTGTTGCAGAGGATATAAAGCCAGCTAAAAAAAAAGAAGGGAGCAGATTGTTGGACCTTACTCGGTCAGATGTATCTAATGGATACGCAATTTTCCCTGCAGACGATATGATTGAGGAAAGGAGCACTGATGCTGGTTCGCACTTTAGGTACGAACAAGGTTTAGAAGGCAACCTTGAGCTTGGAGACATGATCTTGCATGGAGATAATGGTCCATTACAGCCAATGACCTCCTCTGTTGGAGATGTGGTTGAAGAGAAGAATATTGGCTCAACAGATGGTGAACGTGGTCAAGTTCTACAGACAGCACAAGTGGTGATGAACATGCTTGATGTTACCATGCCTGGCACTCTAACAGAAGAGAAGAAGAATAAGGTAGCACTCAAAATTTCTATTGCCTTGGTATCATGTCCGTGTTTGAAAACAATGATGTGTCTTTTTTCCCCCCTGTCATGAAAAATTGAAGATTTTTCAGTTTTCTAAGTATCTACCCGGAACAACTCCTGTTTTTTAGATATGAGCATGGATTATGGTGTATGGGCATGGCAGGCTGTTAAGAAGCTGTTCAATATCGTACACTTACATGTTGATGTAATAATTATCAAAATTATTATATTTTATGTGGCCTTGAATGAATTAGTCGTAATACTAATATTGAGAAGCATTTGTTATAGGCATTTATATAAATTATTAAAAATTCCAGGTCTTGACTGCCGTGGGTCAAGGAGAGACACTCATAAAAGCTTTACAAGATGCTTTGCCAGAAGATGTTCGTGGTAAGCTTACAGCTGCTGTAACAGGTATTTTGAATGCACGGGGCACCAACTTGAAGTTTGATAGGGTTATTAGCATTCCTCAGGCTCCAGATTCACCATCAGGGAAAAAGAACCAAGAAAAGTTTACCAGATTACCAGGTTCAGAAGGTTTGTCTGAAGACCAGTCCTCTTTGAACCAGATGAAAGGTACAAATAATTCTGTCGATAACCATGCTAGTGCTCCGAGTGGCATGGGTGAGCCTGCTGGAGGAACAGAATTAGGAGTTCAACCCTCACTAAAACCTCAAAATTCTACTGATCTGACTCAATCTCAGGAGCCAAACAATGAAATTAGTTCCTCTGGTTGTTTTGAGAAGGAAGCCAGCAAGTCCAAAAGCAATAATGATACAAATGAGCCATTAAATGAAGCAGTTGCTTCAGAGAGTGAACTCAGCAAAAAAGATCTGGAAACAGACTCTAGATCACACACTGCCAGTCAAAATGAAGAGGCGGTGGCAACTGGCGATGAGCAGAAAAGCCTAAACAGTAGAATGGCTCAAACTCAAATAGACACAGAGGAGGAAAATAATATCCAGAAGGTTCAACAGAAAACTCCAGATTGCTCCAGTGGTCAAAGTAAAATGACATCAAATAATGCAAAAGAAGAATCTCATTTATCTCCTGTATCCTCTGAGCCACAAACGAGTGAAAAGGAAGGAAATAACATTGAGAAGAAAGAGAACAATAATTGGCAGAACGTTACAGATCAAACTAACTCTTCTGATTCTAGCGTCACTTCCTTCAGCGTTTCCCAAGCATTGGATACCTTGACAGGAATAGATGATTCCACCCAAGCGGCTGTTAATAGTGTTTTTGGTGTGATAGAAAATATGATATCTCAGCTTGAGGAGAGTTCCGACAAAAAAGAAATCAAGGACGGAAAGGATGGTGATCATGAGCTTCAAGGAACACAAAAATGTGATAGCCAAATCTTGGAATCCAACACATCAGGTGCTCCTTCTGTACATGATAACCATGATGGCATTTACTCACAGAATGATACTTGTATGGAGGAACAACAAAGTAAAAGCCTCAGCAATGGTAATGGGAGTAGTATTTTCAATCCTAAAAAATGTAACTCTGATGACCATGTCGCTCAGAATAAAAGTCAACGGAATGGTAGAAAAGTTCTTTTTGATGAATGCGATGGACATGGAGAAGTAAACAGGAAGCCAAAATTCATAGCTGCAGATCCACACAAGGATCCTCTTTATGATCAATGTCTTATCGCAAACGCTCCCACCAAATCACTTGATTTAGACATGACTGCTGCATTACTACTTGACTATTTCCCAGAAGAAGGTCAATGGAAGCTCTTTGAACAACCACAAAATGCAAAAATTTCTTCTGTTAATGATGAGGATGCGGGCTACAAGATGAAGGCTCACGCATCTGCAAAATCTTCTGATACAGAGCAATGTATTGAACCACCATATGTAGTATTACATTCAGAAAATCAACAAGAACCTGGGAAAGAGTTTGTTACAGAAGACAACATGAATGGAAAAATTGATACGAGTTGTGACAGATCAGAGGAATTGATCCTGTTTGTGAGAAAGACCTTATTAAACTCTTTGACGATAGAAGTTAATCGCAGGCTGAATTCAGAAGAAATGAAAGAAATGAAGCAGAAGCTTGCTGGGGACCTCAAACATGTGGCAAATGCCATATCACAGACTGTTAGACATAGTAAGGTCCAATTACCACACACTGAAACTCAATTACATGATATTGAGGGTGCTGATGCAAAAGCTGGTATCCTTGATGGGGAGCACATTATTCAGGTAATATCATCTGCCGTTCAGGAGACAAGCTACCTGAGAAGAGTGATGCCTATTGGTGTTATTGTCGGAACTAGCTTAGCTGCGTTGAGGCAATATTTTCATGTAGCTACAGCTCAAGATATTGGCCAGAGAGTATCTCCTCCGATTGATAATTATGAGGAAAAGCCTTGGAGAAGTAACTATGACAATGTCAGTGAAACAGAGATAGATCAAGAACCTGAAGAGAAACCTAGTTTGGACCATTCCATAAAGAGAGATGGGGTTAAAAGTGAACCGAAAGATCTAAGCAAAAGTTCTGTCATGGTTGGTGCAGTTACAGCTGCTCTTGGGGCTTCGGCTTTACTCATGCAAGAGCAGGTATGAGTTGAATCCCTTGTGTTTTCACTTTTCTAGTGACTGAATCTTTAAACCAGTGCACATGCGCATGGGTTTCAAGTGTTTGAGATAAATGCTTTTGAAGAACGATAGGTGTAGTATCGCTCTGCTTAACCCATGAACCATATAATTATGACACTTGAGGCACATAGTGTCCGGTTACACCTTGAAGCATGTGATGTTAAAATATGTTGTGTAGACTGGATCGTTTGTCATGTCTCTATATTGACTGACTACATTATACTATACCATTAAAATTTGAGTGCTTGCTTGTTCCCTTCCAGCAGCAGCCCCAGCTTCTTTCTCCCCTCCTCAAAAGATGGGTAAAATTTTTGTGGAATAATTATCAAAACTCGAAAGAAAAACTTCATTCAATTCTGATTGGATGTACTTAAATTGCTCGTATGTAACAGTCGAGAAGAGAATAAAGTGGTGAGAGCAGGGGATATGAATATACTTTTACTACTTCAATAATAATAACTTATTATTATTGTTGCCTTGAACTGAATCATCTTATTTTTATGCTTCTATTGCTCCATTTCAGGATCCATGCAGAGGTAATGAGACTGCTGAAAGTTCATCCTCATCAGTGAAAATGAAATATAATCATCATAAGGAATCTGACAAGCTTGAGGAGGCAGTTTCTGAGAAAACCCATAATAGTATGGTCACAAGCCTTGCTGAGAAAGCTATGTCGGTTGCTGGTCCAGTTGTACCCACTAAAGATGATGGTGAAGTGGACCAAGAAAGGTCAGGACACTATTTTACCTTGTGATTGAAATTTCTCCATTTTCTTCGTCTACTTACCTGAAGTAACTTTACTGCATGGAAAGACTGGTTGCTATTCTGGCTGATTTAGGACAAAAAGGTGGCTTGCTGAGGCTAGTTGGTAAACTTGCTTTGCTATGGGGTGGCATACGTGGTGCAATGAGTTTGACAGACCGGCTTATCTCATTCTTGCGTATAGCTGATCGTCCCTTATTACAAAGGTAATCTGAACTGGTAGTTGGTCATGCGAGGAAATCAACCATTTCTTGAGATATTTTGTACAGCAGCTTTGCTGAGAGTAGTCTTCGATACCTGGGAAACTAAAATTATGATGTCACATTTGGAAACATTTGCACACTTATTTTACTTTGTCAAATCTGGAGAGTTAAATGGTGTTGAACTTGAGATCAACTAAGATACTTCTATTGATTACTCTTTACTCTTCTTTGGTACTTAGAATCACACAAAAGATGGACTCTCAGTTACACCTCGCTTTCTTCAATCTCTCACACTTCACTCATGTTGCTTATCACTTGCTACGCACAACCTGGATTTTAGCATGTTTGTAGTTATTGAAGGTCACTTATCCTCTTCATTTTTCTTGATTATTCTTCGCTAACTTCCATCTTTGCGTTTGACATGATTCTTACCAATGCAGCATTACTAACATGCTAAACCCTTCTCATCTACTTGCAGCTTCTCATGTGAGCGAATTCGGGGAAATTAAATTCATTTGTTATCTTTGCATACTCTTAAATATGTAGAAATAAGTAATTGTTGCGTCTGTGAAATCCTGCTGGTTTTGTCTTATGTGCTTCTGAGATGGAGATTGGAATATATAAACTCCAGTAATTCCTTTTATAAACATGCAAAGTAGCTTTTCCCATATATGCAAGTGATTGTGATTTTGTATATCCTAATTTTCAAAGATTTCTCTTTCCTCCTTCAGGATTTGTTCGTTTGTTGGAATGGTCCTTGTTCTATGGTCCCCTGTTGCCATTCCATTGCTTCCAACTTTGGTTCAAAGCTGGACAAGAAATAATCCTTCCAGATTGGCTGAGCTTTCTTGCATTATTGGCCTCTACACTGCTACAATGATACTTGTTGTGTTATGGGGAAAAAGAATCCGTGGGTATGGAAATGCACTAGAGCAATATGGGCTTGACTTGACATCACCGACAAAGGTATCAATTTGGGATACAATCCAGAAGAACATGGAGTTTTTTATTGACATGTATTGCAGACTATCTTTCTGTCTATGAAGCTGTCGGTGTCACTTTTCCATCTTAATATTTTCTTAGTATCTTGATTTAAATTATAAATTTGAAAAGTCATTACCTGGAGAAGGCCTGGTAATGATTTCATTTATATCTTTTGTCATAGTCCATTAAATTCTTACACAGCCTTTAAGGTTATCACCTCCAAATTAATTTCATGAAGCAAGTTTTTATAATGCCTTGGTTTCGAAAGGGGAAATGAATCGCTTTGATACGTCTACTGAAAGAGGATTTTCATGAAATTGAAAGAAGTGGTTTGATCTTGAAATGTGTCTTCGATTTTCATGCTTCTTTAGAGAGGCTTAAACAAAAATTGTCCATCCGGGCGCTTTCATGTTTTGCGGTTCTTGTTTGCAAAGATTGAAAATTCTCACTAGGATGGTCCCGTTTGAAACATTTATAATGATTCCTCATTTGCTCCTAGTTAAATAAAAATTATTGTTAGTGGGCGTTGCAATAAACTTTTGTAATTGCACATGAAGAATTGTTGGTATTTGTAAGAAGAAAGGACATGATTGGCGAGAAATTGAGTTTAGAGCGATTATTAAACAGCCTTCTTATTGTCCATGCATGTAATTCATAACTCTCTCTCTCTCTCTCTCTCTCTCTCACACGCACACACGCACACACAGACACACACTACCGTTGACTTTTAGTGTGCGTTTGTATGCAAGGGATAATAGCTCTGGCTACTTATTTGCTTAACTCTCTCTCTCTCTCACACGCACACGCATAGACACACACTATCATTAACTTTTAGTGTGCATTTGCATGTAAGGGATAATAGCTCTTGCTACTTATTTGCTTCTGCCTGTGGTTGGATTGAGCACACTGGATGTGGTTTGCAAAATGAACTTCAAGGTCAATAGGGCGCATCTATTTTGATTTTTTTTTCCTTTTTTGTTGCCCTTTGGGTGTAGGTTAGAGGCTGTATGTGATAATGGGGATTTTTCTTTTATTTTTCACTGGCACTTGGTTCTGAAAGATAAGCTAATTTTGAATCTTTGCTGCAGCTATTTGATTTTTTAAAGGGTTTGGTTGGTGGGGTCATCTTTGTTTCTTCAATTCATGCTACAAATGCATTACTTGGGTGCGCAATTTTCTCATGGCCGCCCATTCCACTTTCTTTGGATATCATGACTTGGCTCAAAGTGCACGGACAAATGGTTGTGCTGGTTGTTCAGGGGTTTGTCATGGCAGTTGCAATCGCGCTTGTGGAAGAATTACTTTTCAGGTCGTGGCTGCCCCAAGAAATTGCAGTTGATCTTGGATATTACCGTGGAGTTATCATATCTGGGCTTGCTTTTTCTTTACTTCAGAGGTTCGTTTTCTTGATCCAGTCGTTTTTTGTCTGTCTTACTTTTTCTGATAAAAGTCTATCGTATTTTTTATTCATATTTTTAAGTATTACTAGACCCAAATCTTTTAGGGAGGTGTGTAAGTATGTCTAATTAAGTTCTTTGGTATGTTTAATTGATGGCGCTCTTCAATTGAATCTAAATGATATCTGTATCTTGGTGGGGTCTTCTTTTCAGGTCTCCACAAGCAATACCAGGACTTTGGCTTTTATCATTGTCGCTTTCAGGTGCCCGACAGAGAAATGGGGGTAGTCTCTTGATCCCGATTGGGCTACGCACAGGGATGATAGCGTCCAATTTTGTCTTGCAAAAGGGCAGATTTTTGAGCTATGGGAGCAACTTCCCTCTTTGGTTAATTGGGACTCATCCATTCCAGCCATTTAGTGGGATAGTTGGTTTGTTATTTTGCCTATCATTGGCGATGCTTCTCTACCCTACACAGGCCTCAGAAAAAAGAGAAGCTCGGGACAGATAAGGAGAAAATCTATTGGATGATGGGATTTTTTTGATTCCCTGACACTCTTGAGTGTTTCCTCTGCTGTGAATTCAACACTCGAGGATGGAAGAGGGGAATTGGTGATCGGGCGAGTCATGTCATACGAAGCCTGGCGGCACCTATCATGATATTGTCTGTTCGAAGAATGGAGACATGATTTAGAAATTAGGAGAGCTTTTTTTTCCCCCCCCCCCTTTTTCGTGTATACAGGGCAATAGGTCTGTACAGAAGGGTTCGTTTTTTGTACTCATTTAATCATATAGAGAAGAGGGTTCGTTTTTGGCCGTGGTATAGGGTACAGGGTTTATTCTCTCAAGTCTTGCCAGTTATTATATCATTATATACATGAGATGATGCGGGATCTTAGATGTGTATAGTTTTGTTCTTTTCCAGAGGCATACGAACATTGTGAACCCTCCAGTAACAAGTTACTTCAATGTCCACGAAGGAACGAGAATTCGTTCCCTCTTCACCCAAGCGAATCTTACTCTGGTCCTTTCTCATTCAAGTTAACTTCCTGTGAGATTATCTGCTTATGTGTGCCCATGTGACTACCTAAACGATATTAAATACTAGTTCCTTTTACGGTAAAGTCCATACTAGCTTCCTGTGGTAAAGATTAAATACTAGTTCCCTTTTACATATTCGTGGAGTAATGGAATATAATTATATAAGCTTGGATACTGTACCTTGTATGTATACTCGATCATCGATCAGCCGTAATAAAACTAATATATATTTACTTTGTCTAGATATTATATAAGGAATAAAAAAGTGATACTAATAAGTTTCATATTTAAAACAGGTGATATCTATACATAATTGTTAAGTTAAACTAAGTAGTAACTAATAATCAATCATCTTCTGGCCAAAAAGAAAAACCATAAACATTGAATTTATTGTAGGCGCATTCATTGGCATACATGATAGGAAAGCTGCACAATTATAGGGAGAATTACAATGAAATCCTAAGCAAAGAAAATAATTGAAAAAACAAGTCCTAGAGGTTGTCATTCTCATTATAGAACTTGTTATTATAGGTTGTTGAGATTGTTATTGAGACCTTTTAGTAATTATGTCTTTTTTGTGGAACTTGATTGTATTTCCTCTCACAATTATATCCAAGTCCAAAGCCGATCATGTCCATCATTGACCGGTCTGTGCCACAAGGAAGAATGTTCAATCAAAGAAGTACGAAATTGATTGATACTGATTGATTTTGCAAAAGATTCAAAATTCAAACCGATTGAATGGTCAATGAATTCGGCTAATCGGATCGCATTGTAACGATATTAATTATAATTAAGTCCATGTAAGTTGGATGAAACCTAGAAAAAAGTGGAATATGACGAGTAAGCTGTGAAAAAGGAATGAGCATGTGGAAGGAGTTCGAAGTCGGAATGGTTTAAGTTGGAAGGTTTTCTATAATCAGAACATGTTGCGCTTGCGCCCTCTGCTGACATAATGAACGCTGCTAACATTCATTCATGTTTTGCTTCTCTTTTCTTTGAGGAGATGCTTCAGCCACCGTTTGTGCCTGACAAGACCCGCCCAAAGTGAACGCCCAACCAGCTAAACATACTCTCCTTCCTACATACCTACATTGGCCTAACCCTATGAAGGATTTGTTCGCCCCCAGGGGCACATAGCTAAGTTCCCTCTCCACACACACATAATAATATATATCGTCTTATAGCAGGACAGTGCACTAATCGGATTTTTTTTAGTATCAACCAACAACCTATATAAAAACAAATAAATTGGGTTGCGGAAATGTAATTCAGGCAAAGAATGCACGGCTTTAAACTTGATGGGCCAAGTGCGCCCGTCTTCGTAGATTTCCAATCATTCCAATATGGCAAAGAAAAAGAATCTGGAAGAACAAAAACGAAGCCGAAAGGACTTTTTTTTTTTTTTTCTTTCCTTTTTATGACCCAACGTGATGACAAAGTCAAAATCAAAGACATAGACCACATGGACTATAAAAACTCTGGAAAACACCAAAATGAGCAAAGCCGGATCCTCCATTTCACGAATCACTCTTCAACTTTCTGATTTACTCTTCAACGGCGAGGGGCACAGACTCGGCCTGCGATTCACAGGAAATAACAAAGGAAGAGTGCATGTGTAAGCAAGTGGTGCATCCAGTGAAATTTTTTTTTTTTTGGGGGGGGGGTTTCATACCAATTTACGGTACTTGAGGGCGTAAAACATCTCCAGATAGCGGCGGCTTTCACGGCGGTCAAGCTTGGACACATGCTTCCAGAAGCCATACACACCGGTGAGAGTCAGAAGCCTCTCCGAGTAGATCTGCCATGTGTACCTATTCCCACCAAAAACCAAAACCTCAATTACAATCACATCATCCACTCAAACACGGCACCGCAGAGCAAGACCAAGTTTGCTTACTTCTCGTGAATACGTTTGAGTCCTCCCTGGGAAATCTTGTCCCAGTGGGTTGGGTCTGCCTTGCACTTCTCGAAGAATTCCACGAGCGTTTCGGCGGCCCGATCCCCGTGGTATGGGTCAATGTGGTATCCAGATTTGCCGTGAACTATGATCTCCGCCGGCCCACCATTGCAAGTAGCGAATGTGGGCAATCCGCAGGTCATGGACTCCACAACAGTCAGCCCAAATGCTTCGTATAGAGCAGGCTGCACAAATGCTCCTTTTGTGTCGCATATCACTCGGTACAGCTCCCCATTCCTCACCCTGTTCATCTGCGACGAAATCCATCTGAACTGCCCGTTCAACTTGTAGGTCTCGATGAGGCCGTACATCTTCTTCATCTCAGCCTTCTCCTCCAAGTCCTTCGACTCCTTTCTCCTGTCCCCAGCAACAACCACCAGGTTCACCAGCTCACGCAGCCTCGCGTTCTTACCGTACCACTCGACAAGTCCCGTGATGTTCTTCACACGGTCCAATCTTGCCATGGTGAAGATGATTGGCTTGCTTCGGTCTTTTAATACGCATCTGTCACAGAAATAAAATAACATTAAATGCTTTCGGATACAATCAGGTGCAATTACAAAATTTCTTGCCGACACGAGAGGCACAGAAAACTAACATGTGCTCCTCATTCTCGACTGAACTGTAAAGAAGCTCTTCAATCTCGGGGTGAAAAGATGTCAGCCTGCGCTTTGTTTCTGTGTAGGGGAAGTAGATGCTCATATCTGCTCCGGGAGACACAATGTTGAACTTTGGATCAAACACGTCAATACCGTGAACAACACGGTAGAGCCCAGGAAGGGTAAATGCAGTGTGGCTCTCATACTGTCCAACAGTATCCTTGCTGTAAATGCAATACAGATTATACAACTTAGTGACAACTTCAATATAAGTTTTTATACTCGTGCAAACATAGGGTATTAGCTGTGAGGCATGGATCACCTTCCAGCAATCTCTTGGAAGGTACTGGTGATGATAAAGTCTGTGTGGTTCATAGCAAAAGATCGGCTGTAAATTGGGAGGAGAAGTGATATTTGTCTTCAAACTTTTTCCAGTAAATGTCGGAATCAGGGTATTTGGTCTTCTCAAGTGCGTGAGCAATGGTACACTGCAACAGATCATTCACATTGGTTGGTACTAATTTGGCCTCTGGATTCCAAAGGATATAGTCAAGAAAAAGTAACAGGCACACAAACCTGTGTTACGCCCAACTTATGTGCTAACAAAGAGGCAACAATATTTCCATCACTGTAGTTTCCAATGATGAGATCGGGCTTGCCCTTCAACTCTTTGGTAATTTCATGAGCAACATCCTAAAAGCATGGGTGCATGTCAAATATTATAAAGCCAAGTGAAAGGTCTAAAGAAAGAGTCGAAGAATAGCAATTACCTCAGTGTAAGTTTCTAGATAGGGCCAGACTTCGAATCTTGAGATCCATTTGCGAACAATACCTTTCTCTGATCTGAAGGGAACTCGAAGAATATTGGCATGCTCAGTTCCATACACTTTCTCTAGGCGCTGGCCGCAAGTAGTTCCAACTGCGTCAGGGAGAAGACGGGTGATCTGCATTCATTATCATCGGTTAGACAGACATATATCCACACAATGCACGTCAGTGAGAGACCACTGTGAGGGACACGGACGTACAATGAGAATCTGGGGCGTGATATCTAGGCCCTGTTGCTTAATGCGATGAAGCATCTCATTCTCCAAAGCACGGACTTGATCCAAGATGTACACGACCTGGAAAGCAATAGACGGGATGAGCAAAATAGTGTGGGAAAAAGGGAGAGCAGGAGCTATCCTTGTCAACTAACCTGGCCACCGGTATCGGGGTAACCCAAGACATTATCTTGAGCAAAATAGCCATGGGGGGTAAGGATCACAACATTGAAAACCATGGGAATTCTACCGAGGAAGGTCTCGAGGGTGCAGGGGTCAGGTGCCTCCAAAAGATCCAACAGAAGTTGAATCATCTCAAGGACACGCTCCGCTGTGTCACCCCACCCTCTCTCCAAACCAATTTCCTGGAATTTGTGATCAAATTCTGAGTAGGGTGTTTCAGGAGCAAGAGTGCCCAGATACTCCTCTGCTGTCCTCAAAACATGTTGCAGAGAATTCAGGTTCTGAATTCTATCATTCAACATCATAGTCTGCCCAAGTCGAAAGCTTTTATTCATTAGAAGATGCACAGATATCAGTTTAGTGTGACAAATATGGCTCTCGACGCCATACCTTTCCCTTGTGGCTGTGGAGTCTGAGAAACTCCAGTAGCGGCTGCATGCTCTCCTTGTCATGGAATAATTTTGCAGAAAGGTGGCGGTTGAGGAACTCCACGCCATTTCCGATTGACTTGTTTAATGTTGGACGTGGAAATGATGCGTTAAAGGGTTCAAAGTCCAACTCCAGCACAAAGTTTCCGTTAGCACTGCGTTAAGTGTAACCCAACTGTTTAAAATAATTACTACAACAAAAATAACAAATGCCATTGAGAAATTCAGAGTTTTACCTTCCATCAACAAGTTCTTCCTTGAACTGCAGATACTCAGCGACACGCAATTCCTCAACAACAAGAGCGTGCACATTCACTCGCAGGTACTCCCAAACACCAGGCCTTGGACGAACGGCCAGAGCAACCCATGGAGGCAAAACTATAGCTTCCTACAGCGGAGAAATCAATTCGGATGAGATGCCCCAAGGAAAAAAAATTCCTGAACCGGTTACATTTTGCGTAACAGCATTATTGACTGATGTGAAAATTTTGACCTGGGTAGATCGCAGAACCTCTCCAAAGGCCCCATCAGTTAGTTTCTGCCTGTTTTGTTCAGGGATTGCTTCGAACTCAGCAATGACCTGATGGTGTTGGAGAATTCCCTTGCCCTTGGCTTCAATCCTTTAACACCATCCATATTTTCAAATGCTTAATTCGTAGATTTTCTTGCAGCCCATTGAAAATTAATTTGACCATAACAACTGAACCACTATGATGTATGTTTGAGAAAACACTATAATAATTTCTTTTTCAAGAAGAAATAATGGTTACCTAGACAGGAGGGTCAGGATTTCATTCCTGTGAGCTTTGAGAGTTTCATCAAGCCTCTCGCGGAGAGTGTGAACGTGGGTCAATTGCTCGGTGGCCATTACTCAACTGCAGCAAGAGAAGTAATGTGAGAAACAGCTCTAGATAATACACAGTAACTCAGTAAGTCGCCCAGAGAAAATAAGGCTAGTCACCAAAAGTCAAAAATCATAACCTAAGCAATGTGACCCCCCCCCCCAAAAAAAAAAAAGACCTACCTACTATCACCAACCACCTCAAAAACATCATTTTAAAAAACTGAAGATTTTATTCTCCCTGTCGATCGAAGATTTATTTCTTAAATAGTGGAGTCCTGAAGGAGAATAGTTGCAAGATGCGGTTTCTTTAGGGGCAGACCCAACTTATCTAAGTGCATCTATTACAGCATCAGTATTAAGCAAAGTGCTAGCCAGTAATAAAGGAAGTATCGGATCTTTGGTTTAAAATTACATAGATATGTTAAGCAGGCGTAAATCACTTTAATAACGAGCGAGCTTCGGGAGTCTTCAGACAAAGACATTTTTTCTATAATGAGTTTATTAGTCTAGGCCGGATTTAGGGAGGAAAGCAGCACAGAGTTTTGATCTTTTAACGCCAAAAAAAAAAAACCAGCTCTTTCTTCCAGAAAGAGGTTGGGATGAATTAAACGACCCAACAGAGCCTCGTTCCGTAAACAGAGTTAACTCGTGGAGTAAAAATGAATCCAAATGCAAGAACGGCAGGATAAGTTCAGACACTGATCCAATGGTGACCATAAATGACTTGGCAGACAAAGCCAGATATTTCAGACTGGAAGTTGCCACGGCAGCGTTAAGCATAAAGAAGATGAAGTGATGAAGAAAACAAGCGAGAAGAGCAGGAGGAAAAAAAAGTTTGGGAGGGGGAACAGGCGGGGAAGATGAAAAATAAAGAGCCAGAAGAAAAGAAAGGAAAAGAATACATACAGAATCAGAATAAACGCAGAATAGAGGCGGGGAAGGAGAAGTGAGTGAATGAATGAAAATAGAGGCAAAGGGTGGGGGCATTTATAGAGCGGGAGCGCCAAACAGAAGTGAAATGCTACCAGCAACGTATGTCAAAAAGCAGTGGGGATAGAGATCCGCGGGAGATTCACTGGCGGTAAAAATACAATGCAATTGAGAACAATTTTTTTTGTTTTTAAAAACAAAAAAAAAAAGGAATCTGTTTTAAAAACTAAAAAATCAAAACCATTTTTTGTAGTTTTTTGTTTTTGTTTTTTATTTCTGGAACCTTTTCTTCTCTGTTCAAAAGGCTATTTCTTTATTTAAGGGCATAAGTTATCATCAAAGTTTCACTATTAGATCTTAATGTGTTTATTCTTAAATTTAATTTTTTAGAACAATTTTCCAAACATACTTTTGTATTTTTTTTCAAAACTTGTTTTGAAAAACAATTTTATAAAATGTTCTGAGAAAAAAATTAAAAAAAACAGAAACAAGCATGCCCAATATTTTTCTTGTTTCCCTTCTGTCTACTTCACCCGACAGGATTTATTTGGTGATTGCGGAACGTAAAATTAGCGCCAATAACTCGCGAGAGGAGCATGATTTTATTATTCAGTTAATGGGGAAAAAAAATAATGCGCGGATATTGGCGTGCTAGAAAATGAAGGGGTTGCCTAATATTGTGTATTTCTTATTGATCAAGACAGTATAGGAATTTACATAATTTAATTTGGCGGCCAATATGAGAAAGGAGGAGGGCGGAGGGGTTGGGCAGAGTCTGTATATATACGGTGGCCGGCATGGGCTTCAGCGTGCGGATGAACTGCGGCCGCCATCATCCTCACAACCAAAGACTTTCTAGCGTCACCTACCGACAGCCACGGCCCTGCCTGCTTCCCGCAGTTTGTGTCTATTGGTTTGTACTTGGAGGAGGAGGGTTGTGTTTCAAAAAATAGGAATTCTTGAAGAATGAAGTCGCGACTATATATTAATTTAAGATAACTAGAAAATGAGCTATATTTTAAATTTAATACCTTATCTATAATTATGGAAAAGTCATTTGTTAGGAATCTAGGTATCATGGAATTGATTTTTCAGAGTTGAGTGTCGTTGTTGGGGTAGCGGATAATGAAGAGAAGCGAAGAGTGAATAAATAGATATTTGAAGGGTGGGTGCCTCCTGCCTCGTCATGCAGACGTGGATTTTTAGATAGGAGTAGTAAAGAAGAAGATGAGGTGAGAGGTAAAGGTAAAGAAAGGCTCTCGTGATTGGCAGCTTTGGCCTTTATTGTCAGAGAAGACTCCTTGTCAGTTGCTCCCAAGTCCCAACCTTCCCGTGGTGGTTCCTCTGTTCTTTTCAGTTTTCACTCTCTCTCTCTCTAATTAAATATTGGCAAGATGCAGTGCAGTGCTGATTGTCGATGAGTTCGTGTTGAGGATAGTGCCGTCGTCAAGCATTACCTGAAATATATATATATATAATCCGAATTAGACGCACATATGTTGTGTTGATCCACTTGTTGATTATATTCAACTCATTAACCTTAGCTTGTTCGTACTTCAATCATTTGTATTCCACCAGCACTGTTTATGAGAGGCGCAAGTGCCTGGGCAGCATCCTTCTGCTCAGGCTTTTGAATACTGCGACCTCTACCTATGGATGCTTTATTTGTAGATTATATTGTAGAAGTAGAATGGGACGGGGCTTGCAGAGAAAGATGCAATGCAATGCAGTAATCAACACCGGGGCTTTGATTCTATGATCATCTGATTTATAAAACTGAACCCAACGATTTGGTGAACCTTGTGGGCCGGGCTCTGAACTGTACGTGTGGTGTGGAGTCACATGGGATTAATTCAAATTAAGCAGCGGATAAAAATATCTAGGCTTTTTTTCGGGGGTAGGGGTCTAGGGGACCGAGGTCAGGTCAGGTCAGGTAATGAAGGCGCGCACGTGATGTGGGCTAGGGACACGGCCTTTCTTCTTCTCGGAACTTTTTTTTTCCCATTACTAAAACAAAGTTAAAATCACGTGTTAGGCCAGCAGGAAGGAAGAGCTTGCCTTGCCCTGTCCTGGGAATTGGGATCAGAAACAAGCACAGCCTCAGGCATCTCTAGCATTCCCTCTATCTGGACTTCACTCCTTCGTGTATTCAAACACAAGCGCTTGCATTCTCTATTTCTCCATCAAGCTCCTCACACTATTGTCTCTGCCTACGTCAAAGGTTTCGAGCGCTACAATGCTTAATTAAGCAGAACCAAAACTTGAAACAATGGGCAGGTCCGCGTACGAATCAAGCAATGGGAAGCAAGATATATTATTTATGTTAAAGGGGGGAAAAACGGGGAAAGGTGGGGTGATTCTAAAGGTGTGTTTGGTTAGCCAAAAATACTTTTCAGAAACACCTTTTTGTAAATTGAGACAAATTTCTACACATATTTACTTCATATACTATAAAAGTACTTTTAAAAGTATGGTTTTCTTTCTATCCAAACCACTCCAAGTAATAAATGGAGAATACACATATATGTATGGATTTGGGGGGTGGGTGGGCTCATTGCAATAATATGGCAAGTAATTTGATATTTGATTGGGCAGAATAGACTTGTCTTGCACTCAAAGCGTGGCTGCCTCATACTCTGTTAGGAGCTGAGTTGGATTAGATTGGATGCCTCACCCCACCCATCCCACTGATTTTCACTTGCTCACAAATCAACTCTCACATGAGACAAAGTCACGTGATGTTAAATATCTCGAATCCAAGGTGCTCCCTCCCCTTTCTTTTCCTCACCATTCCCACATCCATCTGCTTCTCTCTCCGCGTTCCGTCTCCTCCTTTTCCAGATATTTTCCTGAGCAGTCTGATGAACAACCATTCTTTTTATATTTACTGCTGGGACAATCAAACCTCCCTGTCCCCGCACACACTCCTTTATTTCAGTCACTTAAGACGCAGAGCTTACAATCTCATCTACAAAAGATGGATGTATGTGTCGTGTGATTTGAGCTCTAAGCTGTTGGCGTGTCTGTCTGAATCACCCCTCAGGTTTAAATATCTTGTCATGCAGCAATACCCCGTATGAGTAAGTCTGATGCATGTCGTACGTTTTAAATAGTTAATTATAATGATGGCCTTATGGGACGGATGTAGAATACTTGTATAATTGAATGTTGACGTACACGTGTGTCTTGTAATACTGGTTTGATACGCAGATGGGCATCGCATGAGGCGTAAAGTTTAATTATATATAGAGGTGAGCAGATGAGAATGAAAAGCAGGTAGTGGATAAGTGAGAAATGATGTTGCGTTTAAGAAGAGGGGTCGATGGATAATGACAGTGAGTGATAAGGCAGTGTCATATTCAACCAGGTTTGCTGCGCTTCATTATCAACAGAGCTACCTTTTCCTTTATTTCTTATTTCTGGGAATCTGCAGGCATCCCATTTATGAGCCTCCCTTCCTCGTCAGTATATACAATTAATGGCTCCCATCCGTCCTCCCCCTCCCCCCCCCCCCAAACAAAAAAAAAAAGTCTTTAATGCGACCAAACAAATCATGCATCACAAAGGGCCTCCTCATCTACCCATCACGATATTAAAACGTGCGATATGTGGCCTGCCTGGCTATGACCCTAAAGGCCTAAGCCGCCTTGGGATACTATAAATAATGTCTACTCCGGAGCGCCAAACCCATCCAGATTAATAAACGGACGCGCGTTTGCTATCCTCGTAGTGATGGATGGGTTGGTGTTTGTCTACGTACTTTCAGCCTCTCTTGCACCCGTGGGTTGGCGGCTGATCCTTTTTCGTATTTCCCGGCCGGCGGGCACAACCAAAGCGTAATTAATCATTACTAAGCTCCTTCTTCATCATTTAAAAACACGTTCGTTGTGTTCTGGGGGAATCAAAACATACTGATAGAGGCAACATAACCACCACCTAGAAATCAGATATTCAAGCGCGACATCACACAACAACTTCAATTCACAAAGCAAACTACTATTAGTAAATAAGCTTGATTCTCACAAATCAATCAATCCGCCAACAGATATGGCAAGTAGTTTAAAAATGATACTGAACTGATAGAAGCAAATATCATACAGGACAAATATAACGGGAAAATATCGGGAAGAAAGCATTGCAGCACATGATAACATGAACACTAATCAGATTTACCTGTTTAAAAGAGCCATACAGTAGTGCAACCGTCCAAAGAGTATTTTGAATTGGTGAGTCAATAGCTCATTCCACACAGACATGGCCTCATCTCATAAAGGACGTGACCAAGTCCATTGTGAGGCTGACCATCGACCACAGGAGCTTCTTGTGTCACAAAGAAAATTGCTTTGACAATATGATACTCATCCGGTCCTTAATATAAGACCCATTTAACTAATTTGATTAGATTAAGGAAGTTAGGTAAGTTAGTTAATTATAAGAAAAGTAACACATTTTTCCTAAAACACCATAATCATTTTTCTTAATACCCCCTCTCCCTCTTCTACTTGATTATGGTTGAGGGAGTATCTATAGGGGTAATTTAGAGAAAATTGATAAATATGAGAAATGAGTCTTATATTTAGGACCAAAACCAACTCAATAATTAGATCCTATATTAAAGATCGGAAGAGTATTTTTTTTCAGATTTTTCTTTGTTAATTTAGCTACGTGCAAAGTTAACTCTGTTATACTATAGGTGAAAACGTTCTTCATAATTCCCCTGAATTTTATGTTTTCCACAATCCAGTAACAAATTAAGCTTTGGTTGGTTATGAGCAATACACGTTACGCGGGGCTGAGCCTCACGTATTAAATTCAATGGATTTATGAAAGAGTAGAAGGACACCAGCGGAAACAATGGCCACTGTATATTTAGGCCCGTTTTATTTACAGTTTTCCATAGATTTTTTCGGAAATTATTTTTTTATAATTTTTTAAAAATGATCAGAATATAAACAAATGTATTTTTAGTTATTTTGAAAAAACTACTTTAAGTAGCTTCTAAAAGTTCTCATAAGAGACAATATTTATAAAAATACATAAATATACAGAGATATCATATCAATTTAAAATTATTAGATAATAAATCACTGTTTATAATACAATATATGAAAATATCATAAAATCTGGCGATGATATATTATTAGAGTAAAATACATCAATCTCGCTTCTATTTAATCTAAATTACAGAGATTTCTCTTTGACTTTGAAAACTCATATGGATCTTTCTTAAAATCAAAATACATGTTGCATAAAGTTATAAACTTCTTTCACAAAAAAAAAAGGTTCTAAACCTCTCTTCTAATTTTAAGATTTAACTTTCATCCACTCAATCGTTAGTTGACTGTTAAATCATAATATTGGTCCATTATTTTGACCAAAATACCTCTCCATACATACAGATATTACTTAATACTTAATAATTATCATTTAATTAATTACATATGACATATCTTTATGTAAAATTAAAAAATATTTTTAATACATATTTAAAATTTTTTTGTTATACTATTAAATCGACTCCATATTACAAATTTAATTAATTTTATAAATACAAATTCTTATTTGACAGTAATTTTAAATGTTTAATTTCGTTTATTTATTAAAACTTACTTGCGATGCAATTTTTTAAAATATATATTTTACCTGCAATCGTATACATAGTTTTTCAATTAAATTATAAAGTTATATCTTAATTTAGTAAATTTAGTAAAAATATTAAATAGGTTATTAATCAATATTAATGTTAAAAAATAAATTAAAGGTTAATATAATGAAAAGTAAATTAGTAAACAATGTATTTTTCTGATATAGTTTTTAATTAAAAAAATGTATTTAAAGAATTTTCAAAATATTTTTTAACGGTAATAATAGTTTAGGCTAAAATATATATTTTCAAAATGAAGAGAGAACTATGTAATTAAAATAGAATAGAAGGGTGTTCGGAGTATTTTACTCAAATTATTATTTTTATAATTACAACTAAATACAAAATAATATACACTTATAAATTTTCTACACAATAGACCACTTTAACTAGCCTTTAAGTTTTCCTATTAGACATTAATGGATTTTTATAAAATCATTTCAAATTAAAGAAATTAATAATTATTTTAGAATTTTATCTTTTAAATGAGCACGTATTACTTGCTAAAGTATTTCCTTTTTCACACTCTCTCTTTTCGTGATTACCTTTTTTTTTTTACCTGACTTTTCGTGATTACTTGATAGAGTATGCATAATATAGGATTATAAGAGTATTAATAACTCTTCATCCTACGCTGAGTTTTCCCCCCATAAAAGAAGGAAAATCTTTGCGGGCGCAGAGAAAAGAATTTTCCTATAATATCATCTAAATATTTTTCTTATGAATTAGATAAACATTCTAATTCTAACCAAATTGTGGCTAGAGAAAATTATTTATTTATGTCATGTCAGTTTAAGATTAATTAATTCGTCCATCAAGTTATTTTATTCAGCGGGAATCCTATTTGATCATGATTGGTTTTGAGTTTTTTTTTTCGGTTTAGCCAAGCTATTTATTTCACTTAGATTGATCTAATCATATTTATTATTATGGTTATTATAACATAATATTACAATTACTATTTTTAATGTATTAGAGTTCTGTTGGAGAAAAAAATGTTACAATTTTCTACTATCACCGAGGGTGCGTCAGGTGAGCCGACTGTTGCGTGCCAGTGAAGGAATAAGGCCCCCTTAAGAATATAAATGCATCACGCCCTGAACATCTTATTCGGATTTCTTTCTTTTTATTTTCTCTTCTTTCTTTTTGTTTTTTTTTTTTGGCCAACGTTTTATTCGGATTTCGGATCATGCCTTACGGACACTTGGAGCTGACTAAACTTGCATCTAAAACGTTAAACAAGCGAAGTGGAAAGAGCAGAAGATACCTGCTTCTCGTCCTCTGTCAAAGAAGGGGCGAGAGAGTGACCTACTTCGAAAAAATTAGAACGTTGAAACCGATTCTCTGGAATTCCAGTGCATGATCATATCGCGAAATTTTGGGATTTTAATTTAATGGTGGACGATCAACAAAAATAGTCGCTTTCCTTTCTCAAGAATCAGACGGTCCAGACTTCGAAGCGCCAACAACTGGGAATTTATAAGATCATCCCTCCGATGAATTTTGAGGCCCCAGTCAGTCGCGGAAGAAGATCCAGCAAGAAGCCAAAATTGGTGGAGAATATGGCAATCCCTTTGATTGAAGCAGTGGACGTGGAAGCTTTCAATTGCACACCCATCTGGGATAAGGGCACAAGCAAATCCAATGCAATCTCTGTCGAGCAGTACACCCACGATCGAGACCTCCACCTCTCGATCACGGCTTCTCTAGGTAAAGCAAAGCCTTCCCTGAAAACCTTCATCGACCTTTCCGACGGCGATGACGATGACGAGGTGAGAATTCTTAGGTTTCAGCCTAAAAACACTCCTTTCGGGAAACGAAGGAAGTCCAGGGATCCAACTGTTCCCACTTTTGAAACAGGGGAATCTTCCAGTTCTCAACCATTTGTTTGCGAAATCTGTGCTGATGCCAAGACTGCCAACGAGTCGTTTAGCATCAGTGGTTGCTCTCACGCTTACTGTATAGGCTGTGTGATTATGTATGTCGCAACAAAGCTACAAGAAAATGTTGTGAACATAAGATGTCCAGTGCCAGCGTGTGGAGGACTGTTGGAGCCTGAGGATTGCCGCGGGATTCTTCCTCCGGAAGTGTTCAATAGGTGGGGTGATGCCTTGTGTGAGGCTGTCATACCGGCGGAAGAGAAGTTTTACTGCCCATATAAAGACTGTTCTGCGCTGCTCATTGATGATGGAGGAGAAAGGACTATCACAGAGTCGGAGTGTCCGAACTGTGGGAGACTCTTCTGTGCCAAGTGTATGGTGCCGTGGCATTCAGGAATTGATTGCGATGAGTTTCAGAAATTGGGCAAGGACGAGAGAGAGGAGGAAGATATAATGCTGATGCAACTTGCTCAGAACCATAAGTGGAGGAGGTGTCCCCACTGTAGGTTCTACGTCGAAAAGTCCTCTGGGTGTCTCTATATGAAATGCAGGTTAGCTTTTCTTTCGAGTAACCACGTTTCCTTGTTGTTCAATTCAGTTCTTGCGACTTCAGTTGTTGCAGATGAATGATGCAGGTTTCTTATAAATTTTATAATATATATAGATAGATATCGATGTACATATCATGCGGTTTGGAATCACTGCCCTCATTTCTTTATAAATATCTCGTTGCAGATCAGGATGTGTTTGTATCTTCATCTCTGTGACATAAACTGAATTCTTTTAGTTATGCTGTGATCTAGCGAGAAGCTGGTTCTGTTTTAAAGTTATAGACAGGGCAAGAAGGCTTTAGTTTACTCCATTATCATTTTAGCGTGGCCTAATTTGCCTGTCAGAAATTTCAGCTAGCGAGATCTCCTAAAAAAGCGTCTGTATTTACAAGTTAGATTATTACTTACCTCAATGCTTGGGAATCGGGGGGTTCTATTATTGTTATTATGGTTTCATATCTATGCCATACGAATTCCTCTATGACTCTTTTGTATATTTGTAAAATCGTGTTGCAGGTGTGGAATTGCCTTCTGCTATAACTGCGGGACGATTTCAAGAGATAATTCCCATTATTGCCATACTTGTAGACGCTAGCGACGCTTGGAGCAAGCTATGCTATGCAGTAATCTGTGATTTTGCCTGTGAGGAGTTCATATGTAAATATAGAAGACTGCTAGCTAGTTTACTACCTCCTCTCCCATCCTTCATGGATGGAATTTATGCCTGCTTTGACACCAAAATAGCTACTCTAATAACAGTTGAGGTGATCTTGGGTATAGTGTCTACAATGTTGTGGCTTAAGGTTGCTTGTTTCTATATACTTCTGTTCAACTGTTGCCCGCCACTTCTCCTAGGGAGAAAAAGGTAATCACACATTGACAGGCTAGGTTGGGTCAAACAGTATCTAACTCTGGCTGCGGTATGTTTTCTCATTGCTGGAACACTAGGTGAGGTTTGGGTGGTGGTGTTCTGTGATAAAGTTATTATATTTTTTTTAAAGGATTAAGTTGGAATTTTTGACAGTAAAGTTTACCTCTCAAGGGGATACTAAGTACCATAGAGTTTACTGGATACAAAAATATACATAAAGTTATCAAAAGGAATATTTGGCATAACGCAGTTAACATCTGTTATTTTACTGTTAAGGTTCACAAAGTCAGTTTTAAAATATATTTTTAACAACGAAATTTATATTAAAAGATACTAGACGTTGACTCTAATAATAGAGTAATGTGATGAATTTTCATGATCCCATTAAAATTTCATATTGAAATTCGGCCAAGAAAACTGAAATGCCATTAATATATTTTTTTTTCAGATAAAAGAATTCACAGCTTATTGTCAAGCTATCGATCCTGTTGAGGTGTCCTTGACAATACATATTAATATATTATTTTCTGTTTTTTATTATAAGAACTACCTAATATAAAAACTACCTAATTAATTTAAATTTAAATAGATTTAAAAAATTAGTAAATTTAGTTATTTGTAACAAATAGTAGAGTAATGTGATGAATTTTCATGATCTCAGTAAAATTTGATATTAAAATTGAGTCAAGAAAACTGAAATGACATTAATATATTTTTTTTTCAAGTAAAAGAATTCACATCTCTTCTTGTCAAGCTGCCAGTCCCATTGAGGTGTCCTTAACAATACATATTAATATATTTTTTTCTGTCTTTAACATGAGAACTACTTAACTAATTTAAATAGATTAAAAAAATTAGTAAATTTAGTTATCCGTAATAAATATAGTTGATTTTTCTAAATTATTTTTTTAATCATGATCATTGTGGATAAAAACTCTTTTAATATATGCAATCAATATTCAATAAGAATACTTTAAAGAATGAATTATATATTAGAGAGATAAAATAAATTGATACGTTATATTTAAGACCAGATCTACTTCCCTACTATTATGCCTTAACTACATGTTATTTGTATTTTTTGTTTAGCTATTCGTTGTACCTTTTTAATTATTTACGGTAAAAGTTAAACAAAAAGTATAAATAGGGCGAAGGAGAAGTTTCATTTGTTTTAATAAGTTTGAAATTTCAAAAATGTAATATCCTAAATTTTTTATTTTATGATTTGTGCAAAAAAAATATTTTAATAGTATTTTATTATTAAATAATTAAAAAAAATCCCACCCAACTTTTTCCACCGACCGTGGAAAAGGGGGGATTAAATGATGAAGAAGAAAATTGGGGAGAGAGGCGTATTAATTGCACAAGAAGAAAAAATGAGGAGGAGGCAGTTGAAGAAAAGTGTATAAATGAGGAGGGGATAGGATAAGAAAGAGAGCGAGGCAGAGAAAGAGAGAGGGAAAGAGAGGAAGAGAGCGAGAGAGGAAGAGAACGAGCAGAGCTGCGGTCCTTGTAAAGCAGAGGATAAGTTTTGGGAATCATTTAGGTACACAAAATTATTTCTTTTTATCAAACTTTCTTCATGAATATTTCCTATATATTCTAAGCTTTGTAATGATAGTACTACTATAGCAATTAGAGAAAATTTTAAGACTTATATATGGGATAAGTTTTGAGTTTTGATGAGTGTTAACCATAATATTATAGATCTATTATAGTAGATCATTTCTATCTGTTTAAATTTGTTCATTTGTCGGTTTTTAGTATTTAAATTAATTTATTTAGTTGAAAAATTTGTTATTTATGAGATATATCATATTTGTACAGATTAAAATTATGTTAAATAATTTATTTGAGTTGTTTGACATATTATTAAGATTTTAAGCGGTTTAATTTTATTTATTGGATGACTGGAGGTTTTAAAATAATTATTTCAGCTAAGAGAGTTTATTATTTGTGAAGAAAAAGAAATATAATAGTTATACTATTAGAAATTTTGAGTATATTATTTATTTATAAATATTTGAGTTACTATTGAATTTTTGATAATTTTATTTTGAGGTTTAAACTTTAAATAGAATTTTTTTGAATTTAAAATATAATAATTTCATATTTGAGAATTTGGAGAATTCTTTTTATTAAAGTGAATAATCTAGAGAATGGAAATGAATATTTTAGCTTGTTAGGAAAATTTATAAGTTAATTCTAAAATACTTAATTTTGGGTTACAATAGTTGTGGGATTTTAGAATAAAAATTATTAAATTAGAAATTTAACTATATATATAAGCTTAATTAATTAGCTTATATTAATATGTGATTATATTAATTTGTGGTTATATTAATTGTGTAAATTAATTATTGAATTATTGGTTTGAGCACGGGGTTGACCTTGTGGTAATTCTTTTTATAGCCTTGGCAAAAGATAACCACTTTCCACTTGTTATGTATGTTTGTATGATGTTTGTGAGTGATATCGAATTATATGAGATTCTTGAAATGCCATTTGATTATGATTTGAGCAGTGAAAGGCATTATTATTGAAATTGCCTTGAGATACTTTATGTTATTGAAAAATAGTTATGAAATTATGAATTTATAAATTTGTCATGTAGAATAAGAATTTATTGAGAAATGGTTTTCAAGGTTGATGTTGATTATTGAAATTTTGAAATCTCGATTTTGATAGATGTGAAAGTTATTATGTTATTAGTAAATGATTATTTTATAAATCTCATGAGTATAAATATGAAAGGGGATGTTGAACGTTGATTGGTGGGAGACATATTATAGGGAGGATAAGGGGGTGAATTTTGTACATATTATAGAGGTAATAAGGTAGGAGGACGCCAGATGTACACTGGTTGATCATTTGGCCCTTCATGCGTTGTAGGGCGTATGACACCCTGCCAGTGGACCAGAAGGGGAACCCATGGTCCGATCTTGTGCTTTGTGGATTTTGGCCTGTTCACATCACTTGATCGGTGAGCTTATTATGTTGAACTACCAGTTACATGGGACAGCACTAGCCCATGGGTTCAGTCAGAAGAAATAAGGTGTGAGAAAATAAGGTGGAATTGAGAGTGAGATATTATATTTTGATATGCATATATATATATATATATATATAACCATGTGACAATTATGAATGTTATGATTTTAGTAACTGTTCGACTTGACACTTCTCAAACACTTACTTGTATGCCTAATGAGTAGGATTGTTGGTTACTGAGACTTTTGTCTCACTCCGTGATTTAACATTTTCAGATAATAGCTCTAGGGTTGGTCCATCAAGGAAGGCAGCGAAGGCTTAACTATCAAGTTTATCTTGTATAGCCTCCTTTTTGTCATGTGATGAGTATTGTATATTGTCACATATAGCTCTTTTTGCATACTCTGATTTAATTGAGACTTATGGTCCTAGTTACTTTTGTTGCTGGGTTGCCTGGGTCTGTAAGTTGTGAACCCACAATAACTTTTGAAAGTAGTTGATTACTATTGGTTTGGACAAATTTTATTTAAAAAATATCATGTTATGGGCTTAGAGATGAATTGTGACGTGCTGGGCTTTGCAAAGCCCAAGGCCCAGTTATTATGAAATATTATTAATTACGGTTTTCATACAATCTGCTTAGTAAAACTCTTATAATCACGATAGACATTTTGAATAATTAGTTCAAGTCTTTTCTATCATGATTAACATTTTTGACGAATCAAATTTCTTTTTATAACCATGGTAGCCTTTTCAAATATTATACTAAGATTCTTTTCTACCATGGTTAGTATTATTAAATTTGGAGTTTAAAAATGTTACTAACAGGTTGGAAATAACTGATGTTACAAAAAACATAAGTATTGATAGTAAATTATTATAGCAAATAGTTAATAAAATCAGAAAAGGATGTCTTCGTTTAGCTTTCTCTCCACTCTCCTCCATTTATTAGCTCTACTATTGAATTAATATTCAATGGTTGAGATTTAATATATTACATTATAAAAATATTATTATGATATTAAACAATAAAATATATATAAATAACTTTAACCTATATATAAATAAATACTATGATATTATTATTATTATTGTTATTATTAAAAGGCACGAAATAAAAAATAACAAAATATAAAATATTTTAATAAAAATATATAGAAGTAATGCATGGATATTAATTTCTGACTACTTATACATATTTTTTATTTAATTAATATTATAATAATATTTTTATAATATATTAAATCTTAACCATTAGATGTTAATCTAATAGTAAAAAAAATAAATGGAGAAGAAATGAGGAAGGAATTAAATAGTGACATTCTTCTTCAAAATGAAATGTAATTAATAGATAAATAAAAGTGGTAAATAATCTGCAGTCAAAACTTAACTTATAGAGTGTTATAAATATTATAACATGTGGATGTCCATCTTCTCTTATTCCTCTTCCTCTTCCTCTCAAATTCATCATCAACTCCCACTACTTTCACTAGGCATTAATCTTCCACTACTCCATTACCTTTCCACCATGCCTTTAATCTTGTAACTCCTCCCACTCATATTCGTGTGGTTTATTGTCCACTATTTATCATTTAAGTACAAATGTAACTTATGTAAGACTATGCCTATAAATAAAGCATGCCATTGTATTGTGATGCAAGTAAAGCAAGTGAAAGCATACAATATCATTCTCTCATTTTCTTGTCTACTTCTCTTCTCCAATCTACTTTTATTGTTGGTTAATTTCATAACACGTTATTAGCACGATACTCTACCATCAGAGTTCATGGCTCCTAGTTGATACACGTTGAGGTTTTGTTCGTTGAATGAAGATAGTTTGATCTAAACAGTTTGGTAAGATTTCTCCAATTTATTTAGAGGAAATGGTGGTTTTGCATATTAACCGTATTGATTTATTGGTAGCCGAATATTTTATTTATCATATTTTTTTTATTTCTTACTTTTCTTATATTTGTATGATTCTACTATCCTTATACTCATTGATTTGCTATGAGGTTTATTTTCATCATATCATCTCTGATATTAGTTAATTGTTATCTTAGAAAGAAAATATTAAACATATAAATGAATGGCTAATAGCCATTATATTCTTGATTTTGTGATTAGATGGCCAGAAGCCACATCACGTTTTGATGATTATTTGATAACAGACCATCTTGTGGTTGTAACAGATGGCATGGCAAAATTGTCTCACAATTTGATAATCTATATCATTTGCTGTTAACTTATTGGTAAGATATAGTTATTCACCAAAGACATTGGAATAGAATTTTAGATTCTTTTCTGATTCACATAATGGTAATTCCAAATAGAGTATTTATCTCACAATATCCAAAAGATGATTAAATATATATCTAGCAAATTTGTTCAAATAAAAATCTAGCAGATTTGTTCACCAAGTCACTTCCTATTACAATATTTGAAAAGTTTGTTTATGATATCGGATGTCACAAACTCAGGGATATCAATTGATGTTATCAAGAGGGAGAGTTAATACACGATGTACTCTTTTTCCTATGGTTTTTTTTCCACTGGGTTTTCTAGCAAGGTTTTTAATGAGGCAGCATCGAATAGTCTATCAGTGAATGTGTACTCTTTTTCTTCAACTAGGTTTTTATCCCACAGGGTTTTTTCTAGTTGAAGTATTTTAATAATGCACATATCTTATATAATGGATATCCAAGGGGGAGTGTTATAAATATTATAACATGTGGATGTCCATCTCCTCTTCTTCCTCTTCCTCTCAACTTCATCATCAACTCCCACTACTTTCACTACGCATTAATCTTCCACTACTCCATTACCTTTCCACCATGCCTTTAATCTTGTAACTCCTCCCACTCATATTCGTGTGGTTTATTGTCCACTATCTATCATTTAAGTACAAATGTAACTTATGTGTAAGACTATGCCTATAAATAAGGCATGCCATTGTATTGTGATGCAAGTGAAGGAATACAATATCATTCTCTCATTTTCTTGTCTACTTCTCTTCTCCAATTTACTTTCATTGTTAGTTAATTTCATAACATAGAGTATATTATTTTGCATTATTTTATCAAGAAATATATGTTTGACTATGCAGTCAAAACTTTTTTGTGTTATTTTTTCTAAAGTATACAAATTTATCACATCATTATGTCATTCTTCAATTTTAAAGTCTTATTTTTTGGTTAAAAAAAAAGTTTAAAGTTTTATTTGACACTTTTCCTAAAATATAAGAACATTATTGCATTTTAATCTACTACCTCTGGTCCTTAATATAAAACCTTATTTGACTTTTATTTTGGTTCTAAATATAAGAACCCAATCTACTTTGTCTCTCATATTTACTCAATTTTTTCTAAGATAATCCTTCTAATAATTATAGTTCTAGTTAATATATTTGATTAGTAAGGATATTTTAGAAAAGATAACACCTATTTAGGATAAATAACTAACTCAACTTACTTTCTTAGTCTTTTCAAATTAATCAACTGGCTCTTATAATTAGGACCGGAGTAGTATTTAACTTTATTATATTTGACATGAATAAAGTTTATATGATGTCACAATAACATCAGTGTACTACCATTCTTTTTAATGTTTATTGTGCAATTATTTACAATTGAAGAAATTATTTATCTATACAACACTACTATATTAATTAATTAATAAGAACAAGAAGGGTAATAAAGATATAATTTTTTATTCTCATTAAAAAGGAAAACCCTAAAAAAAAAAAAAGGAAATAATTTAACCCACGAACGACGAAGAGCTTTTATATCTCCATCAATTGGCAGAACTGAAGGCAAGCTTCGGTTCCCGGCAGTCTCTACTCGTTTTCTGCGATCTGACTTCCGAGACGAGTGAGGTGATGGCTTCCTTTTCCTCAGATTCCTCTCTATTTTCTGAACTGCATGCAACCACCTCCATCTAACCTTACTGTTAATTCATAAGCGTTCTATTAGCTTTAGCTCTATAGAATGCTGATATTTCCTGACACCGAATTCTTGGCACAAATCTATTTATCTCCTTTGTACCGGCTTATTCGCAATTTCGCTCTTCACTGCTTTGTTTTGAGGGTTCTGATTTGGCATAATCTGGATCTCCTTTTCGGGTTTCATTGATTTATTTGAACTTCTTTCTGTTGAATTTTATGGTCTAAAAGTGATTGTGGTTCAGATTGTGTTGTGTTTGTCGTTCTTTGTGTATCTTCATGAAATTTTTTCGAAGTTTAATGAGGTCATGGCCTTCGTTGCTTCTGATTCTAACATTTTCTTCTGGCACAAATGAATGAAATTCCACGGTTGACTTTCTCAACCTTATGGCAAAAGGAATTGGTGGTGACATTTCGATTTAAAGTTGATGATTTTCTATTCTCTTTTACAATATTTTTTATATGTTTGCATGGAAACTGTTTTCCATTCCCATGGGGGACACCGGACACGGATTAAACATATACCCCTTACCCCTGCATCGAGAAAAGGGATACAATTCAAGTTCTTGCAATTCCTATTGCCACCATGTACAGGCGCATGGTGATTCCAATCCTCGTATTTCTTTATTTCATTATCCCACTCCAAATGTTAAAGCTTTTGATCTTTCAAGTGGATGATAAAAATCAGATTTAAAACACAACCTTCTAACAAGAGTATTCGTTGCAGGCCTAATAACTGTATACGAGTTGTTGAACTCAGAAGGTCGAAATGGCAGCATCAGAGGAGAACAGTGCATTGTTCCCAATATTCATATTGACAATAATGGCCCTTCCCATTGTGCCTTATACAATTACAAAGTTATGTCGTGCTGCTACTAAGAAATCAAAAAGTATCCACTGTCAGTGTTCTGAGTGCTCGCGATCAGGAAAATACCGGAGATCAATATTTAAGCGGGTGGGTTTATACTTTATGATTACATAATTTCCTGTGGTTTCAACAGTAATCTTAACAATGGTCCATCTTACTCTTCTTTCTTTACCCTTCAATTTTGCAGATTTCAAATGTCTCTACATGTAGTAACCTGACATTACTACTTCTCTGGGTGGTCATGATTGTTCTGGTTTATTACATAAAAAATATAAGTGGAGAGGTAAACAATTAACATTTGAGATGAAGTAGGCCACATTCTGGTCTGTTGCGTGATATAATATCATGGTCTATTATTTTTTATTCACAATATTGTTACTATTGAGTGAGTGTTCAAACGTTGCACACCCTGAGATTTCTCCCCTCTTTTATGGGTTTTTTTGGCAGATTCAAGTTTTTGATCCATTTAGTATTCTTGAATTAGAGCCTGGAGCCGCGGAGTCAGAAATAAAGAAAAAGTATAGGAGGCTTTCTATTCAGTATCACCCTGATAAAAACCCAGATCCAGGTTGAAGGTGTTTCAGTTGTTTAATACATGTTTCTGGCTTTAATGTTTGCAAGATAATGTACTTTTTGTTATTATTACCGCTGAGTTTTGTATTGCACTCCTTTTACTTCAGAGGCCCACAAGTACTTTGTAGAGTACATCGCCAAGGCTTATCAAGCTTTGACGGATCCTATAGCACGTGAAAATTATGAAAAATATGGCCATCCTGATGGCAGACAGGTAATGAAACCAGATGTCAGAGGTGAAATGCTTGGTGGTTTCCCTTGTTTGTTTCCTTGGTGGAATAGAATTATCTTGTAACCTTGCTCTGGAAATATGGATGATAATTTTGTTGCAGGGATTTCAAATGGGTATAGCTCTCCCTCAGTTCCTGCTAAATATTGATGGGGCATCTGGTGGAATACTGCTACTTTGGATTGTTGGTGTTTGCATTCTCTTGCCTTTGGTTATTGCTGTTATATACCTCTCTAGATCATCAAAATATACCGGAAACTATGTAATGCATCAGACACTGTCCACTTACTATTATCTTATGAAGCCTTCTTTGGCTCCAAGGTAGATTGATGGTTTATCTTTGTTCTAGCTGATTTTTTTTTCTTTTTTAATAATCTTTCCGCCCTTCCCTTGGTGATTCATTGAGGACATGTAAAGGACCAAGACACTTTCAGTTATCCTAAGAATATCGTGATTTAAAAGCATAGAATATTGGCGTATGTTTAACATGATCTTGTTTCAATTTGAAGTTCAATGAGGAAATTTACCATGTGATATTTAGGGAAATTGGGTTTATGCATCTCCAAATGGGATTTCGCACCCTCTTTATCCTAGACACATTTAATTTAGTCTTAAGAATGCAAGTGATGTCAACATTCTTGGGATTTAAATATTTTCTTGTTGGAATTAGAACGAGGTAAATAATCAATCATCTTATTATTTTATAGATCTTATAGATTACTGGTCAAAATGGCTTTATTAGGGGTGCCTTGCTGTATAGTGCAATAAATCAGATACCACTCCCCACACCCACCCAAAAAAAAAATAAAAAATAAAAAAATCATTTGATATCAACGTGGATCTAATATCCGAAAACTAATTTTAAATTCTTGTGGCTTCTATATCATACAGCAAAGTCATGGATGTCTTCATAAAGGCAGCTGAATATATGGAAATTCCAGTTCGTAGGACTGATGATGAACCGCTTCAGAAGCTTTTTATGTTGGTAAGAAGTGAGTTGAATCTCGACCTAAAGAACATTAAGCAGGAGCAGGCTAAGTTTTGGAAGCAGCATCCTGCACTGGTTAAGGTATTACCTTATATGGAAGCCATCCAGTTAAAGCATCCTATTCTAATTCGTTATGTACTCACAACTATGCCATTTTCTTTTTCGCAGACTGAGCTGTTGATTCAAGCTCAGTTGACTCGTGAATTTGCAATGTTGTCTCCATCTTTGCAAGGTGATTTCAGGCGAATTTTAGAAATGGCACCTCGTCTTCTTGAAGAGTTAATGAAGGTGACTTGGCTAACTAATTTTAATCTTTGAGAAGACCTAGAGCTCTCTTGCTTTATTTACCTTGCTTTTCACTTTGAATCTGAGCTTTCCTCGTTAATCATTATCCACTGGTTCCGTGACTAAAGAACTGTGGAAACATTAAATCCTTACTTGTTACATGGCGAATCAAGATCTTCTGCATAACATTTGTGCCCGGTGTCCAATGGTGCTTTCTTTAATATCTTTGTTAAGTCCAGGGCACATGTCAAACGTGCACTTATGCATTGTTTAAAATGGAAAATATAATAGAACCCGTCTTGCGGACCATAAAGCATATGAAAATCCAGCTTTTCTTATAGACTAGATATGGACTGTGGATATGTTTCCTGTGTGCAACTTCAGGAAAAATATGCAGTCATGCAAAAATGTTCGATTTTACATGAGCCAATCGTAATTAATAACTGAACTGATCCCAGTGGATTTCCTGGATGCTTGGTTTTAACATTAGCATACTTGAGTTAACTTGGAGCAAATTTTTGTTGTCTTGTTTGCATCATGCTGATTGCGATAGATTGATGCTAAATTGCAAATGTAAAGATTTTAGAGAACTAAGACAAGAGAATCTTAGATATTTACAATATAACACCTCTAATAAAAGGTGGAGTAATTCATATCGTATGTGTAAGTTGTGTAACATGTGTTAGACATCAGAAAGTTTTGATTGCCTGCCGCCATTCTCATATGAAGAATGTGATAATGACATCTTGCTGTTATTTTATTCATACTTGTGAACCTGTGATCTTTCCATTTAACACTACATTAATCAATGTTCTACTTTCTGTAAAAGATGGCAGTTATACCACGCAATGCTCAGGGGCATGGATGGCTGAGGCCTGCAATTGGTGTTGTTGAGCTTTCTCAAAGTATTATTCAGGTGATAAATCTAAGTTCAAGCTAATGATAATTACTATGGTGCCAGGATTTTTCTGCTAGCCTGGCACTGATTAGTCTCACTGTGGCTCATTGTGTGGGTTATTCTCAGGCTTAAATCCTATTGTTCTGTGGATGTGACCTTTCAATCTCTATTCCATGCTTATGTGTGCATGCTGACAAACTGATGACCTCTTCTAAACAACCTGTTCACATGGTCATGTTTCATGATTCCCTATTGGCAATATAATTTCTTGAGTTCCTGGTGAGAATGTTCGTCTGTCGCATTTGTCAGATGGATATAATGTTGTTCCCTTCAGAATGTGTGAATTCAACTTCTCTGTTATCTATTATCATGGATCTTGGATTACTGAACTCAACTTTGGACTCACTTATGCTGATGCCTATGGGCGTGATGGCTTCTCTTTAAAAGAGATGGCAGTGAAAAGCATTCTGGTTTTTCTTGAGAAGAGTTTGTACGTATTGATATGTCCTTGGCTGTGGATGTCTTTGTGGTTTAAACTTCTGATATAGGGGATAAAATTGTGCTCATTCTTGTTCTTGTGTAAGCTTTTAATTGTTTTCCCTGTTTGATGTATCATTTCAATATAGATATCCCCAATCCCCAATTATTATTTTCCTTCTCCTTTGTATATTTAAAAAGCCATTGAAATAAATAGTTCTTCCTGCCTTATGATCTCTTATGTAGGCTGTTCCCCTCAGTGCGAGAAAGGCTACTGGTGGATTCCCTGAAGGCATGGCACCCTTTCTGCAGTTGCCACATATAAGTGAGACTGTTATTAAGAAGGTAGCCCGCAAGGTAAGTCAAAATAATCTGCATGCCTTTTCAGCCTAATGCAGTTCCCAATTATCATTAGTTGCGCTCAATGACGTCCAAATTCTGAAAATTTTCCTGAGTGGAAATGAAAATTATTTGCATGGGTTTGGCTAGCCCTTATCAAGTATTGGATAGGGTTTTAATTGTTGAGTAGAGTGATCAATCTCATAAAATTACAGGAATATGCCTCCCACCACCAGAAAAACAAACGCAAAAAAAGAAGGAAAGAGGGGACTTAAAAAAAAAAGAGGGAGTAATAGAACTGTCTTTTGCTCTGGAAAAATGGCACGCAACTACACTAAATTTCCCATTCTACTGGATGAAAGAGTAGAAATGTTGTTGAAGAGTGACTATTGAACATTTTGAATTTCCCATTTGTTCCAGTTATCTTGTCCTAAACATTTTCCTTCCTGACCTGCAGAAGGTGAGAACATTTCAGGAACTTCGGGACATGAACTCACAGGAGCGAGCTGACCTGCTTATTCAGTCAGCTGGGTTAGCTTCTGCTGAAGTGCAGGACATTGAGGTGGTGTTGGGCATGATGCCTTACTTAACTATTGAGGCAACTTGTGAGACTGAAGGTGAAGAGGGTATACAAGAGGGTGACATTGTTACAATCCATGCATGGGTAAATATTAAACGGGGTAATGGTCTGATTGGTGCTCTCCCGCATGCCCCTTACTACCCATTCCACAAGGAGGAAAACTTCTGGTTTTTGCTTGCAGATTCTGTTTCAAATAATGTGTGGTTTTCTCAGAGGGTCAGTTTTATGGATGAAGTTGCAGCCATTACTGGTGCATCCAAGGCAATCGAGGAATCAATGGAGGGTTCGGGAGCAAATGTGAAGGAGACTAGTAGGGCGGTTTCAGAAGCTATTGAGAAGGTGAAGGGAGGGTCTAGATTGGTAATGGGCAAGTTCCAGGCCCCATCAGAGGGTAACTATGGTTTAACTTGCTATTGTTTGTGCGACTCTTGGTTAGGATGTGACAGAAGGACAAATATAAAGCTCAAAATTTTGAAACGAACTCGGGCTGGCACCAGGGGTTTGGCTGTGGCGGATGAAGGGCCTGCGGTGGAGGATGGGGTTGAGGAGGATGAGGAGGACCAGGATGGAGAATACGATGATGACTATGAGAGTGAGTATAGTGAAGATGAAGATGATCAAGACACAAAAAATAAGCATGGAACTGCAAATGGCACTGGCGATAAACATGGTCAAAGGGCATATAACTCAAACAGTGATGAAGAATGAGAACGTCAGGTTTATGTTGTTGATGCAACTGTATGCGGTCTTTTTCCCTCCTGATTGTTAGAGGAACAATCAACACAGTAATAAGCCATATATACTGCCCTCTTCAGTCTGTCCCAGATTGGAAGTTTTGATATTTAGGCTTCTGTGTTATCCTCAGTCCAACTCATGTCATGGTTAAATTGTCATTTTATAAATACTGAGAATCATTAACTTATTTATCCTGCGGCATTAATTTTGTTACGGGGCACGGGCAATGATAGCTTTCAAGTCACGGGGCCGTTCCGGAGGGATGATCACGGATAAACTACCAAGCGGTTGCGTGACCTGGTTTATGAGCGCTGGGTGCTTTACCCTTCCACCCGGAAATCTGAATGGGGCAATCTTTTATTTCTTCCATGTAAAATTAATCTACCTATTTCACACAACAAATTTCGTCTCTTTTATCTTTTTCTTAAAAAAAAGAAAGTAAAATGATGATTTATATTTCCTCAAAAAATATTATTATTTGTTGTCGTGGTGCTTTAAAAAGTATGATTTTTCACGCTTCACTTTTTTCGACTTCTCTCTCCTCTGTGAAATGAGATTTTGCAATGAACATTTATGATGGCATGCGATTTCAGTGAAAGTAGGTTATTTTCTCGTGACAAGAAGAGGAAAGTATAATCGCTATTGTAACACGGCGGATAAAAAATAAAACCATTTTGATGTTAATAGTAATCACAGAAGTCCAGATGTGGTGGTGAAACTGGTAGATTTACGGGTACTCGATGCGTGGCCATGGACAGTTCCCCTCATTTATCGCTCCAGAAATTAAATATATAACAAAATACTAATGGAAAAATATGCATAATGACCAGAATGATCGGGTATTTGCAGACCATGACATTATTATTTTTTTCCCAGATTATTATGCAGATCAATTTTTCTCCAAAAAGATTATAATGTGTAATAATTGAAATGTTCCTTTTTGACCAGATGATTGGAATGTTCCTGAGATAAATAGTTACTTCTTTAGTATATTACACACATGAAATTTAATAATCATACAAATAAAATTCAGCATTAAGACGAACACGATTATGTTTCCAAATAGAGCATTTTTTGAGAATTAAGTTTCAAATTCTCATCTATATAAAACTATTGAATATATCACTGTGAATGGTATAATAAGCGTGCGTGTTGTGGTTAAAAAAAATATTTATCTTATATTTTTTTTAAAAATTTTTTTAAGAAAATCTTGATCCAGCATAATAATTTTAAAAATGTAAGATCTTTACCTATATATAATTTATTATTTTAGTCTTTAACCGCAATCCTCCCAAACATAAATAGTTTGCAAACAAAGAAAATAAAAATAATGATAACATGAGGTGGGCAGTGTCGGATGAACACGTGATAAGGTGTGGCGCCAAGCAACACGAGATTTTTTTAATAAGGGCTCGCAGTGTATTTTATCATTCAAAATTATTATATTCTTGTTGTTATTATTGTGAGTGTGGGGGGTGAGGGGAGGTGGGAGATCTGGTTGCGGCTGTGTGTACTTGGGATTTGAGAATTAGAATTGACTGCTTATGCCTTGAAGTACTTTTCTTGTCATGCATGCTTTGAGCTTACGGTTAATTTGGTGTGAGGGGAATTCGGCGACGAGCTTCGGGTGAAGGCTCTGTGCTTCTATGGTTTGTGGGATCCTTTCTGGCATCTGACATCAAAAGAAAATTTTTACTCTCTTTCTGATTATGCTAGAAGTTGAGGCATTCAGCTCACTAAGACCACGCATACTGGGAGTTCTCTGAACTGAGTGGAGGTTTTTCCGCGGCGGTGGGCCGGTGGCCCCTGGCCTCTGGCCCGTGGTCCTATATTACATCTTCGAAGGCCCTTTGCGCTAATTGTAGTGATTGGAAGACAGGTATTCGAATAAATATTATCTGTTCATTTTGATTTCAGGTACTTTAAATCTTGGGTTTGATCAATTAAGGAAGTTCGGGGATTTGAATAATTCACGAAATCACCCGCCTGGGTTCCTAGCTATTTTCAGCTTCTCAGTTTCAAATGGTGCTGTCGTGGCTGCTCATTCTGAAGTTGCTGCTTGTCTATAAAAGTATAAAACTGCCATAGGAACATCACTTCAATGACTTTAATCGTTATATTTTGATTACCGTCACAATTTTCTTCGTGAACGTTAGATTTTGAGCTACTAGAGTTGGATATAGTAATATCAGTGCTACTATTAATTCAGCCTTAATTTGTGGTCTGGTTCTACATGAAGCATATTGACGTCTGTGAAGTGGTTATTCTTTCATTAAATTTTAGGGCTGCATCCGTTTTAGTATCAGGTGGAGGTTTCCCCTGCTTTTGAATTTCTGTAATAACAAAGTGTAATTTTATTGGTTCTTCTGCATATAAACAGCTTCTTGGCTCGAGATATATGGAGTTTTAGAAAAGAATGGGTGATGAGTAACTCAGGATGAATGGACTCGGGTGGAATCAGATTCAATGGGCACCCCTGACAAAAAAATATCTGAGCTTGTTGAAGTAGTGAGATCCTGGATCCCACGGAGGGCTGAGCCACCAAATGTGTCTAGGGACTTCTGGATGCCCGACCAGAGCTGTAGGGTATGCTATGAGTGTGATTCCCAGTTCACAATATTCAACCGCAGGCATCATTGCCGAATCTGTGGAAGAGTTTTCTGTGCAAAATGTACTGCTAATTTTATTCCTGCACCTTCAGATGAGCCAAAGACTGGCCGTGAAGATTGGGAGAGGATTAGAGTTTGTAACTATTGCTTTAAGCAGTGGGAACGGGGGGAAGCAACTGTTGATAATGTGACTCCTTCACCAACCCCTTGTCTTAGCCCATCACCGTCTGCAACAAGCTTAGTTAGCACCAAGTCCAGTTGCACCTGTCACAGCAGCAGTAGCACTGCTGGTTCAGTTCCTTATGCAACCGGTCCTTATCAGCGTGTGCCTTATAGTCCTCATCAACCTTCTCAAATGGATCTAATAGCAGATGACCAAGAAAACGTAACTTCTGGGAAGAGTATGAATCCTGGTAGTACTGTAGGGAATTTGGCGTCTAATCAGTATGGCTATTGCTTCAACAGGTACGTCTTGCTTTGGTGGTCTACTTATTGGGATTGAAAGTGATGTTTCATTTCCTAAATATGAAGTCTTTTTTTCTTGTGCTTGCATTTTAGATTCTGATGTGCTCATCAACATTAAGTAAATCTAAGTTAGAATAGAAAGTGATCTAGAATTCTTATCCGCTTGTATAATTCTGCTCCTCCAGTACAAAATGGGTCTTACATTTAGGACTTGAGGAGTAGTTCATCTGTACAGAATGGGTTTTACATCTAGGACCGGAGGAGTAGTTCATTAACTTTCAGATGGTATAAATGTCTTGTACTTCAAACAATGGTGGCTAAATCTTCAGTATATGATCAGATGCTTTATAAACTTTGTTCTTAATGTTATTTTATGTTTGTTCTTGTGAACCAGCAGGAGTGATGATGAGGATGAAGACTACCGTGACTATCACTCTGATACAGAATCAAGACATTTTTCTCATGTTAATGACTATGATGATTCTGTTAACGTTCATGGGATTGACCTTGTTTATGGACCACTTGAAATGCATCATTACAGAGATGACACTGAAGCAAAAAGTGTGAGTTCTTTAATGCCTGCTCAGAATGTTGATCTAGAAGGTGTAGATGGAATTCAAGCGCCTGTCAAAGATGCTGATGAGAATGATCATGTTGACAGATGTGACACATCTCATTACATTGAGGAAAGCACTAATTCTGAACCTGTGGATTTTGAGAATAATGGGCTACTGTGGCTCCCTCCTGAGCCAGAAGATGAGGAGGATGAAAGAGAAGCTGTTCTTTTTGATGAAGAAGATGATGATGAGGGTGCTGCTGGAGAGTGGGGATATCTTCGATCCTCTACCAGCTTTGGCTCTGGTGAATACCGTGGCAGGGAAAAAACAAGCAAGGAGCACCGGAAAGCCATGAAGGATGTAGTGGAAGGGCATTTTAGAGCTTTGGTAGCTCAACTTTTGCAGGTTGAGGGTTTAGCTGTTTGTGACGAAGATAAAAAAGAGAGTTGGTTGGATATAATTACAGCATTGTCCTGGGAAGCTGCCACCCTTTTGAAGCCTGATATGAGCAAGGGTGGAGGTATGGACCCTGGTGGGTATGTAAAGGTCAAATGCATAGCCTGTGGGCACCGAAGTGAAAGGTAATTTTACTGGATCTTTCATCCAAAGAAGTTATTGAACTGTTATATAACTAGGCGAGAGCATTCCCCCCCCCCCTCCGATACCCTGTATTCATGTTTCATTTTGAGCTCTCATGTGCATCTAGAACCTGTGATGATGGACATGCTTCAACGTTAGTTGACTTGTACATTTAATTTAACTTTTTCTGGTGTGTTGGCTTCTGCAGGAATGGTGTTTCTATCCGGTTTAATTAATAAAATTTGCATGACATCGCCTCTGGTCTTTAATTTGCTTTGCATTTGTTACATTTTAACAAATCATTTCATTCTAGTTACATTATCTGTTATCTGAAGTTTGAGTCAATTGTATTGTGTTGTAGTTGATCAACTTTTAAGTGCATAAATTTATTCCAAGAATTTGCTATCTGATACAACATTTTTGTTTTGGCTTTAGACAAAAACATTTATCTTACTCTTTTTGGGGTCAAATTGTGCACTTAATCTATTTTCCTTTCAATTTCTGAGACATAACAACTGATGCGTGTGAATTGCACTGATGATCACAATTACCTGCACAAAATCATTGGCATCTTTAACATAACATAGCTGTTTTTAGGAATATCACTAAGAAATTTCTGAAGTTTTTATTATAATTATTTTATGCCATCCACTACTGAACTACTTTACATCCAAAAGATGTGACTTTCTATTGTGTCAAAGGACTGTTGGTTGATTAATATGATCTTCTTCCAATCTTCTTCCAATCTTTCTTTTCTTTTCTGTTTGGGTATTAATTCTACTGGAAATGAGCTCAAGCTCTTCTTAGTTGTTCTTGCAGTGTGAGTGTTTGATTATATACATATTTTTCTACTGTCTGATTTCAAAGGGCTTGGTGGGGGAAGGGTCTGTTTTCTTGATGATAAAAGAATCAGCTTGGCAAAATAGGCTGGTAAATTCAATTATTTGGCACAGCTTTATATGTTTCTCTTGGGGAGGGCTTTATAAATTTATTCTTATGTCGT